AGAGTCTCATCGACTGCAGATGATGGTGACAGAGCCATCTTGGAGGGGAGGTGCAAACAGCACATTTGGCAAGGCCCCAAAACTCCAGAGGGGTTCAGGAACAAAAAAAACCCATTACATTCTTTATTATTAATTAGTTTAATATGAACAATACAACAATTCTATGTTAATTAATTGCTGTTTTATTGGCTTGTTTAATTTCATCCTCCAGTTCTCCCCATTGGATGTAGATTAACCCTCCCACATTGCACTCACGCTCAACTAGCACTGGTGCCCCTGGGGCTAAGATATCGAAATCTAGCCCTGGAGGACAGTGGTGATGATGATTGTAGAAGTGGTGGTAATTATGGTGTTGGTGGTAGTGGTGGTTGAAATGAGAATGGTAGTAATGATGATGGTGGTGATGATGGTGGTTTTGATCATGGTAATGATGTTGATGGTTGTGTTGATGATAGTAATGATGATGGTCGTGGTGATGATGATGGTAGCAGTTGTTGTGATGGTGGTGGGGATGGTGGTGGTCATGATGATACTGTTCATAGTCGTGTAAATGTTGATGGCAGTGGTGGGTGATGGTAATAATAATGATGCCGATAATAATTATCATTGCAGTCGTGATTTTAGTAGTAATGTGTTGGTGGTAGGAATGATTATGGTGGACATGATGATGATGAATGGGTGATAATAATGATGGTGGTAGTGGCGGTCATGATAACAGGAGTTGTAATGATGGTGGCGGTGATGAAGACGATGATGACGATGCTGGTGGTGGCGATAATGATGGTGGCGGTGGTAATGGTGTTGGTGATAACGATAACTGCGGTGGAGTTGTAATGTTGCGGGTGGTAATGATGGTGGCGGTGATGAAGACGACAATGATGATGCTGGTGGTGGCGATAATGATGGTGGCGGTGGTAATGGTGTTGGTGATAACGATAACTGCGGTGGAGTTGTAATGTTGCGGGTGGTAATGATGGTGGCGGTGATGAAGACGACAATGATGATGCTGGTGGTGGTGGCGATAATGATGGTGGCGGTGGTAATGGTGGTGGTGATAACGATAACTGCGGTGGTAAATGATGGTGGCGGCGATGATGGTGGCGGCGGTGGCAATAAAGGCGGTGGTTATAATTACGCTCACGCATCTAACCGCGATATAAAAAAAACCTAGAAATTATCGCAATTCGAAATCAATGTCGCTTTTGAAGAACTCTATCGGTGTGGAAACGGCATTGTCTAAATTCTGTTTCATCGCAGCGCTGCCCGTTAATGGGACACTCTGGATCTGTAACCATTTTTATTGCTCTTCCCTAATTTGGATTCCATTTGTGTCTACCACGAACGCAGCGTGCGCCAGAGCACAAGGTGTGCTCGTCGCCGCCAACAGCAAATGTATCCACTTCACGTATTCATAAACAGACAAAACAAACATTACCCCGCTCACAAATCAGACACTCTACTGCACAACACCAAGCTACTACCACCCCGTGGTGAACTGTTCCCATCAACTGTGCGCTTTTATTAAGGACTCCAGACTGCTAGACTGTGTTCAACCACCAACAGGACTACGCTGCAGGTCACAACAATGTACTCGCCCACCCGCACACACCCATTGACTCCCCGCACTCCCAACACACTCACCCACTCACCACGCTGCAGGTCACAACACTTTTTCCTGTTTTGTCTCTTCCCTCGCCCTGCTCCACTTTGAAATTCCTTCCTGTCATCGTCGTCTCTTTCCCCAAGTATTTATAACGCTTTTAAATCCAAGCGACGTACGAACTTTGATCTATTGCCACTTGACGTGTGCTGTTTTTTTTGCTGGCTGCTTGGAATGTTGGGCCCTCGGGCTCCTGTGATCTGATATAAGCAAGGAAACAGCCACCTCTACTCCACTCGTAAGATGCAGGGCAAAGGCGTCATGTGTATGCCATGAGCACTAGTTCAAGGATTTACTATGCCATAGTGGCAATATTTTTTTTAAACAGGTCGGTGTACCCACACTTTACCCCGCCACGCGCGGTTGTACCCCCACTTATACGGCCGTGGTGGACAGAGGTGTGGCGGATTTTAATAAACTTCAACAACTGCCGCAACCGTGATACCGAATCGAACCGGCGAACCTCTGGATTGCAAGTCCGGCCGCGCTGCCCGTTGCACCGCGCTGTGGCAAGCTTCCGCGACAGGGATGTGCGCGAGACGGTGATCGCGACACCGTCGTATTTTCGTTTCCTCTCCGCCGCCAACTCAGGAATGTCTCCAGCTCTCACACTCCTTGTGAATCACGTGCGCTTGAGCCGCAACGCCAAAAGTGCGCGTAAACGGCTTCATTTATTTTCGTCAGGTTGTCGCCAACAACAAAACGAAAAAAAATCGCTAACGACGCTGTCTCGGAGAAAGGAGAGTTACGCATCCCCCCCCCACCCACCCTCCCTCCAACCCTAGCCGGCGTAAATCGAGCTCTCGCACGACATCACAGGTGTCACATCACCAGCCACCAAAGCCGGCCACCAACGATTGTGAATTTATGGCGGCGCGTCTGGAATTTTGCACGCTCTAATTTACGAGAGAGACGAAGCTGTTGGAAGTTATGTCACGAATTCTGAACCGGGGTGGGGGGGGGACCCCAATTGGATCCTTGGAGGCTGGTGGGGTGGTGATGGTGGTGGCGGTGGAATCGGATGTTCGGAGGAAGGGGGAAAAAATGATGACGACGACGACGATGAAGACGAAGAAGAAGAATGGAAAAAGGTGAAAGTTTTTTGACGAACTGGCCGTCTGCCATCAAGGAGGACAAGCTGTCCTCCCGCTACGCGCGTGCGCTCGCCGCTGTCTGCGCGGCGAGCGGGCGGAGTTCCACTCTCGCTCCGCACAGCTGTACGCGGTCTGTCAGTATTCCACGAGGAAGGAGCGGATTTAATTACTTTAATCAAACTGAGATGCTCTCAGGGGTAATTTAGAGGCCGTCAGCGCACGCCTCGTCGCTCGATTGCCCCAACACACCAAACAAATTTGCATTTTAATTCGGCCGCCGCGCTGCCGAAGCTACAAGGGGGGTTGTGGGGGGGTTGTGGGGGGGGGGGAGACGCTGTGGCTGGTTATCTGAAGTCGCGCGCGGCGCCAGCCCCGCTGCCGACAGGGGAACAAGGCCGGGGAATTGGCGACGGAGCGACGACAATTTTTTTTTTTAAATATAAAAATAAAATAAAAATTGTGCGAAAGAGGAGGATGCGAAAGGAAGAAAGTGCGGTGGGTGCGAGTGGAAGCCAATTTTGGGCTCGTTATTTTGCTCGCGCCGAGCCAGCGAGCTGCACGCAGGGTTCAGTCACGGAACATCGCAGCGCCGGAGCTGAAGAAGAAGCTCGCGGATATCTTCACAGACCCGTCCCTCCCGCTCCCCACCTTAGCACCGTCGCATTATGGCGACGTCAACAGCATTGCACGCGCGGTATATTGAGTTGCTTTTCAATTGCGTTATTCTTTTAACGACGCGGCTGTTATTGTTGTTATTGTCCATCATAGCAAGCAATTGGGAGCATGAAAGCGGCAAACAAAAAGGGAGGTTGACGGATTCGGCAATTCACGTAGAAATCGCGACTCGTTACGGAGATGGAATCTTAACATCTTAGAAATTTGCGGAGGAACTTTTTTTTTATGGCGGCAATGATGCGCTTGCTTTATTGCGTTGGGAATGCCATGCGGCAGTTGCCCTCGAAGGAAAATTAACGGGCAAAAAAACTGGACATATGGTTGACACATTGCAAGGGGCAAGATATGTGCATGTGTGTGGGGAGCGGTGGGGCAGTGGTTAGCGCGCCGCGCTGTGAACCCGGCGACCCGGGTTCGATTCATGCTTATGGCCAACACCGGTGACGATTATCTGAACCGGTCCTGGGCCTCCCCTAGCTCGACTCAGCTTTAAATGAGTGACTTGGTGCGGTGTGTAAACATCGCCACTGGGGAGACAAAGGCTGTCGGGCGTGGTGCTGGCCACCCACCCCCTCGCGTACCTTTCCGGCCTTCATAGGTGCTCGCTAACAGCACTTGCCCCTGCAATCTGTTAAGGCTATACGGAGATCTTTGTCTTTGGGGAGCGGTGGGGCAGTGGTAAGCGCGCTGCGCTATGAACCCGGCGACCCGAGTTCGATTCCCGTTCACGGCCGATACCAGCGACGATTATCTGAACCGGTCCTGGGCCTCCCCTAACTCGACTCAGCCTCAAATGAGTACCTGGTGCAGTGTGTAAAACATCACCACTGGGGAAACAAAGGCGGCCGATCGTGTCCGCTGGCCACCCAACACCCTGGTGTGCGGTGCCGGCCTTCGTAGGTGCTGCTCGCGAGCAACACTGCCCTATAAAGTCTCCGGAACCTGTACGGGGAATCTTTGTTTTGTGCACGTGTGTGCTATTTCAACACGAGCTTAACCCGTTTACGCCATGGCCGTCGCTGCTAACAGGACGCTGTTAGTGGCGTCCCTGGCCACGGCGAGACGGATGATCTCACGGCTCGCACACAAAACCGAGCCGAGCGGGTTTTGTCTTCTCGAGCAAGCGCTTCGGATTTTGAGGGAACCGATTAAAAAATGCGTCTAGAAATGGATAACACCCCCCCCCCCCCCCCCCCCGTCTCTTCTTCTTCTGCTTTGAGAGCCATATTTGAGGCGTTAATTGAATCCTGCCCGGCCGCAGCATGAGGTCTTGCATACACGATGCCTTGTCCTCCTCGATATGTTTTTTTCACCCGTCAAGAGAAAAAAAATGACTAAAAATAACATTTGCCGACGCGTGCGCATAATTATATCTCTCGCCACGAGGGTACATCCCCCCCAACACTGCGACCATTGTTTTTAATAACCTCTTTACATAATTGGATATTAAAGTATGCTACATTCTGCATATCGAGGGTGAGAGTTGGGGGGTTATGTAAACGGACGGCTTTAGGAAGCTCCTCCTGTGTCGGGATGAACCCTCGTGTTTTTTTCTCTGTCGCCGCCCGCAGACGTGCCTTTCTTCACGGTGGAACCGAGGAGGAGGATCATGGGAGTGGTGGAGCAAGCCCTGGAGATCCCCTGCCAGGCAGCAGGTGACGACGGCGGTGACGGCGTTCATCGCCCGCGACCGTCGCTCGTCAGCCTCATTGTTGTCGTTCAACAGCTGCCACTGTTACGATCATCGTCGTCGCCGTCGCCGTCATCTCTGTCGTGGTAGTCGTCATCTCTGTCGTGGTAGTCGATGTCATCGCCGTCATCTCTGTCGTGGTCGTGGTCGTCATCTCTGTCGTGGTAGTCGACGTCATAGCCGTCATCTCTGTCGTGGTAGTCGACGTCATAGCCGTCATCTCTGTCGTGGCAGTCGACGTCATCGCCGTCATCTCTGTCGTGGTAGTCGACGTCATAGCCGTCATCTCTGTCGTGGTAGTCGACGTCATCTCTGTCGTGGTCGTGGTCGTCATCTCTGTCGTGGTAGTCGACGTCATCGCCGTCATCTCGGTCGTGGTAGTCGTCGTCATCTCTGTCGTGGTAGTCGACATCATCGTCGTCATCTCTGTCGTGTTAGTCGACGTCATCGCCGTCATCTCTGTCACGGTAGTCGTCGTCATCTCTGTCGTGGTAGTCGACGTCATCGCCGTCATCTCTGTCACGGTAGTCGTCATCTCTGTCGTGGTAGTCGACGTCATCACCGTAATCTCTGTCACGGTAGTCGTCGTCATCTCTGTCGTGTTAGTCGACGTCATCGCCGTCATCGCCGTCATCTCGGTCGTGGTAGTCATCGTCATCGTCACTGCAGAGTGTGAATGTAATCGTCCCCAGAGCGATGATCGGCGTCGTTGAAACGATCGGCGTCATTGTTTAGCGTTGTCGTCATCATCGCCCTCGTTATGGTAATTATACCCAGAATAGAGTCTCGTCATTGTCATCAGCGTCGTCGTCATCCTGATCATCGGCCCAATGATCGTTTTCATCAATACCATCATCGTTGTTGTCGGCGTCACCATCATCATGATAAAGATCCGCATCATCATTATCAGCATCACTGTGATCACAATTGTTGTCACCTCTGATTAGCACCGTTGGCTACGTTCGGTGCGAAAGAAGTTCAACATACATACATAAATTTCACCAAATGGTTTGCCATCATCACCATCATTATTGCAATCATCATTGTTGCGATCATCAGCACCATTATTGCAATCATCATCGTCACGATCATCACAACATCATAGCTGACACTACCACCACTATTAAAACCACGACCACCATCACGGCCGCCATCACCGTCACCATCACATCATGAAGACCATCACCAGCAGCAGGTCAGCCATCCAAATCATCACCTGGCGTTTAACCGTGACCACGAGTCATGGGGTGTCGTCCCACATAAACGTCCCCATTACTCAGCCGCCTGCTCTCCGCCGGGTGCTCACACGAAACTATCCCCACCCCCACGCCCTGTTGCCCCCCCCCCCCCGCTTCCCCTGCACCCCCCCCCCGCCCCCCACCACTTCGGATCATCACAGGCTTGCCTCCGCCAACCCTGACATGGTATCGGGACAGCTCCCCGATCGGTCACTTCGGGGACTCGCGGTTCCGCGTGCTCGCGAACGGCAGCCTCCTGGTGGCGTCACTGGAGGAGAAAGACTCGGGCATGGTGCAGTGCTTTGTGCGCAACGTGGCCGGGGAGGTGCAGACCCACACCTTTCTCACCGTCACCAGTGAGTGCAAGCAGCGCCTATGCCCCGCCAACGACGCGTTGTTGAGTTCGCCATGTCCGTACGTTTGTTTGTCCGTCGGTTCGTCCGTCCTTTTTCTTCTTTGTATTATTTTTTTTATTTACTCAGGAAAGCGACACCGAGTCTGGAAGGGTCTCTCTTTTCAGGATTCTCCAACAACACTTCTCCAGCACATCTCGTCAACGTAGAAGAGTAGACCAAATTACCCTCTCGAGTTCGCTAGAGTGGAGGCCCCCTTTTGCCGGCAGTGGTGCGAGCAAGCAGTTGCAGGGTTGCACCTTTCTCTTTTTTGTTTTTGTTTTTACCTGCGCCGAGATATTTAGCCAACGCCATCGACATTAGCTATGGGAGGAAACCAGAGAGCCTGGATTAAACACCTGCCAAACAGGTGTTGTGTCCTTCCGCAGCGCCTCCAATTAGCACGGTTGGCTACGTGCGGTGCGAAAGAATTTCAGGTGGGAGAGCATGCAGTCTCCACGCAGACACCCACTGGAGTCGGGAATCGAACGCAGGTACCTTTTTTTCTGGGAGGCACAAGTGTTACAAACTGTGCCATGTGAACTCTACCTCGGTAGATCACTAATTGAAGGCTGTTGCCCTCAAGTTTTGAGAGCTGGAAGATAAGACGTGGCTGCCAGTGGCTCTGAGGTCAGATCCCTGAGCTGGTATTGCTGAGACCCTGGCTTCGAATCTGAGTTCCAGACTCCCAACTCTGATCAAAACGGGGTTTACAAGTGCCGGTCAACCTTACGATGAACAATGCCAGGCCTACACGTTTGCCTCAATGGGTCTGTGTTCATGTCTGTCCTGGCGAAACCAAGATTGCATCGGAGTTGATTGCCATGAGCCTGGTCACTAATGGCTCTGCGCAGCAGCAACAACAACATTCTCATCACGCAACGTTTCATTTTGTTACTTAAATTGGCCAGAAACACACAAAGAAATACAACTCTGAGAAATAAAATTGTACGTCTCACTGCCATTCAACGAATCTCCGTCTTGCAGCGTGCACGTGCAAAGTTTGAGCACACCAGATATTCTTCCTTTTCCATGTAACTCCTGTCCCCCCCACACTCCCCAATATTGATGTGCGGCCAGGTGGCTCACGCGATGGTAGAGCCAGTGTCTCACATTCGAGAGGTTGTGAGATCAAATCCTGATTGTGGGGTTTGACTCAGCCCACTGGTTGTCTTATGGATAGACTCACCCCCTGCCATAGGAATGTGGATATTCCACCACTGTCTCGGGGCTGTACACAGGAGTTGAGCGCAATGGCTCAGCGCTCGTTTGAGCAGGAAAGCACTTTGACGTTTTGAGTTAGTTCAGTTTGGTTTTATTTGTTGTCACAGGCCGAGATGTTACATCGTTTCCATACAAAAAAAACAAAAAAATAAAAAGTACACGACAACAATGTTTTAAAAGATCAACACAAGGTAGGCACTTCACCATTGAAAGGTATACAATCAAGGGCAACGCTGTACAGGACGCAAGAAACAACAAACCAATTAGTCATGAGAATAACAATACTCAGCCAGAACATGCCGATGGCGTTTCAAGCAAATGGGAATTTTAAACAAACGAATTTAAATAAGGCCGACGGGGGTAGCGACTTTAACCGAAGAACAGGAAGTGAGCCCGTTCCAATGAAGGGATTCTGGGCAAGGAGGCCATGGGTTTTTACGCGAGTCTACTGGTCTCTATTATGACTCTGTGAGTGTGAATAACGGCGACTCAAGGTCAATCAAAGGGGATCTCAGAAAGAGTGCTGTAACATCACCGACCCCTCTCCGACACAGGGTGATGCACTGCTCCTCAGATTCCTCATCTCGTTCTCCATGATACTGGTAGCACAGTTGGAATACCATTGTAAATGCATCGACATATTTTGAGAGATATATATTAAGTAAGAGCAAGGCATTAAAAATAGTCGTGCCTTTACGTAATAAACGTTACGCCTTTATTTAATAAGTCTAAATTTTATCAAATGTAGTTGTGAATTACATATTAAGTAATGAAATATCATTATGCATTTGAGAGAGTGTGTGTTGCAGCGTATGTTAAATGTTCCCATCTCACACTCTTTTTAAGAGCCTTTTTATATTCATATCTAAACACTGCAAGGATATCTGGGACAGAGCACTCTCCCACAGCCGCATTCTTATTGTATTACTTGTGCAGTCGGTGGCCGTGCTGAGACCACCAACTTTAAAATGCAGTTTAATAAGAACTAGGTCTTCATGGGTCTCTCTGTGCGTGTCTATGGGTCGCAGTCTAAGTCTATTGATCTCTAGGTAAATCTGTGAGTTTGAATCTGAGTCTAAAAGGTCTGTGTGCACATATATAGATTTCTGTATGAGTCCATTTGTATCTGTGTAATTCTGTGGTGTCTGTGTGAATGTATGTGGTTCTCTCCGAGTCTAAGGGTCTCTATACGAGTCTGTGGGTCTGTGTAAGTCTGTGGGTTTCTATGTGAGTCTATGGGTCTCTGTGAAAGTCGATGGGTATCTAAGTGAATCTGTGGATTTCTATGTGCATCTAAGGGTCTCTATTTGAGCCTATGGATCGTGAAACGAGACCATTAACTTGCTACACTTAGACCGCAGGCGGCCGATACCCCGACTCTAACCCAGAACTGTAGCGGTGCCGGCTCAGTGACATTAACTCGAAGCCACCCGGCCACTTCTGAATGATAATCAATTCTTGCGCGCAATGCAATGCATGTATCATGAGCACGAGAATCAATGAAATCAATTAAATCAATTAATGGCTTCACGCCTCTATCGTGACGTGACTTTGAAGTAGCTAGGGCAATTAAAGTGGCCGAGTTCAGGGGCAGCCGTCTTGCCCCGAGGTGTGAGTGCTGAGCCTGCACGGCTAAAATATTATGTTGGAATCCAGGTTTCATCCACCTGTGATGAACTAAATGGGTTCCATAGTTGATGGTCTCAGCCTAGTCATCAGTGACTGATCACACAAAAAAATTACAAAAATTGTAAGCATGCGCTTAATTGAAATACCTTGCATCTTGCACCTACATTTGGCACGTATGGCTACGTACGGTGCGAAAGAAGTTCAACATACATACATCTCTGTGTGTGGACCATAGTTTACTTGAAGGGATCCCAATGGTAGCTCCGTCATGTCGCCTTCCAAATGGGGCGTTGTATATCACAGACCTTTGCAATTGTCTGTAAGAGAGATGCGCCAATGGACACCTCGCATCATGATTGCGTCATCAGAGATAAATTGGTCAACAAAATGCACGTTCTAATTATTTAGAAGTGGATGACACTCGAGCAACTGAGGTCTTAGGGATCGCGACTGGGGTGGGGTAAAGGAGGACATTGTCCCCCTATTTGAAACCCAGCCACCCCCCCCCCCGTCCTCCCCCTCTTACTACCCTCTCCTATCCTACTCCCCCCTCTTCTCCTCACTCGGTACACCGCAGCCGGAGGACATCGCGTCCCCTCCTGCGCACGGTTCACCATTGCATTGTTTTTTTTTTGTTTTCGTGTTCATCGTTGCCGCCGTCGTCGTTGTTGTTAAATGTCCAAACAAATAAACAAAAACACGTGAACGCATTCAAAGTTCCCACCTGTGCTCCCCCCCAGGTTTCCCCCCAAACATCACGCGAGGACCCGTGGACAGCACGGCCATCGAGGGCACGGCGCTTACGCTGCCGTGCGAAGTGTCGGGCGCCCCCAAGCCGGCCATCACCTGGTTCAAAGGTGCGACGCTCGAGCGTGACCTCCCCCCCCCCCCCGCCCCCCCCGCGCCGCCGCCATGCGAGGTCGCCGGTTCCATTCGAGCCTCGCAGCAACGCGGCGGTCGCTGGACATGCGTGAAGATGATGGGCGTCTGTGGAAAATAGCTTTGTAGCTCATCGGATTCCTCCAGCGTAAATACATTGATTGTGATGAGTTGCAGAAACGATGCAAGTTTCTTAAATCCCCCCCCCCCCTCCACTCCCCCACACCACTCCCCCACACCACCCTCTCCCCCTGCCGCCGCCACCACTACTCGTGTCTATTGGTCGGCATAAATGGGTTCACCTCGGCTGAGTCGGTCGGCAGGCCTCGTGTGGTGGGGGTAGAGTGTGGGTATTCTCCCACCTATTCCGAGATGGCTGGCCGGCGTGGGAGTAGTTGGCCAAATTTACGCTCAAGAGGGGCCCTCCGGAACATCTCTGTGGGTGCGAGCGAGCGAGCGATTCGAAGGGTTGCACCGTCACCTTTTGCCGAACGTAAATCAAATCGGATCATTAGAACATTAAGTGTTACCGCCGTCCTCATCGCGCAAGTCTGCAGCAGTCTCACGGTAGGGGGGCGATTACTGCCGTGTGTTATCCCAGTGATTTGCAGTGTAATGTTTCGAATTTTGCACGTTTTGGACTGTGACGCCGGGCTTATTCCAAGTGCAGCTCCCAGGCTTTGGAACGCTTTGCCTTTGCCAATCAGACAATCAGATTGGTTATATATATTTGAGTCTGTCTTGAAAAGTCACTGCCTTAAATTGGCCAACACCCCCCAGCTCTGGCCGTTTACCCTGGTTCCGTCCATTGTACATCATGTAAATAATTATCATTACTATTTTCTGCAACGTCCACCGGCAATCATTCGGCGATCGGTGAACACACGCGCAGTACCAAACAGTCCGGCCGCGAGGCTCGCACCACGAACCCCCGGGACGAGAACTTTGACCATCGTCGGCGTCATCGTCGTCGCTACGACCGTCCTCGTGAGAGCGTGTGAGATGTTCACTGTGAGCCGTGTCCATGCCCGCGCCCCTGGCGTGCCCGCGTCCCTGGCGTGCCCGCGCCGTGTGCGGCTGCAGGCGGCAAGGCCGTGCCCCTGAGCTCGGTGCGCTTCTCTCTGCTGCCGTCGGGGTGGCTGCGCGTGGGCCCGGCCGAGCTGCGCGACGCCGGCACCTACACCTGCCTGGCCAAGAACTACCGCGGCGAGGCGACGGCACGCGCCCGCTTCACCGTATGGGGTGAGCGCGCGAGCAGGAGAGCTCACCCGTTCGTTGATTCGCTTGCTCGCTCGCTCGACTGCTCACTGACCGAATCACAGCCTTTCTGACCCACTCGATCTCTGGCTCGCTGGCTGTCTGGCTCACCGATTCACTCACCGAATCACTCGTTCACTGACTCACTCACTGATTCACTCCTTCACTGACTTACTCACCGACTCACTCACTGACTAGGTCACGAAATGACTGACTCACGCACTCACTCTTTCGCTGACTCCATCTCCGGATGACTGAGAAACTCACAACTGAATCACCAACCCAGTCTTGGCTGCAAGTGCAGTGTACTAATCATGTACACTGCAGTGGCATCCTTGTTTATTAAATTAGACATTTGAAATGGGGGAAATGCGATGATAGCAATAATAAAACACGAACTAAATTATTTCGTAAAAATCAGTACGCTACGGGATGAAACGTATTAAAAATAACGTGACGTGGCCATCACTATTAGCCATACTGCACGGTATGCATAATTGGATGATAATAATGTTATCGAGGTAATCAGAGACAATTTAACAATACCATCAGTGACGATGCAAGATTGAAATTTCCAACAATTGCATGCTAAATTTTCATCAATTTCCATGAACTTGAGTCATCAGAAATTAATTTCATATTCAAGATAGGCACATTATCTTCTACTCAGAAGCTCATTACATAAGGTTAGAGAAAAATCACTGCCACCACCACCGCCACAACCAGCTTCACGACAGCTGCCACCATCACTCCCACCATCACCACCAAATGTCTACTTTCGTCGTCATCTTAACCGCGATTCCCATCTTCACCACCTCAACCACCACTAACCATTCCCACCGCTACCATCACCGTGAGTCTCAATCACCACAAACACCACCACCACCATCACCAATCTCACTCCCACGACCACTAACACCACTGCCCCTCCCAATACCGGCACTACGTAAGCACATATGTCGAACTCCTTTCGCACCCAACGTAATCAACCGTGCTCATCGGAGGTGCGGGGGAAGGACAACAATACGGCTACAGCCCCCGCCCACCAGCGCCGCCACCACCACAAATCACCACAAACAACTCCTCCTCCTCCTCCACCGCCACGTGCAAGTGCTCGCACACGCACGCCTCAGAGCACGCGTCCATATCCTCCCCCCCATCGCCCCCCATCCCCCCACCCCCGGTAGGGGGTCCCCATTGTGGCACGTGCACGCGCGCGTGCATGCAGGGAATTTACGCACGCAGGCGCCGGGATAAAATTGTGCTGTCGTGCGTGGAGGTCTACCCCGGCGGCAGCGGTGGACGCTGCTCGGAGCACGCTTAGAGGAATGGTGCACGCATGCGCGCACACACACACACAGACAAAGGTTCCCCGTGTATCCTTCAACAGACTGATGGGGCAAGTGTTGTTAGCGACCACCTTTTAACGCCGGAATGGGGCCCAAGGGGATGGTTGTCCAGCACCACGCCCAGCCGCCTTTGTCTCCCCAGTGGTGATGTTTACACACCACACCAGATACTCATGGCATGCCTACCGATTCATCATCATCGTCACCATCAGCCATGGTCAATCCACTGAGTCGACCAAGGGGGGATGTCCAGGACCGGTTCATATATTCGCTGCTGTTATTGGTCGTAACCCACTATGCCTCCGCTCTCCACAGGCATGCATATACACACATACGTGCACACGCATGCCAGACTAGCTCGTTAATTCCAGTGTGCTGCACGCACGCAAGCAGACATATTACACGCGTGCGCACACAGTTACGTGCACATTCGGCACGGGGAAAATGACTTTCCGTGCAATATCAATCTGGTTGCTAACCAGCAGACACACTCATCTGCTGGGGGACAGTGTTCTAATGGGCCTCTTAGTTAAACTAAATTGTGCCGTCTAATAGTCGAGAGTGCGGCAGGCTGCTCCCGCACGATGGTATTCATTTAACCGGGGGAAATAAAAGCAGATTTAGCATTGACCTTATGACCCCGTGCGGGAGGTGCTTTGCTAGGCAGCCTATGTGGGTGCACATATACATATATAGTGTAACTCAAAGACACTAGTAGGAAGCGTTATCCCTCTTGTTTATTCCGGCTCTCACAGCCATAGAGGATAACTACACACCGGCTCGGGACAGCCAACATGCTTCCAGACCCACAGCTTGAAGAGGCGAAGACCACGACGACAAGCGGCATGACGAGTTCCATTCCCGACGGCAGCAGCCCCGACTGTGAGTCGGAGCTCGCCTTTTATTCTCCCCAGGGTGACCAGGCTCCGCCCTCGGCCACGCCCCCTTCTGGATCCCCCAGAAGGCTCGGCGCTTGGCCCACGGGCCCAACTGGTAGAGGGGGCTGCTAGCCCTAACCCCATTGTCTACCAATCTCCCAGCGGCACGCGCTACAGTGACTCACTCCGTGTCACCACACCTGCAAAGACCCCACCCTGCCCCTGTATAGCCTCCGCTGGCTGTTGGGGCACGTGCTGTGAGCGAGCACTTATCAAGGCTGGTACGGGGCACAAGTGGGAGGAGGGGCGTTGTGTGGCCAGTGCAATGCCCGGCCACCTTTGTCTCTTCACTGCTCATAATCACAAACTGCACCGGGTGCTCACGTAAGGCCGAGCTGTTTTTTTATGGAATTCGCCACCGCTGTTGGATGGCCGTGAGCGTGAGCCGAACTTGGGTCGCCACTGCTGTACCGCCTCTCCTCACACGCACACTCAAGAGACCACCCCCCCCCCCCCCCCCGGATTATTAGAGTTTATGTTATATACAGCGGGGCCAAAACAAATTCACCCCCAGTATAAGAGGGGTCAGGACCCAAGCTGAATGAATATTGATTTTAAAGTAACATATTTGTTTATTTCATTTATTACTTCTTCACCCCTGGTGGCTTTATTACAGAGAGGACTCACTTTGTTCTCTCTTGAGGGTCGTCTATTTCTTTCCAAATTTAATGGGATTTTACAAGCGGAATAAATAAAGCCCCGTGTAATATTTTTTGGCTGTCATTTTTTTTCTCTCCTCTTATTATCCACGCCATCGAAATCACAGAACGTGCAATTATGTTATCTCCCTCCCTCTCTTTCCAAAGAAAGCTACGGGGACTATTTGCTTCCTTGCATGTTACCGCGGCAAGGCGCTTAACCTACACGCCCGGCGCGGCTGCGTGCCCCGGCTAAACGGAGGCACTCGCGGGACATCACACACAGAGACAAAGATCCCCCGTATAGCCTTAAGAGAATGCAGGAGCAAGTGCTGTTCGCGGGGCACTCATAAAGGCCGGCACGGCACCACGCTCGTCTCCCCAAGCGGCGACATTTGCACACCGCACCAGGTACTCATTGGAGGCTGAGTCAACCTTGGGGGAGGGCCCAGGAGCTGTTCAGATGATCGTCCCCGGTAATGGACCGTGAGCGGCAATGAAACATGGGTTTGCCGGGGTTCTGAGCGCGGCGCGCTAAACCACTGCACCGCCGCTCCCCACGGCGTCACAGACACGCAACGCGCGCGTGCCCTCGGTGATCGCGCGAGCGCGCGGTGGCAGCTGCGTTGCGGAAGAATCCCCGTTTAAATATGGACGCGCGAGCCTCGCGAACGCACGTTCACGAGCCGCGACAAAGATCGCCCCCGCTCCCTTCCCCGTGGACTACAGCGCTCCGACGTGTCTTCTGGGTTGTACCGCGCTGCGTTCGGCCACGGCTGTCCGCCGTTTCGCTCGCTCGTTTTTTGCTCGCCTCGTTCAGCGGTTGGAAATTGGATAACCTTCCCGATAGGGTCAAACGTGCTGCACGGAATTTCCACGTGAACCACAGAAGCCACTGGAGGCGCCCTGTATGTTAACAAGCACAAAACAATAATAATGATGATGATGAAATGGTGACTCCTAACTGGAGAAATTTGTCAAACAACAACGAGGGATCTCCCAAAAATCATCGCACGCCCGCTGATTCATCGTCACCATCGGCCTTGGTCAATCCGCTGCTGTATGAAGCCCTTCCCGCAAGCCGCTGCCACCTCTCACGATGAGCCAGTCTCAATCCGCCGCGAGCCTCCTCGCCAAAGCGGCACAGCCGCGGGGGGGGTGGGGGGGGCGCGTTTCGCTCAAACGACAAGAGGCAAAAAGGGTAGGGGGGACAGTGGTCGGCGATCATTTATTGCTTGGTGGCCGTTAACTTGAACCGCGAATTAATGGTATAAAAGAAAATACAAAATCGGAATGCGCTCGGCATTGCGGTGTGAGTCGACCGCGCTCCGCCCGAGGAAAGTGCCGGGATCGGCGTCCTTAAAGGGGTTAAGGGAGGAGAGCATTCATTTGATCTCGAGTGCTTCCCCTGGCCATGTGAGCGATTGAAATGGGCAGCCAGGGGCTACTACAATAAAAATATGACACATGCGCCGTTCAATCTCGTCCCCACCCACGCCCTCGTTCTTCTGCATCACGGAAAACAACAACGCACACAATGACAACAACAACAACAACGACGACACACACGCTACGACACACAACGACAACACAAGCACACGACGACACACACAATACGACAACACACAAACACACACGAAACACATAATACAACACACACACAACGACACACAAAGACACGCATGCACGACGACAACACACACGACACTACAACACACACACACAATGGACACAACACACACACACTACGACAACACACAAAAGGACACACACACTACGACAACACACGCGTGCGCGGATGGACACAAAACACCTCTCCCTATGCAAATGAAAAAAAAATTCACAGTGTTAGCGTTTTTGCATCCCTCCGCCATCCCCATCCACTCTCTCTCACTTCCAAACGGCAAACAGCAACTTGTCTGACACCGGGATACAGCCACCCCCCCACACACACATTATGGCCCATATATTCACCCGCTCATTCAGTATCTCGCTCACCCGCTCACACACCCGTTCACTCGCTCCATTTTCCCGATTCCTGCACGCTCCCTTGTCCATTCGCCATTCTCACTCACCAAGCCACTCACCAACCCACCGACTCTTTCAATTACTCACTCGCTCACCCACTCACACACCCGTTCACTCGCTCCATTCATCCGTTTACACAGTCACTTGTCCATTCGCCATCTGACTCGCCAAGCCACTCACCAACCTTATACCGACTCATTCAATAACTCCATCCGTTCACCCACTCACTCACACACGTATTCATTCGTCAACTCACTTAACCAACCCACTAACCCGCTTACCCCCTCATCTATTCACCCACCCATCCACGCCCACCTACTCACTCCCTCAATCGCCCACTCACTTGCACACCACTGCGGGTGTCCGGTTGCATCCACGTGGAACTTATTGCCCGTCATCCACAATGTTTCACGACCTCCTCTCAGCCAGTTCTGCAGTTGACTAATATCGGGAAATGTTCTTTAAAGCTTTATGAGGCATGAACGTAGTGTAGCACCTTACAGGCAATAAGTTTGAACGCTATACGAATTGGGGCGAACACTAACTTCCATGGCTTACACTTCCTCCTTCTCTCTCCGTGCGTGGGCAGTGAGGACGCGGATCGCCGTTCCTCCTCGCGATCAGAGCGTGGAGAAAGGGATGACCACGACGCTCCACTGTGGCGTCACCCATGACCCCGCCGTCGCTGTCAGGTAAAGGGAGGCAGGGGGGGAGGCAGAGATGCGGGGGCGGGGGGGGGTTAATGTCCACGCAACACAAAACAAGCGCACCTTTGGCTCCCCAATACTCGCATTGACACAACGCACCAGATGTGCATTTGAGGCGAAGTCAACCGAGCGGAGGCCCAGGACCGGTTCAGATATTCGTCACCGATGTTGGGCTATGAGCGGGAATCAAATCCGCCGGGTCCATCGTGAAGTGTGCTCGCCTCTGCGCCACCCCTCCCCATTGAAAACAACACAACATCAGCAACAACAACAGCCGCCATTCGCCACTAAGTGGCGGTGACATCACCACGGTGCCTGTACCAGGCAAGGTGCACTTTGAGGCCACGCGAAGTGTCGAAGGCTCGCTGACAGGAGGTGATGGGACAGAGCCAGGTGCATTGGGCTCACTGAGATGATTGGCAGTTGCACCAGCTGTACCCTCTACTGTGTCAACTTGCTGTATTTTAGCCGCCCGGCGCTCCGCTCGTTGTTGTGAGCGTCGCTCCTCTGTGCTCCGTTGTTGTTGTAGGAGAGCGACTGCCTCCAACTGCCCAGTAGCGTCCTTCACGAGCCTGCTGGTGCACGTGTCTATGTGTGTGTGTCCCGGTCAGTACAAATACAAATATCCCCCGTATAGCCTTAACAAACTGTGGGGGCAAGTGCTGTTAGCGAGCACCTATGAAGGCCGCCACAGCACACGAGGGGGTGGGTGGCCACGCACCACGCCCGACCGCCTTTGTCTCCCCAGTGGCAATGTTTTTACACACCGCACCAGGTACTCATTTGAGGCTGAGTCGACCTAGGGAAGGACCATGACCGGTTCAGATAGTCGCCTACTGGTGTTGGCCGTGAGCGGGAATCGAACTGGGGTCGCCGGGTTCGTAGCGCAGCGCGCTGACCGCTACGGGCACGCACACACACACATGCGCACACTGCCCAAGCTCCTGTCAATGGGCGATGGGGGGTGAACTTAGCGGAAGAGAGAGAGAGAGAGAGCTCGTATCCGCCACTCTCCACTTCACAGGGAAACTGTCAGGCTGCCAAGAGCAGGTAATTACGGGGCAGGGCCAGGGACCGCTCCGCTTGCCCTCGCAAATTCACACCTCCGTGCCGCTTCTCACCGCTCCAAGGGAGCAGCCTGGAATGGAGCGGCCGGCGTTCTGAGTTGGAGTGGCTGCCAAGATTCGTTGGACAGCTGTTTGTGCTTTTTTTTTCTTTTGAGACGTGCCCACATGAGTGCTTTTACAGTGGAGGATTCTCAGCGCACAATTTGTGGCCGTGATTGAAAAGAGAACCGATGATGATATTTCTGATGTTGTTGTTGCGAGACACTGACATTCACGCTGATGGTGAGAATTATTTCGAATACTTACAATGATAATAACAATTTTGAGAGTAATGTGAGAATGACAATTGAAGGTGATGATGGCAATGAAAATGATGACGCTCATGATGGCAGTGATGACGATGATTCGGGGAATTTGAAAATGATGCAGTGATGATGGCGACAATAATGACAATAGGGATGATGACCAACACAATGACGACCATGAGTGCATATCTAACAATAACGTGGTGATGATGATGCCACAAATGACAATAATGATGACAAATATAGTGATTAAAACAATGGTGATGCTGGCAATGAATGTAATATTATGTATCTACAATGATGATGATAATGACAATGATAACGTCGATGCAATGAAGAAGACGATGATCGTGATGATCATGATGATGACTGAAAAAAATGACTACCACAAAGATAACGATGATGACTACCATGAAGATGATGATGATTGCGACGATGATGACGACAGCGACAATGACGACTCGCGCGATGGTGACCAATCATTGACGATGACCACGGTGACCAGCAACGACGACGATGATGACGGCGACGACTAACAACGACGTTGGCAGGGTGTTCTGGGACAAGGACGGCTCCGTGATTGGGCCCGAGGCGGCGCCTCGGCTCGCGCAGGACGCCGGCGGCTTCCTGCGCGTCGTGCAGGCCTGGTCGGGCGACATCGGCTCCTACACGTGCCACGTGACCTCGGCGGCGGGCAACGACTCCAGGACCGCCCGGGTCGAAGTACGGTGAGGAAATCACGCGGACACTTAGAGAGACAGAGATCTCCTCCTCCTCCTCCACCCACCCCCACGTATGGACTTTAATAGGCTGCAGGGGCAAGTGCTGTGAGTGATGCACCTTGAGGAGGCCTGCATGGCACACGACGGTGTGGATGGGTAGCACCACGTCAGGCCGTCTTTGTTTCCCCAATGATGATGTTTAGACATGTATGTATTTGGAACCTCTTTCCTGCCGTACGTTGCTGGCCGTCCTTATCGGAGGTTTCAGGGGAAGGACAACAAACTTAACGCAAAAAGCACTTCTAGAGATATTCGTTTCAGGGTCATCCATTCTACGGCGGAGTCGAGTTAGGGGAGCGGGGATCGAACTTGTTTGCCCAGGTTCGTAGTGCAGAGTGCTAACCACTACAACATCACTCCCTACGAACACAATCTACTCAAACAAAAACAAAATAGAAACTAACACATTCCAATTGCTACTGAGTGGTTGTGACGGATGGCGATAAGGTGAGAGTGGTGAGGTGAGAGTGGTGAGGTGAGATTAGTGAGGTGAGAGCGGTGAGGTGAGAGTGGTGAGCTGAGTGTGGTGAGGTGAGAGCGGCGAGGTGAGAGCGGCGAGGTGAGAGCGGCGAGGTGAGAGCGGTGAGGTGAGAGCGGTGAGGTGGGAGCGGTGAGGTGAGAGTGGTGAGGTGAGTGCGGTGAGGTGGGAGCGGTGAGGTGAGAGTGGTGAGGGGAGAGTGGTGAGGTGGGACCGATGAGGTGAGAGTGGTGAGGTGAGTGTGGTGAGGTCAGAGCGGTTGACTGTTGTGAGACGCGCATGACTCGCGGTGACGGAGCGGGTGAGAAAGTTCTGCACCCACACCACGTGGAACAGATGATATCAGAGGTAGCTCGGGGGTATCCACTTGTGCGGGCTGTTTTATTTTTTTAACGCCATCATGATGATGATAACGAGGAAGATGACGACGGCAATGATGCCGGAGGAATCAGGACGGATCTCTCCGTGAGAGATCCGAACCTTCGTCTCCTGGTGTGGCACCGATAGCCACCATCCCCATTATTTTGGGAACAATTCCCCCCCCCCGAAATAGTAAACAAACAAGTTCACCCATGGTACAGATTTTTTTCGGTTAGATCGCGTAGTTGTCATTACAGGCGAAACGTCGTACTCAGATTGTAAATGTTGTGGCTTTGCTCTCCACCACACCGGTGTGCTGTACTAGTGACGAATTGGCCACGTTCTGTTTACGTGACAAACTTAGCTAGTTGGCTGTGTCGAGTGGTGGCGGGTTTAACGGCCCATTTATATATTTATGCGATCTAAACCCATAAGAACCTGTATTATAGATGATATTGGTCGCGATAAACGAACACGTTAAAAACTGAACAAGATCACGTCCTCCGTTGCTCCCAGGTTTCCTCCGCTTTGCGAGAGTTATGATTCTGTATGGATTCTTTATATTGTGGCATGGCATCGACAGCACAACTGGGATAAAATTGGGGTGGGGGCCGGGGGAGGAGGAGGAGGAGGAGGAGGAAGAGGGGGAGTGGAGGGAGGAGGCGGGGGGGGGGGGCACCCCCAATTTATTTTGTAACACCTGCTTTGGGGAACGAGCTAACGAGCTAACCCCAGAGCCACGCGACTCTTCCCGCACCTCCGGTTCTCTTCAGCTGCCAACATTCACATCGGTCCTGTCCAATTTGGCCTGGGTTAAGCCACTTCCACGTGCTCCGTGGTGCTTGCTCTCGCTGCTGCTAGCTTTCCACGACGGTCGGATCCCCATCGTCGCTTCGGAAGCGAAGGGGGCGACGGAAGCTGGAAACTGTGTTGTGGGTGTAATGATATACCAGCCGCTGCAAGCCGGAGCGGTGAAAACTTCAGACAGTTCGACGAGTGGCCCGTGGAGCCCGTCATTCGATTGAGTAGTAAAGTAGACCCCCTAAATCATCGACATTATCTTGTCTCGTCTTAGATGGAGTAACACAAAAAGTTGCACGCCCGTGTGCTTTATTGCTCACTCTCTTTCTCTCTCGACGGAGGCAAATGCTAGTTTAAAATCAATCAGCAAATATCAATAAACTGGTACTCTCTAAAATTACAATGAACTATGCGTTCGGAGCGGCGTGTGCGCGTGCGTGGGTGGGTGGGTACGTCTGTGTGCGCGTGTGGGTGGGTGGGTGGGTACGTCTGTGCGAGTGCATATGCACAGTCTATCAAATTCAAGTGCCTCGGCTGTGCAGGCAAATGTGGCTCGCGTGCAAGAAATTTATGGCCGGCACTCGCATTCAAAGTGTCCACCAATTCCAACGAGCGATGGGGTGGCAGCTCAACTCTGTCAGTGACCTTGAGCCAATGGTGAAAATTCTATTAATTATGATAATTAAAATGTCATGGGGTGGGATGGGGTGGGGGGGTGGCGTAGTGGTTAGTGCACTGCCACTCTGAACCTGGCGACCAGAGGCCGAGTTGATTCCCAGACACGGCCAACACATGTGACGAGTGATATCTCTCCTTGACCAACCTGGCAGTGGCAGCGTGGCGAAGTATGAACCCCCCCCTCCCCTCGCAGACCGACTCTGCAGGCAGAAGCTTTCATCTGACACTGGATTGACAAAGCAGTGGAAATAAAATAAAGATCTCAATCATGTATCCAGGAAAGCCTCAACGAGTCTCGGGACTCTCGTTAGGAGTGTCTAGTATTTTTGGACAATTATTTTCTGAGAGAGCAGTATTTGACCTTTGGGAGGAACTCTGAGTACTCGGAGAATGTGCCACGCACAGGCACGCTCATGAACCCGCTTGCTGTGCTGCCACTTTCTGGGCTTCGTGCAAGCCCAGCGGGCTTGGCGGTCTTCACTAAAATGTTATGCTTCGTCTCTTGCCTGCCTTTCCAGGCTCACCTTTATCGGCGTCGATATAATATTTTTGTGGTCAGCCAGGGTCACTCTCCCGTGTATGTTGTGGGTTGAGCGAGAGCAATCGAGACCATGCACCCGAGGCGATTCAGTAGGGTCGGCCTGTCTTCAATTTTTCGACAAGACACCCTGCCAGCTTTCACGCAGTGGAGTATCACTCGAATAACACGGTGCACTCACAATGTGTTACAGGATGATCCCTTTATCCCAACACAAACACCTAAAGCCTACGCGTTACCGAACACTCACGCACCCTTAAATGATGCACTTTTAGCCTTAAGTGGCGTTCACCACTCGCTTTGGGCTGCATCAACAAGAAACCCGGCTCCAGGTGAAGCTCCACTCCACGCATCGTGTTCAACGCCAGCCAAGGCTAAAAGTGCCTTACCTCCTGCAAAGCGCTGGGCAAGAGGCATGCACATCCACGTTCCTTAGGACAAGGGCCAGTGTACTTATTTAATTGCCACTGACCAGCACTATCGTAGTTTAAACATACAAAAAGTTGATCTTAACAAAATAGGTTTTTTTAAGGGTGGTGGAGTGGTGGCACAGTGTATCGCCCTTTGAACCTAGCAACCTATATTACATCCTGACAAGTGTGGTGAAGTATAGCCGAACTTCTCCCGTGACTGACAGGTGCGGTGAAGCCTTTGTGTGCGAGCGCGTGCGTGTGAACGTGCATGGTAGTCACCGCTCTGCACTTGTTATGCTGTGATGGTGATGATGGTGAAGATGGTGGTGATGATGATGGTGGTGGTGATGATGAAGATGGTGGTGATGAATATGGTGGTGGTGGTGGTGATGATGATGATGATGGTGTTGATGATGATGATGGTGTTGATGATGGTGGTGGTAGTGGTGGTGGTGATGATGATGATGGTACCACAGGGAGGTGCCGTACCCGCCGGTGGAGGTGGTGGCACGACTCTCTCCGACGGCACGGCGCTCCGTGGTGCTGTCCTGGGTGCGCTCGTACGACGGCAACAGCGCCCTGCTGCGCTACATCCTGGAGGCCACCGAGAACGGTACCCCTGGCGCTCCCACGCCACGTCGCACTCGTATAACATCGCACCGCAATTGCACAATGTCGCACTCATGTCACATTGCACCACGTCGCACCACGTCCCACCACGTGGCACGGACGTCACGTCGCACGGTGTCACCAAACGTCGCGCAGCGTCGCACCTCGTCGCAACACATCACACCACATCACAAAGTCACAACAGGTCACACCATATCACCCCACATCACCTCACGTGACGGCACATCACAGCACACACCGTGCTCGGAATTGCAACACACTCCACTATACCGCAGCACACGTGGCCACACCACACTGAAACGGCTGCGTCTCATTATCTCTGTTGGAATAAGCACAGAGTAATGTTTGGTCCGGAGGCTTGTAATCAAATGTCATTTTATGCTTGCAACTCAGTGAGCTTTGCCCACATTCTATCCCCTTCAGCATCAAACTCTATAGGAGGCAAATTACTTTGTTCAACAATGATGAATCTTGTAAATGCTAGTGTGTTTCGTGCTAGACATTAAGTGTTGTCCTCTGAAACTACTTCATCACCCGCATAAAAAAAATCTGTATTTTTTAAATGTTCCAGTTGTAAGCGGAGACTCGATTATACGTGTGCCAGATTTGGGCTACATAGCCATACCAGAATATCATTAGAGTGTCTATCAGTCAGCCACGGACGAAAACAACTTCATGGAGAAAAATCCCTTATGGCGTAACTGAAAGTTTCATGTCACCATTTTTCACCGACTTGCTTAAATAACAAAAAGAATATTCCGTCTCTCCGGTTCGTTTCTTTCGTAGCGTTTTAAGAAATAATTCATGTTAATCTCATTTTACATGACTGGGTAATTGAAACGCTGCTTGGAAACCTTGCATTTCCCTTCATGTACAAACCGGGGGGGACGGGGGGAACATCCTGACAATGTCAGCACAGACAGCACCGCCAGCTACATCGCTCAAGCTCTGCCCTGACTTCAGCTCTGAAATGAAAACATCAGAGCCCTCCCCCCCTCCTCTCCCCCACCTCTCCCCCCCACCCCCAAGGCTAAGTGCCCTTTAACACCGTCATTGTCATTAGCAAATAGTGCCTTGTAACTGGGGAAGAAATATATAATATATAACTAGCTTATGCTATGGGCAATGTCCCTTGCTCAGAGCTGAGATAGACACAGATAGAGGGATGAACGATGTGAAGGATTCATTCTGACTTCTAGATAGATGCTGAATGGTATAAATGCGGAGATGAATAAAATTGGGTGTAGGCGGTTGGCGCATGAATTGAATGATTTCCGCGTTGCACTTAAACCGTCGCGCGATGATCGCGCTTGCCTCTAATGGATGGAAATGATTACGTTGCGCGGATCTCTTTGGCTCGTGCCTGCGAAATGCTGTCACTGTCTTTGTTGTTGCTTGTGTTTGCACATGCATGGTTTTAAATACGAATACTGTGGGTTAACCTCTAAACCGTGGCGTTAACCCCTTAACCGTGGCGTTAACCCCTTAACCGTGGCGTTAACAGGAAGGGGTTAACCAGAGCCGCTGGTGCCAGTGTTGGCACGTGTCGAGTGCGCATGGGTGAAGGTGCAACAGTATGCGGTTGTTGTTCACCCCGTGGATCCTGCATGATTGCAGCCATATCGGAGGCATCTGGACGCTAAATTGGGCATTATGCATACAGAGGGACATGGGGTTCTGGAGGAGAGAGAGACACACAGAGATATAGAGACCCGGAGAGAGGAAATTAGAGAGAGGCAGAGAGACACCGAGAATGGCATAGTGACAGGCAGACACCTACACACACAAAGACACGGAGAACGTCAAAGAGAAAGTCACAGAGACACAGAGAGGCACCATATATCCAGAGCAATACAGGTGGGAACGTCGACAGCCATTGGGACACACAGAGAACGATACACACAGTCGTAGAGAGAACGAGAGCGATGGAGAGACATGCAGAGAGACTCATGGTCCCACAGAAAGAGGACCAACTCCTATCTAGCCCCCTCCCTCCACCGACAACTCCCGAGCAAAGAGTCGAGGATCTCGCTCGGCTTAGACCCCTGACTTCGCATTCCGCGGGATGCGCCATTCACGTCGCTGTGTCGGCTAAATCGGGTTAACGTGGACACATCCCAGATTCCCTTAGTTTGGTTTCGGTCGTGGTGGAAGGTTCTTGCTGTTTGCTTTGGATTTGATTGACATCCACCCTTCACCCCAGCCTCTAACTCACCACCACCACCTGGGCTCCTGTCCCTCCCCCAATAGCTCATTCTTCCCTCTCCTAACCCCATCTACGGCTGCCGCAGCTCATTCTAATCCTGTGCCCAGCCTCGCGCTCGCTCCCCCCTGCTTATCTGGCCAGAACCACTACGGCTACCTCCCTACCTACCTCCGTGTTCACAAAGTAAACAAACTAGAATGCCCATTTTTCTTATTTGCTCGATAAGGAAACACCAACGACGATGATGCTTTAAACAAAGTCCGCCGTAAAAAAAAAGATCGTGTAACGTTATCTCTTGAATTGTTCAAAACTGCAAATATTAACTTTTATACGCGTAGGCTATTGTTTCTGTATCCCGGCGTTAATCTTCTGCCTTTAGTTTTTTTCCCCTTCAAATTCTATTCGTTTGTTTTTTTTTTCCTCTCTCTCCCTCTCTGTCTCTCTGCTGGTGTTTTGCTTCTCTCTGTTTTGCCTCCTTCCCTGTAAGAATCTATCGATTTCCTTTAATTATCAAAGGAGTCTCTAGACCCGTTTTCGCGAGTGTCCTGCCACCCTGTCGAATGTTCGGCCAAATTCATTCATGGGAGTTTGGCTTCGTGTGGGAGGGAACCTGAAGCAACCGGAGGAAATCCACCACACTTACGAGGGGTATAACACTCAAAAGCTCAAGCGAATTTAATCCATTATCTGTACTACCATCTCCTGGCCACCACGCATCCTAAGCCTTTACTGCCTGCCGCTTCCCATGCAGTCTCCTATCCCCAAGTACGAACCAGGCCGCACTCTGTTTTGCTCGCAAGATCCGGGGCACACTTTGGGGCGATTTGTACGTCGGCAATACAGATCAGCAGGAAGCTCGACTCCCGACAAACTTGGAGGCAGCGTCGCACTCGGGGCAGCAAGAGCCAGAGCAGAAGTGGCCCAAAGGTCGGGATCATCGATGGCTTTGAGGAGCAGGAGAAGACCTCTTAAGCGCCCCATCATCCCGGCGCCGGCCGTCCTTCACCCTCCCCACCCTCTCTGATCGTTGACAGACTCCCCGTGGACGGTGCTGAGGGTGGACATCGGCCCCGTGATGGCGAACTTCACCATGGGGGGGCTGCTGCCGTCACGGACCTACCGCTTCCGCCTGAGCTCCGTCAACGCGGTGGGGACGGGCGAGCCGAGCCACGAGACTGAGAGGTGAGAGAGCGCCCGGCTGGGGCGCCGGTGACCGAGGGTCGCCGAGGTCGAGGTGGGGGTAGCGCAAGGGCGCGATGGCGGCATCGTTGAAAATCGGAGGCGTGCTCCGATAACATCGATCCCGTGGAGAAAACAAAAAAACGCAAGGGCTTACGACGATGATGACGGCGACATTGACGATGAGAGTCAAACTTGAAAGTATCTAACTGCTTGAAAGGGCTGGGCAAAATTAATAATAATGGTTAGTTTTATATATATATATCTCGTCGCCACTCGTACAAAGTGTATCTCACAATCAACGAGGAACCACAGACAAGCTGGAAGGTAGGCAGGTGGTGAGCTGGTGATTTCGGAGCTCTGTAGTTCTCTATATATTAAGATGTTTTCAGCGATTTACTGAGTATTTGCACTTGTCGGTGGTAACCGGACCACCGGGAGAAAACCCACGAGTGCGAGGAGGCAACACTGTATCTTATACAGATGGAACAGATGGAGATTAGTCCTCATTTAGCTGGACAGCCTTCATCCACCAACCCTCGCTGCTGCGCTCCACAGCGCCGGATAAGAGGCCATGTGCAGCGTAGCCACCACCGCCCGGCATCAGCTCAAGGTCGTTCTCAAGGAACTTGGTGCAGCTTTGCACGACCTCGATGGTAACACGACCCCTGACACCCCTTGATCATGCACGCGACCGATGGCCAGGACCACTCGCTCTTCGTAATCATGCAGCCCGACGGCTGAGCGGTCCAACGCCGCACATGGCAGACTCCTGCGCCTCGCCTAGTCTGCCTCCTGGGTGGATCGTACCGGACAGTACGATTGTCGCCAGGCCGTCCTATGTTGTACGACGTGCTGAGGTTTCGGCATAGTGCCGCAGCCCTAGGTAGTGGTAGCAACGCCTCTCCCCTCCAGCCCCCTCTCCACCCCCACCCTCCTTCCCTCCTTGGCGTGAACACAACCGGGCCGATTAACAGGGGAGATGCGTATAAGTTAGGTTTAATTGCCGTGTTAATTATTGACGATGCCGCTTTCACGTGAATGATGTTTTTCATCGACGCCCGATGATCGCAACGGGACAATTTGCTCTTGCGCAAAACATACACGCGTGCGCATCCACACACACACAACTCACACGTGCACACACTCGCACACACCAAAGACAACCCGACTTTTGGGGCAAGTGGCGTTAGCGACCACCTATGAAGGCCGGTACAAGACACGAGGGGGTGGGTGACCAGCACCACGCCCGGCCGCCTTTGTCTCCCCAGTGGCGATGTTTACACAACACGCGAGGTCCTCATTTGAGGCAGAGTCGACATAGGGGAGACCCAGGACCGGTTTAGATAATCGCCATTGGTTTTGGCCGTGAGTGGGAATCTAACACCGGTTACTGGGGTTCGTAGCGTAGCGTGCTAACCACTGCACCTCCGCTACACCCCCCCCCCCCCCCCCCCATGCACACACGCACACGCACACACACATGCGCGCAATGTGCGATCGTTGATTTTACTCTTCCACATTACCGCTCTCTCGGAAGGTGAATTTACCGGCCCCGTCACAATCCGAGAGAATGGGACGACTGGGGGCGACACGAACGGATGCACGATAATGATAATGTTTATTGTTGAAATGGGGAAGCCTCGCCGGGTCTCGGGACTCCTTATTTCAGAAGGGTTCTGCTCAATCGGGATGATTGAATCAGAGAACCCAAAGAAAAACAGACGCACACCTAGCACGGCGATGAGACTCGAAAAGTTTTGCACGGGTGGGTTTCACAGGTGTGTTTGCCAGTCCACCTACCACGAGACTGCCATCCCCTGTCCACCTCATAGCCCCAGCGGGTTTAAGACTTCGCAGATCTCGGCATGATCCACCAAACCTCGTCTCCAAAGTGCTGGAACCGCAAAATGCGCACCGCCACCCTCTGCATCGTAAGCCTCGTACCTAGACATCACTGGTGTCACCTCCATTCAAGGCGACACCAGTGATGATGGCAATGATGTGTTTGATGTCCACCACGATGATGACGTGAATAATAATTTTAAATTGTAACGCGCCTCCGCCGCAAGGTGGAAAAGATGGAGATTAGGTCACATATATTAGTGTATCGCCTTAAGCTGGCGAGCCAGGGTACGGACATTTCCACGACGCCCACGAGAATGGAGCTTCACAATTTTGCATGACCAAGCGATGATACCGATTATGACAGCGATAATGATGATGACCATGATGACGATGACGACGATGATGATGATGATGACAGCGATGATGATGGTAATGATGACGACGACGATGATGATGACGACAATGATGGTGATGATGACAATGCCGAGGATGACGACGACGATAAAAGCGATGGCAACGACGGGCGGCGATGATGGCAATGTTCCCTGCCGCTCGCCGCAGTGTGACGCTGCCCGAGGAGCCTCCGGAAGGGACGGTGCAGATGGTGGTGGCTGCCGGGCGGACGAACCGCACGATCGCACTGCAGTGGCAGTCCCCGCCGGAGAGCCAGTGGAACGGAGCGCTCAAGGGCTTCCTCATCCGGTGAGCGGTGGAGCCGGCGCTCCAGATGAGTCGGCGTAACGTGTGCGTAATGTGTTCGCACATTTGCGTAATGTGTGCGTAACGTTTGCATAAAGTGTGCATTGGTCAACAAGTGCGGATTGGCGCACGATATTCAAACGTGTGTCGTGCAACGATAAAAGACGAATGGCAAAGGAGCAGCCCTGCAATTGCTCGCTCGCGGTATCGCTGGCGGGAAGGGCCTCCACTGAAAGGGAGCTCGAGAGCGAAGCTTGAGGTCAAGGCTTGAGGTCAAGGCTTGAGGTCACGTGACACACGCACGGTGCAGGAGTGGTCACTTGACTTTTGGGGTACGCATGAGGGGCAATGTATTCCGCTAAATTGCATGATGGGGATTGTTCATCTCTCTTGTACAAATGGAATAACATCTTTTTAAAGACTGATATTTTTCTTTTTTAGAGATTCCCTATTCCAACAACTCTTTTCAGGTTTGTAAGTTTTCGTTACGGAGCCGCAGTTCCAACTTTGTCATTTTTTTCAGCAGTTCAAAGTAGCGTGGCAGTTACAACTTCAGGTTCTGGTTTAATGCGTACCCCCGTGAAATATACGCGCCTTGAAATTACACCGCGAATTCTTCAAGGTATCGCTCGCGAAAATCCGCCTATCAAAAAATCGGCATCACGAGGTCTCTTTTTTTTGGGGGGTGGGAGTTCAAACAGATTTGCAAATGTCGAAACGTGTTGATTGCCGTCCTGCTGTCTTAAAAAGCGCGCATTCAAACCGTAGGGGGGGGGGGGCAGCTTGGGGCTCGGCCACACGCTGCAGCAGCTTTGAAGAATTACGATAAAAAATGTATGTAAAATCTATACCGCTCGCTGGCAACACCCGAATGTAATCAATGCTGCTCCACGTTACCCTTGCGTTTATTGCTCGGGTCGTTTGTCACATTTTTAGTTTGTAAAGACGACACGTCGTCGGCGACTTAACCTATGACTCGTGGCCAGTGACCTCTCACCCCTAACCCCTAACGCGTTGGTTCTCAACCTTTCTGGTGCGGTGCTGCCCCCTCCACCCCCCCCCCCCCCAGTCAAGACCACCGGTACCTGCGCCCCCCCCCCCCTTCCCTCCCCCCAGTGTAGCATATCCCCCGGCAGGTTACTAGGGTCACAATACAGAGATACAGAGAGAGAGAGGGACAATGTATCCACAACTCCAGTTAACGCGGATCTTAGGAAGCCGTTCGTTTCACGCCGTGTGCTGGTGCGTTTTGTTGCCGGCATCGTGGCACTGCCGGTTCCCCCTTTCCACATTCAAGATTGCTCCATTTCTCCCACACGTGCACTTTCTCCCCCCCCCCCCCCCCCCGCCTGAAATACCTCCGTACGATGCATCGCGGCTCCATAGGTACCGGCTGTCCATCGACCGCGCCGACTACCAGTACAAGAACGTCCCCAACTCGGAGATGACGAGCTACCTCCTGGAGGACCTGTCCGTGTGGACCAGCTACGAGGTGGAGGTGGCGGCCTACAACGGAGCCGGGCTCGGGCCCTACAGCACGGCCGTGCAGGAGTGGACGCTCGAAGGAGGTGAGCGCGGGGTGGAGAGGGGGGTGGTGGCCACACAGGCGGAAGAGGGTAGTAAGAGGGCCTACGTGTCCTGGGGAGCGGCCGGACGTACTGTATGCACGCAATACTTTTTTTCCCACCGTACGTCGCCAACCGTGCTCATCGGAGGTGCGGAAGAAGGCCTCGTCAAGCCACCGCCACCTCTCACGATCCGGCCCGGCGGCGTGCGGATCCAGCTCGCGGACGCACGAGCTGTTGTCATTGTAGTTCCATCTCCCCATGAAGGACGTTTTCTCTCTCGGACGCCGCGTTCCACTCTCTGGCCGCCGCCGCTCCGTTGTTATTCTTGACCGTCGGCCATCGTCCCTTCCAGCCGTGTCACGCCCTGCCCGAGCCTCACTTGACTTGTACAAATCGTTTGGACCTTGTAATCATTAGCCTGCGAATGTTTCATAAATCCACGCATTCCGCCTTCTGTCTATCAGTGTCCTTCCGAGCGCGCGTCTCTCCACGGCACTCTTCGGTCTTTCGTCTGCATATTTTGTAAATGTTTCTGAAGCGCGCATCGTAGCAGGTAGCACGCATTGATTCAAACATTGATTTGGGGTTAGGAGCCTTTAACAATCACCAAAGGGGGACGAGAGCATGTTATTCATGCTTTTGGAAATCTAATTTTGATGATTATGAGTAACATAGCAATGTTCCTAAATAGAGTGTTTAAGCAGTACGCAATTCCCTGCTATGACGTTGGGTTCAGGAACGCGATCGTTCATGAAACATGTAAAAAAAAATAGCTACCGCAAAGAATGCACACGGGCGTGGAGAGACGCGACGCTTGGATTCACACCGAGAGACAGAAAGAGGAGCTCGCTTGGTAGGGAGCCTGAGCAAGGTTAAGGGCGTCATTCAAGCTGTGAAGCGAAGTAAAGGTGTCACGGTGCTTGGGCAGGACACGCCCCCTCGAAGGGTTGGTGGCTGAGACCGACAAAGGAGCGGTGGCCAAAGGGGGGAACGCGCCGGAGACGACGTCCACCGTGTAGACGGAGCGGTGAGACGGGCCTGGGGTGCAGGAGTTCGGATGGATTCCCGCACACCGACGGCGATGACTTGTGGGGGAAGCTTTCATCCAGCATTGGATCGTGGCTGATGATGACGTTGAATGAGATGGGGAGTAATTTATTTTACCTCTAGACGGACACCTGATGTTAGCCCCATTTGCCATATTTCAACAGCACAGAGACGAAGATCACCCTTATAGAATAAACAGGCTTTTGGGGCAAGTGCTGTTCGTGAACAACTCTGCGAATTACAAATATCAGTTTAGTTGCCACCTGATGAATGTTGCTCTGTGCACCAACGTGGAAAGTGCTGCCCCCTTCGCTCTAGAGTAGAGGTCACCTGGAGTGACCTCAGAAGTCGTTCTGTGATATCTGCCTCCGCGGGCCGTCCTCCAACAAAGAGGGCTGCAGTTCCTCGCGAGGGATCCGCACGTTTGATCCATCTCTCACAATGTGAAAGGGCACAATCAGGATACAATTGTTGGGAACAAGGACAATTTTAAACAACAACAAAAACACAACGATGCATCGACGTACCAGCACGATCCCCTTTTTGATAATTATCAAAGTGTGTTTATTACCGCACTTAAAAAAAATAAGAAAAATCCCTTTGTGTCCAAATTGCGTTTTTGTCGTGATCGAAATAACGACGGCGGTGGCGGGATGAGGAGGAGAAGGTGGTGGTGGTGACGCGGTGCGGAGAGCCGGGCGCCTGGGTCACGTGGGCGATGCCCCGGTCGCCCCACAATCGACCCCCGGCCCTCAGTGAAGGTGCGGCCGCTGCGCCTGGTTTGCATGGGAGAAGGTCTCCCCCCCCCCCACCCCGTTTCTCAGATCGGAACGTCAAACAGAAACCAAGGCCCATCGTCTGCACTTAGCACTCAGCAGCGTTGGCCACCGTGTGTGTGTGTGCGCTTCTCCTGTGACACGCCCGAGGGGGGAGAGTCATCCCCCACCACGCCGACGCCTCCTCCCCCCACACACCGTACTCGACCGCAATCCCCCCGACCGATGCTTCTCAGCCTGTCGGCTCGATGCATCGCATCGATTTTGCGGGTGTTTGTCCGTCCATTGATTTCCTTCCTCTTTTGGAAGCTCTCGGGCTGCCTGTCTTTTTGCGCATTGCATCTGGATGACTTATCGTTTGGAACACACAAATGGCTCCTTATTTTTTTCGTAAAAAAAACTGGCCTGAGCGTTCATGTTTTGCACACACACAAAAAACTGGGCTGAGCGTTCATGTTTTGCACACACACAGACGCACGTGTATGTCTGTGTGTGCACAGGGAAGCATGCAGCTTTCCTCCGTGCTTTCGGGGGGCTAATTTCCGGCGTTATTCGTCACGATGTCCAGCCTTTCGCTCCACGGATACTGGGCGGCTTCCTCAGAAACTGATTTAATTCACTCATTCAATTTCCTAAGAGGCTTCTCCGAACTACATATACGCTCAATCTATTCAGTTCCCGAAGAACCTACCAGCACGTGCAGCAAAACGTCGGACATCGTGCTGAACAACACGCGGTAACAACCAGAATGCACATCGGAGAGCTGTATGGCGCAACCATCAAAAGCATGTGTGTGCTAAATATGATGTGTGTGTGTGTGTGTGAAACGTGATGTGTGTGTGCTAAATGTGATGTGTGTGTGTGTGAAAGGTGATGTGTGTGTGTGCTAAATGCGATGTGTGTGTGTGCTGAATATGATGTGTGTGTGCTAAATGTGATGTGTGTGTGTGCTGAATATGATGTGTGTGTGCAACGTGATGTGTGTGTGCAATGTGATGTGTGTGTGCAACGTGATGTGTGTGTGCAATGTGATGTGTGTGTGCAATGTGATGTGTGTGTGCAATGTGATGTGTGTGTGTGCAACGTGATGTGTGTGTGCAACGTGATGTGTGTGTGCAACGTGATGTGTGTGTGCAACGTGATGTGTGTGTGTGCAACGTGATGTGTGTGTGTGCAACGTGATGTGTGTGTGTGCAACGTGATGTGTGTGTGTGTGCAACGTGATGTGTGTGTGTGCAACGTGATGTGTGTGTGTGCAACGTGATGTGTGTGTGTGCAACGTGATGTGTGTGTGTGCAACGTGATGTGTGTGTGTGCAACGTGATGTGTGTGTGTGCAATGTGATGTGTGTGTGTGCGACGTGATGTGTGTGTGCAACGTGATGTGTGTGTGTGCAACGTGATGTGTGTGTGTGCAACGTGATGTGTGTGTGTGCAACGTGATGTGTGTGTGTGCGATGTTATGTGTGTGTGTGCAACGTGATGTGTGTGTGTGCGATGTGATGTGTGTGTGTGCAACGTGATGTGTGTGTGTGCAACGTGATGTGTGTGTGTGTGCAACGTGATGTGTGTGTGTGTGCAACGTGATGTGTGTGTGTGTGCAACGTGATGTGTGTGTGTGTGCAACGTGATGTGTGTGTGTGCAACGTGATGTGTGTGTGTGTGCAACGTGATGTGTGTGTGTGTGTGCAACGTGATGTGTGTGTGTGTGCAACGTGATGTGTGTGTGTGTGCAACGTGATGTGTGTGTGTGTGCAACGTGATGTGTGTGTGTGTGCAACGTGATGTGTGTGTGTGTGCAACGTGATGTGTGTGCAACGTGATGTGTGTGTGTGTGCAACGTGATGTGTGTGTGTGTGCAACGTGATGTGTGTGTATGTGCAACGTGATGTGTGTGTGTGTGCGCATGCGTGCAGTGCTGAGTGGGAGCTTATCTGAGCTGTGGCGGGTAGAGGAAGGGTCGGCGGTCAGGGCTGCGTGGGGTGGGGTGTCTGGGGTGTGTGTGGGGGGGTGTCTCAGCGTGGAGCAGCTATATTCAAATTATACCTTCTCAGCCCGTGACAAAGTTTCAAAGTCTTGTGGTTAAAAAGGTCCTCTATCGCTTCCACTCGGCGCGCTTTGCAGTGCGGTTGTGCACGGCGCACATTCGTAACACCCACTTTTAAGCCGTCGCCTGTGCACAATGGCGTACGAGTTGGCAGAGCCCTTCTCGTGAGATGTGACGCGCGCGTACGCGCGAGAGCGCGTGCATGCAAACAGAGCATGCGCGCGCCGCATACAATACAAACGCACGATTAACAACCACAAAAGTAGGCACATTTGAACAAAAAGCGTGCACACGCAACGGTCTGTCGTAGCGACGGCGGGACACGCTTGCACTTTGCTTAAGACAATGGGGTCTGGTTTACTTGCTGTGGGTGAATTAGAGCAACTTTTGGCAAGGTTTTTTGGCTTAAACTCCACCAACATCTTCATCGCCAACGGTGGAGAAAATTGCCAAACCTGTGTTGTTTTGGCCATTTCATCGAGGTCATTATAATAATGGGTACAATATAATAATATTAATAATCTTCATGTCGAACCCACTTGTTCAACCTGGAAAGCCTCATTTGAGTCTCACGACTCTTGGCTACGGAGCTTCCTGCTGCATCGAAATGTTTGGCCAAATTCCTTGAGACAGTTAATATCCTCCGTGCAGGAAGGAAACCGAGTACCTGGAGAAACCCCACGATAACGTCCGAGGGGAGTCACACTCAAAGCTGGCCACCTTACAGCATCATTTCCACGTGTGTATCCATGTTATAAAATGAAACGTCCAGATACTTTTTTTACAAACACAGTATATCAATATACCCGACACACCAACAACTTGCAACACATCTGCAATGCCACAAGAAGACGTGGCATGCAAATTCAGAGGCGTTTTTTTCCCGCACGGCCCCTCGCGATGCCCGTGACCTGGAATCGATCAATCGTGCCTGGAAACGTACAGCAGGACCCGCAACGGTGACGTCTGGCCAAGGCTCATAACGAACACCGCCGGAGAACCGAGGGCTTATCTACACCCATTTGTTTTGTACGTTTTTCTCTTTCTCGGCCTGCCAGCTCATGATCGCCTAGTAGGAGTCGTGGCAAGATCTCCCGTGCCGGGTGACGGAGGAGGAGGGAGAGGAAGCTGTAGTTTCATAGTTGCCACTTTCCTGGGTGGCAATGAGGTGGCTTCCGTGAGATACAGAATCCCAGAGCAGCAGCAGCGTTACTTGTTGAAAAGAACACCTACTTCAAAAGGGCTGACATTTTTGATTGATAACAGTTTCTGTCAACTGGGGAGTCGCTTATTCTGCAAAAAAAAAGAAAGTAAAGGAAAAGAGGAAGGAATACCAATGAGAACTACCCCGAGTGGGCTTCACAATTGCTGCGCGACGTGAGCTGCAATTGGTTGATTTCTCATGGTGAGAGTGGCAGATTTCGCCGGTTTTCTGACGTAACTTCTATCGTTCGCCACTCCATTTTGGTGATGTGTTTCATCAGCCCCCACCACCACCACGAACCTCGCCCCCCCCCCCCCCCCCATCAAAAAGGAAATTGTCCTGGGTAGAATTTGGCAGTGCAAAATAAAATTGAGCGGGCTGCTTCCTCCACTCTTTAAAATTACGGTGAATAAAATATATATCTGTACATCTATTCCTTTTTCAATTGCAGTACACTGATCTTTCGCGACTTCACCCACGATTCCCCCATTGTCACAATTACTCATGCAAACGGTGCTGAGCTACTCAAAGTCGGTTCTCGTCCGCTCGAGCAGTAAAAAAAAAAAAATTAACTACACGCCAAGAAAAATGTTCCATTAAAATTTTAAGCCGGGCAACACATGCCACATCAGCAGGCGAGGATTTATTGAAGAAGACCAAAATAGCTTCTCGGGCAAAGCGGGTAAACAGCGCGCGCATAACGAGGCGAGTCGGACGCCTTGCCGCGGAGATCCGCGTGAAGGACGACTCGGTGAATTCGTGGGACGTGTGCACTCCTGACCAAATCTTGGTTCCTCGAGCCACGTTGGAACCAAATACATGTGGTCCGTTGGTACCGCCCGTTGAGGACGATGCTGCCGATGACATTCCCGAAGAGTTTCATCTCGAGGTCGCAAGCATGCACGATCGCGTGGTCACTGTGGTAGCTTTCCACGAGGTATTGCCGTCGAAGGATAACACACGCTTGAAAGAGAATCTCAATTTGGAGGGGAAACACTGGTGCGATATGAAACATCTGCAGAATATGATAATGCATATTACGTGCGTCGATAACAACGACGGCATATATCAGTGTTCTTCAATAATTTTCAGAGGGGAGCCACTTTCGCCGATAAGCCATCATTGTGAGGGCTGCCACACATTTGACACCATTGGGTCTGACAGCAGCACGATGGGGGGGTTGTCACTACAGTATTTGCGTAATGTCAGGGGTCGCACGTCTGGGGCCGCACTAAAGGCCACCAGGGGCGGTCAGTGGCCCGCGGGCCACTATGTAGTGAGACTGCTCCATAACGTTGGGGGGGGGGGGTGGAGGAGAGGCCTGAACGCCTCCCCCCCCTTCAAGGCTGAGCCCTCCACTACTAAATTCCCATATTGAAGTCAAAAAGGAAGTCGGTGCAATGTACGCATGGAGGGTGAGAGCTGGCAGACAGAAGCAGATCCCATCACTACTCATCGTGTTCAGCGTTTTCACATTGGTTTCAAAGTTGTGTGTTCCCACTTGATTTGAAGCTTTCGTGACTGCAGGAATTACTCTTTGGTCCTTTCGGTAAAGTCACGTAGAAAGAAAATAAATGAAATAATAGAGTACGACGTTTCGATTTCAACACAAGCAACCGTCATCAGGTAGAACTCAATTTGAGAGAGAGACAAAGCACAGACACGGAGAGACACAGACAGACACACAAGCAGAGAGAGACAACACAGACACACAGAGAGAGACACACATAGACACAGAGAGAGAGAGAGGGGTGGGGGGGTTAGGCAGAGAGAGGTGGATCAGCTGGGGCTGCTGCTGGAGCAGAGAAATTCCCACTGACCGTAGTGGCCCCCTCTGAGCTCTGAGTTGTTGTACGCCCCTCCGCCCCTTTGAACAAGCTCACGGCTAAGGGGATGTAGCGAGATAGCGATGTAGGATGGTGGGAGGAGAGTAATATTAGCAATATTCATTGGCTTTTCATGTTCATTAATAATACAAAAAAATGTGCGATTTGTAACAAGCACATGAGTGCTCGTGACTGAGGTACGGAGCCAAGGCTCAGTGTCACTCGAAAAGCCGGGAGATAGCGGTGGGACCTTTAAGTGTCTTTTGAAAGAAGTTGCACATAAAATGCTGCGAATATACACCAGGATAATAATAATAAGTTAAACTTGTAATGCGCGGCACAGTATTCGCTCGCTCTCAGAGAGAGAGAGAGACACTTCAGACGATTGGGGGCTGCCACAACACGTCGTGTTAGCATTCGAAGTGAAGCAGATATTCAATACATTTGTTTATTTTATTGTGCTTTCTTTTAATCATTCACAGCAATCGGGAAGTCCCCCCCCCCCTTGGGTTGCTTGGGGAGTGGGTGGGTGGGGGGTCCCCTAGGCTTTTGCTCGGCTTTCTCGGCTTGCTCGGTCACCGTCCCGTCACGCAGCTCCACTCCCCGGGGCGCGTGACTCCGGGAGCCAGAAGCGCCGGCTCCCCTCCTCCCTCCCTCCCTGGCCTCCCTGGCTCATCCGCCCGCCCGCCATGGTGGTGACCTCGGCGAGAGACGCAAGAAGAGCGGCGGCACAGGGGGTTGGTTGCGGGAGTGGGCACAGAAGCGGCACCGGCGCAGTGCCAAATCCCGGCCACACGAAACTGTGACCGGGGGGTTGGTGGGGGGGGTGGTGGGGGGGGTGGAGTAGGTTGTTTTTGTAGGTTGGGCTTCAAGTTAAAAAGGCGAGTCAGGTTACTTAACGAGGTAAGAGCACATTCAGTTCGGGCAAGATGTTGTCAGTCGCAATGGAGGCCCGACAAAGAGAGCAAAATCGAAAATAAACATTGACCAGTGTTTTTTTACGAATAGCAGTCCTTTGGCAGTCTATTGTTGGACGAAGCCCTCTCCACTGCCTTGTGACGTAAAAATACAGGTATCCCTCGATTTACAAAGAAAAAACTACGTGCATAAAACGAAATTTCGTAAATCGGAATGGCTTTTCCCATTAATTTAATTTTCAAAATTCAGCAATGTAATTTGGACAGTCATTCCAAGTCTACTTATATTCTTGGTTCTTTCGGTAAAGTCACGTAGATAGAAAAAATATATTTTATTTTTTATTTTATATCTGCGTGGCTTTAGCGAAAGAACCAACAATATGAATTCCTGCAGTCACGAAAGTTTAAAATCAAAATCAAACTCTACTTTTCACCTAAAAAAATACGCCTATATCACTTCAATACAAACATAACAATAAAAAAACGTAAGTAGTAAAACGATTGAATAATAATTTATTTGAAAATAAAATAATTCACCTTTTCAGGGAGCTCACAAAAAGAACTGCACGTTTCAGTAACTGGGAAGGCGATGTGGAGGCGTTGCTGTTGTCCTGTCGGGACACAGTGATGCTGTCACGGATGGATGACGCGGCCGGCCTGGTGCTTCTTGTTTGGTGATCACACACACGGCACGTGCCGTAGTGAAATCTCGTTCACGCGGAAATTCGATTCCGTTGAACGAAAAGTGTCCATCATTTGGCAATTGCGTTCACGCGAAATTTTGTGAAAACCGAAGGTGTGCTGAGATTTCAGGCAATGGTCCAATGTAATGACTTCACTTTGAGTCTGGAAAATATCCAGGAGTAACAGCACTTGCCCTGACAGGTTGTAAAAGGCTATATGTGTATTCTTTGTCTTTGTGTTTCTAGATGTAATGGTTACTGATTTGTCTGTCGTGTGTGTGTGTGGAGAGCGGTGGCGCCGTGGTTAGCACGCTGCCTGACAAACCCGGTGACTCGAGTTCGATTCCTACTCATGGCCAACACCAGTGATGATTATTTGAACCTGTTCTGGGCCTCCCCTAAGTCGACTCAGCCTCAAATGAGCACCTGGTACGGGGTGTAAACATCGCCACTGGGGATATAAAGGTGGTCTTGCGTGGTACTGGCCACCCACCGCCTCGTGTACCGTGCCGGCCTTCATAGGTGCTCGCTAACAGTACTTGCCCCAACAGTTTGTTAAGGCTATACGGGGGATCTTTGTCTTTGTGTGTGCGCGTGGGGGCAGTGCCAACCGCGCCACCGGACAGAGTTCGAGCCGAGGCCATCAACTCCACCACCATCCACGTCACCTGGTTTCCACCCAACTCGCACTTCATTCACGGCGTCAACCAGGGGTACAAGGTGCGTGTGCATGCGTGCCCTGCACCGGTTGCAACTTTCTGGGCCTTGTTAGCAGGCTCTGATAGAGAGATACAGAAGTATGTGACACCAGTCCAAAATGTTCGTCTTTCACCAGATTCACGGCGTCCTTTACTCATCGCCCCTGCCGTTTGAGATCATTGCTCGCCGGATAAAATCCATCCCATCTTGGCTCTTCCTCTGCGTCTTGTTCTGTGTGCTCGCATGTGTAACGCCACTCGCACACGTGGCATTCCCTGCGGAACCACTCTCCACCACGGGGCTACACGTCACCTCTCGTCCCAGTCGATCTCTTACTGCCCCACGTTTCATTTGCTAATTCTCCGGCACTCAGAGCCACACATTTGTACCGGCGGAATCTCGTGTTGCAGCGTTCGAGTACCAGTGACAGAGAAGAGGAGGCCCTCATCCAGCAGTAGATTGGGCGATAACGATTACAATGATGATGGTGCAGTCATCCCATTCGCCACGTGGCAGGATTCGTCATGATTACAGACGGCAGCTGGTGTGCGAGACTTATAATGGAGCACATTGGACGATGACGATGACCATTGTGTCGCCCTCTTCCGCCACGCGTGCCAGCTCCTGGCATGGCGGCCGGAGAGCCCCGGCGACGTCACCGTGCGGACGTTGCCGCCGCAGCCCGAGGGTTCGGGCCCCGGCGGGGGCACGGGCCCCCTGCACTCGGGGTACCTGTCGGCCCTGCGCAAGTTCACCGAGTACCACGTGAGCGTGCTGTGCTACACGACGCCGGGCGACGGACCGCGCAGCCCGCCCCTCCGCCTGCGCACCAGCGAGGCCGGTGAGCTGCCCCCCCCCCCCCCACCGCTGGTGGTGTCGTCATCATCGTAGCTGGTTGCCTCCCCGTGGCACCAGCTATGATCATCATCGTAGCTGGTAACACGGGGAGGAGGTGTGGGGTGCGGGACTTGAGGCGGAATGCGAAACTATAACAAAAGAGAATTGAGAATTGATTCTTAAATAGAGTCGTGGCCCTGAACCTATGACAGGTCACGGAATCGCTTGGGATGTGAATTGTCAAGAGGCCCGGCCACAACTAAAGTTTCAAGTTTTTTTTTTGTTTAACTGGGTGAGAACTCAAAGAGAGACCGGGAGTGTTTCATTTGCAAGAGTGACCTGCGAAATGTTTGGACGTGGTTTCGGAAACCACTACGGAAGCCGCAATCAAGCACCTGGAGCGAAACGTCAGACGTCGTGACGAGCATTTACCACCCCGAAAACACGATCAGAGAGCAAGCGAAATTCTACCACTGCAACAACATATGCAGTCGTGTCAATAAAATAATTAGTTTTTCTTTTCAGTGAAACTCTTGACTGCAACTTTTTTCTGTGAGTTGCCAGGCTTCACAGAAATGTGTAAAAGTGGCAAAAAAGTCATTTTTTCTTATTTGGCGACTCATTGAACAAAAATCGAGCAAAAGATGAGATAATGCTCAACATATTCTCAGTGTGGCTCGTGTGGTTATTGCTCGAAGATACGCTGGGAGCGGTACTAAAGCAGCCGGTCGCAGGAGCTCAACGATAAAAAAACGTTTTTTTTTTACGTAGCCCCAATCGTGCTCCTAATTAGCTGTCATCCACAGTGCGATCATTGAAATCCTGTCCTCAAAGTGGCACTTCCCTGCCCTGGGCTGCCCTGATTAGTGCTGCTCGATCTCAGGCTGTGAGTCTAAGTGAACCTATTTGAGTCGCATGCTGTGAAAATAGAACGTGTCTGATCGACCTTTACACAATGAGCTGGAACGTTTTATTTTTTTCCCTCGGTTCAGGTGGCCTCATATTACAAGGCCATTTTTTTATTGCTACTGCCACTGCTACTGCTATTATGACTATTATCACCACAATCTATTAGTTGGTGTGAAGTGAAATTATACTATGCGAAGGCAAATTATATATATGGCTCTTTTTAATGCGACACATTTTTTACACTGCCGAATTTTAATTTGCATTCAGGTGATCATCACGGATTTAAGAAAATATAAATAGCTTTGATTAATAGATAATGTGCTCCCGGGCTTGTAAATTATAGTGTACAATATTTATTTGGAGGCACACAATGCAATACGGGCAGCGATGAATTCATAGTGGCGTTTATAACGGCACAATGGCCCGGGTTAATTTTACTTCACTGGTCCTTTTGTGCTTTTCCCAGAAAAGCAGCGCCAAAGAATGCAATTCAAAGGGAAAATAAGTATGCCACCTGCTTGTTTTAACGGGCTTCGCTTATAGCCAGGTGTGTGCTTGACAGAGTTAATTGAATTGTCAGACAATGGCTATTTTCAAAAAGAAAGGGAACAGATTGGGGAGGGTGACCACAGCCGATGACGGTGGTCCACAGCCAAACTTTCCTCTCAAGAATTATCTCCGGCACGTGTGTATGTTGAACTTCTTTTTGCACTCTCCATAGCCAACCGTGCTAATGAGAGGTGCGGGGAAAGGACAACTAACTAAACATAAAAAGGCATCCTCTGGATGGAGGAGGGGCAGTTAAAGAGACGGCCATTTGGAGTGGACTCCATGAGTCAGGTGACCTACGAGCAAACGGTCAAGATACTCTAAGGGTAGACCTTGGAGGTCGCCCCTCGACTGTAAAGCAGCAGAAGCAGCTGCGGAATCTGTCAGAGGATAGAAGGCGTTGGGTAGCGAGGCGTGGTGGTGACATCAATGGCTTTGGGCCAAGATGATAAATGTGAATCTTGAGCCTTTCCAACTCAAGCAAGTGAAGAACTGGATTTACAATTAAGGTTTGAGCGCCAGGGGGACTCGGTTAAGAGGAGAGACGGGCGGCAGGGGCACCAATTCCTTATCCAGGAGTGGCACGGCGAGTCTCGAAAGCGCTTTGCGCTCATTCGCAGCGAATTCTCGAGGGCCACCGTTCTACAGAGTCGGGCTGCCCCTGCCGACCCGATTGGACGCTGGTCCATGGAGAAAGAGCCTCTGCGGCTTCGTCCGAATCAATTGATGCCCTCCCGCAACATTCGTGATGGCGGTTTAGTCATTCCTGGCACTGCTGCTCTCTGAGATTAAACCGGGAGAAACGGTGGGTGGGATGGGGGGCGATCTAGTGGGGGGGGGGGGGAGCACGAAGCAGAGGTCGCTTTGTTCAGGGGCTCAGAGTTGTGCCATCAATCCTGGGCGGAGAAGAAGTCCCGGCAGTTTGTGTGTGTGTGTGGCCGCCAACAGGGGCACAGCCGCACTGCGTAAGTTGGGGGAGTACTCCCCCCCCCCGTCTGACAAAATCATCACAGATAATTAGGAGTTCTGCTGTACTCAGATGATACTAAATCTACGTAGCTACTTGGCTAGCGATTACTTGATGAACTGTCCATGTACTACTGTGTGTTTTAAGGGTCCGTCGTCTGCTCAGTCAGCATTTATGTCACCTCGTTTGTAGGGAGAAAAACAAACTAGGACAGGAAACTAGAATAGATTTATGTTGACGATGTTGTGGATGTCTCTTAACCATATTTAAACGTGTTTGGAGGTCAAAGTTACGTACCACGTATAATGTAGGGACAGTTATTTATGATGGCATCAGCAAATATCAGCTCACTATTGTGCATCTGTACTCGAACCGGTGATCACCGGGAAACATGTAGGAGTGGGATAGCAACAAATTCCAAAATGTGGCTGCACCCGTCCATAGAGATCTGATATCTACAGCGACCTCCACTCACTCTCATAGAGATCCGTGAGCTACAGCGACCTCCACTCACTCTCATAGAGATCTGTGAGCTACAGCGACCTCCACTCACTCTCATAGAGATCTGATAGCTAAAATGACCTTCATTCACTCTCATAAAGATCGGTATGTATGTATGTTGGACTTCTTTCGCACTGTACGTATCTAATTGTGTTAATCGGATGTGCGGGGAAGGACAACAAGATCTGTGAGCTACAGCAACCTCCACTCATTCTCAAAGAGATATGTTGGCATTCTTAAATAATGGCTCAGGGTGCATCGGTAACTTAACCGGTAACCACCGAGGCACATTCGTACTTGAGACAGCTCCAACTTCGTGCTAAGAGCATATCTAATGCGTGGCATTATATTTGGAGTTTGCATGTTCTCCCCGTAGTCATGTGGATATTTCCTTGTGTCCTCCACACTTAGAATCTACATGCGATGAGATTATTTGGCTGCTATACTTTTCCACATGGCAAGCCACTTAGTTGGGCTATCATTTGTGGCCAGGTCGCTTCTGAAAAAGAGCTTAATAGCTCAGTGGACCTTACCTGGTAAAATAAAAAATGTTTTTTATTTTTAATTTTTAATTTTTTATTTTTTCAACCATTGTTCTCCAGTTTGTCCGGTAGGGCATCCCACACTGCCAGGCCGTGATCCCGACTGCACATGGACCCCCGTCTCCATGGAATTTGTTTTTTCACACCTGGTCAGACTATGGCCCCAGAGTGTTTAACCAGGGCACAGATTTATTATTTTTATTTTCCCCAACGTACCTCCAGAATCTGCCCTCCCCTCTCGGCGTGATTGAGCTGCGCCGTGCGTGTGCGAGTTTTTGCACCTTAGGCCGGGAAATCACCTGGCAACTCGTATCTCAAGACCTGCTGACATTATAATGCCCAAGCCCTGCCTCTCCACCGCCGCTCTTACTCGGCCGGGCCTTATCATTCACGGCTGCCTGCAACTCTTAATACCACTGGCCGGGAAAGCCGTGATAACTCAGCCCCGGCGTATTATAGTACCTTGCTGTCTATACCGGCCCACAAATGGCCCTCCTAAAGCTGTCCGCTATGAGAGACGGCCGCACCGTTTTAATGCCATTGATTGGAGTGCATCAGAACTTTCATTTTACAACTTGCCGTGATACTCCATAAACTTTTGCTGGGTTCGATGCGTCTCTGGGTTTGAATTTGAACATTAATACTATTTTTTGTGCGTACGTCTGTGTAATTAGCTGGGTTGCAGCGATGTAATTTTTCACGATACGATGATTATCGTGACATCGGTTGTTCATAACGTATTTCTTTCTCGTATTGTTTTCGTGCCTTCATGTACAAATAAAGATTCCTTTAGAGTTATGCAACTGCAGTTCACTGAACATACAGTAAGCCCGGAACACGTTGTCATAAAATGAGGATTTAATTAAATTTTTACGTCACCAGTTACTCCAGGAAAACGTTTCACGATGAACCAAGACAACCGGTAACAGCTATTGTATTAGAACTTTAATCATCATCAATATATTGTCAACTTTAATTATTGTTATAATTTCGTGAATGCTTTGTCAGAAAATGTCAAACTTAAGGGAAGTTAATAAGAGCAATGTCAATCACGGACGATGTTGTTGCCTAACGGACGATTTACAATTATCCTGTGTGGCATATCGCAATAAGTGACGCTGCCACAATGGTGGGATGGTGAGCACATTTGACTTGTAACCCAACAGTCGCCGGTTTATTTCCATCTCTCGCCGCGTCAGTTGAAACCCCCCCCCTCCACCCCCATCTCTGTCCACCCAGCAGTATAAATTGGTTCACCGCAGGGGGTCCATCAGCAGGTCAAATTGTGGGGTGCTCCCGCTTCTTCCAACTCGTCTGTTCGGCATGGAAGAGGAGACCGTTCGTGGAGGCCCTTCTGCCGGCAGTGGCGCGAGTGAGGAATTTCAGGGCTGCACCTTTACCTGCATAGTACAAGATTATCATGGTATCGCCTTATCGCGGCAACTCTCGGAAATGCACCTGGCCAAGGTTATGATAGTGATTTATTATTATTGATATCTCTGTGTGCTAACTGCTGCGTCGGGGTTGTTTGTGCCCAGTACCTGGTCCCGTGGGGAATCTGGGATTCTCCGAGATTCTGGATACGTCTCTCAAAGTGAGCTGGGATGAGCCGCAGGAGAAGAACGGAATCTTGATCGGTAAGGAAGATCACGCGCTCATCTCTCTCGGCCCTCCGCTTGCTCTTCACGCGAGAGCTCCTCCACCTCTACGCCCTACCCCGGTCAAAATTATGATTGACTTTTTTTTTTCTGTTATGATGGCTTTTCCCATCGCTTACAGATTTGATTCCAGGTCAAAGTGATTTCCTGCTCAAATGAGCATCGCGGCATTGGTGCTCACGTCCTATTTACAGCTCTGAGACTGTGGTGGAAGTTCCACATTGCTGTGATAATAACCGGTCTACCACCCAACCAAGATTTGAACTCTCAACCTTCTGATCATGAGCCACTCACTCCACCGCTGAGCCACCTCTACCCGGGATACCCCTGCAGTGGGTTCCTTTGTAGTGGCTGCCACGGTGGCGAGATGTAAACTACCTTACCTGGTATACAGGAGGACGTGGGTTCAATCCCGACCCTGACGTCTGTATGTTTGGAGTTTGCATGTTCCTCTCCGTGGTCACGTGGATAATTTTTCCGAGTTCCACGGTTTTCTCTCCACATTTAGAATTATGCACTGAGAGTATTTGGCTGAAATAGATATCCACATGATAAGCCACTTCATTGAGCTATCATTTGTGGCCAGGTCGCTTCTAAAAAAAGAGCTATACAGCTCAGTGGGCCAGACCTGGTAAAATAAAAAAAATACTTTATAGTTTAAAAGTTTCGGGATCTCAGCTGTGGTGCAGTGGTACGAACCCCGGCGACCCGAGTTTAACTTTATTCAGCTTTCTAGCCCCTTTGAGAACATCGCCAGAATTTATATCCCTCGCTCACCGGCTCGGTGACATTCGTTCATGTGCAGGCCTCGCCCTCGTGTATTCCTATCCGCCTGCGCGTATGTCTCTACTTTGGTGATCACAGCTGCACTGCCTGATGATGCATAAAAAAGCACGGTCCTTATTTTCCTCTCCGTGGAGCGGTGGCGCAGCGATTCGCGCATTGTGCTACGAACCCGGGTGAAGCTGATTTCGATTCCCAGCCATGGCTCAGGACTAGTTCTGAGCCTTCCTCACTTCACCAATCCCCACTGACCAGGGCGGTGAAGTATGGTCGGATAACCCCGATGGACCCGCACGGTGTGGGGAGGCCATCATCTAGCAGTGGATTGACAAAAGGGCTGTAAATATAAAAGCAATGCGAAATTAAAAACTTTGTTTTGTATGTTATCGTGATTGTGCAGTGTTATGAGGTACAGTTTTTTTTTATTTTGTTGTTATATGTAAGGGGTGCGGTGGCGTAGTAGATGGCATCACTGTGCTCTGAACCCGGCGACCTGATGTTAGCCACGGCCAACATCTGTGGTGAGTGATGTCTGAATCGGTCCTGGGCCTCCACCACTCAACCCAGTCTGCCCACAAGGACCCTCCACAAAGACACGTTTGGGAGGGAGGAAAAATCACGAGTTATTGGACAGCACGGTCTTGGAATAAGTAACAGCGTCAATCACTGTTTGGGGACATCTCAGATTCTAGACGGTGGGGGGTGAGTGAGTGAGTGTGTGGTGGTGGCGTGTGTCTGTGTGTCTTTGTGTACTCGTGTGGGAAAGCGTATTCAGCAGAATGCAAACCATCTGTGTTGCCCGGTCAGGAAAAACAAAACCTCTAGACCAACGCAATACAATTTATTTTTTTTGTCTAGCGTCAAATTACAAAAAAAAGGATCTCTCATACGCTGAGCGGGCAGTGCCATGAATCAAATGAAGAGAAAAGTCAACACAGAACAAAATGAGCGCTTTTGAACGGAGACATTGGACCATAGAAAACAAAACACGAGCGATGCAATAAAAAAAAAAGTCCAATAGATTTACGAAACAAGGCTGTTCGTTTTCTTGAAACAGCCCGTCGGGAAAAACAAAAACACACACAACTATTACGTAGCGCCATTTACCGCTCATGTTTGTAATAATAACTGCGATTATTATGAACACAAATCTCGTTGTGGGAAATAGGGTTAAAATCACTCCAGTACAACCACAAAAACAATCAACGGGTGGCATTGGAGGTCATTTCCGATGCAGGAAAGCACTGCGCAGATCACTTGAACAGAGCACTCGGGAACTGAAAGGAGGCCGGCCAGCTGTGCTCATGTTTTGTTATTGTCCACCAATTTTTTTTTTATCCCAATTGTTGCCCATCAGCATTGCGTCATCAGATGACGAACCAATTCGGATCCCTCGCAGGGAAGTGCAACCATTGGCGTTGGAGAAGAGACCACGGGGAGCAGAGATGACAAAGCTACTCCTGAGATCCGTTCACTTGAACTCTGGACCACGCAGTGAGGGGGCAGCACTTTCCACACCCACACTGTCACGGAGAGTAATGTTCATTGCGCGACGTTTATCATTCTCAGACCTGGAAGGTAACCAAATTAACTGCGTCATTAAATTTAATTTAATGTTTTTTTTTGGGGGGGGGGGGGGCGGGTGCAGTCATTGATAACCCTGCTAAGACCATCAATTCGGTGCACTTGCAACCCTGGCTTAATTGCAGGTGGCTGAAATCTGGATTGAAACCCAGTCTCTCAGCAAGTTCCAGCTCAGTACTCTGACCTCTGAGCCCACTGGCCGGCTGAACTATGACAAGTGTAGTGGGTTTCGCTTTTATTGGTGTGGTGGCGGCGGCGGCGGCAGCGGTGGTGGTGGTGGTGACGGCGGTTGGGGCGGCACTGGACATGTTTGTGCAGGGCGCGCCATCGAAAGCTCCACATCGGCGCACTGCGCTGTCGGCCCCCCTCGCCTCCTCATCAATCGCCTCTCACGTCGGATCGAGAGGAGAAATTCGGAGTTATCGCGGAACGCAAACGCAACAAGAGACTGATCAAGGCCCGGCGGCCGACAAAAAACATTGACTCGGGCATTTTTCATTGCCGGCTCCATTTGACGAGGCGCACTTAAAAGCGCCGGCCCGTTATGGAAAATCATTTCGGGCCGTCGGTGCCCTCGCGAGCGAACAGATAAATAAACGCGGTGCAGCCGCCATCTATTGGATGGGCGCTGAATCCCCGTTTGGGGCTCTCTGTGTCACCCCCCTCCCCCTAAGCCCCCCCCCCGCCCCGGTTCCCTTAACTCTTCGGTCACTCTCGAGATGAGAACCGCTTCACCTCTGTGATCTACCCAGGTTAACCCCCCCCCCCCCCCGTCCGTAAAAGTGAATTGCAGTCGCAATGGGTTTCTCACTGGGTCTGGGTGAAACGATACTTATCATTGCTGCTGCTATTATTGTTACGTACAGTATCGTGTCTGTACAGTATTTAGGGGATGGGGGGGGGCAATGGTCAGTAACTGGGGTTGCCTCCTGTCCTGGTTTTCCCCCGGATCGTCATTTTGTTGAGGTAACTGCTGCTGTCCTTGGAAATCTACATTAAAACACCTGCTTCATGTCACTTGCGTAGTAGTCGTAATTATAATAATCATACACGAATCGCAGCAATGTATGCGCATGTAAGGTCTCCCCACTGCTATTATCGTGAGACGTTCTTCATTTTATCTGTGACGTGCTCCGTTTTATTTGTACCTCAGAGGTGGCAACCCTAGCGGTGGCGCACCGCGCTCTGAACTAGGCGCTCTGAGTTCAGTTTACTACCACGGCTAACATCAGCGCGGAGAGATCCCCGAATAGATCCTGGGCATGTGTCCTTCACCAAGCCACACGGAGCAGCGCGTGGTGAGGTGTGGTTACACCTGAGGCGGTGTGTAGGGAGACCTTCATCCAGCAGTGGACTGACAAAGGCGTTGTAAATCACAGTTAAAAATGCTGCAGTATGTACAGTAATCAAGTCAATGCGTCAACACTGGCTGCAAAACGACTGCAAGATAACGGAACATTGTTGGGTGATACTGCGTTGCTGCTCGGGCACGAATTACCAAGAACAAACTCAACACATTGGTCAATAGTATTCCTGCCGTTAAATGAAAAATATATATACAATGGAGAACGTCTCAGGAAATGCCCCTTCTTCATATAACATAAATAAAGAGCCAAGAGAGATAGAGTGTATAATAAGAGTTACTTTACACTTTGGGTCCTGATGAGAATGACTGTTAAAATGTTCTCTGATTACCAGTTTTTTTTAGCAGGCTATCAATAGTTGCCTAATTGTAGCTATTAAATAACAGCACATCCTTCAACAACAAACAAAAAAATTATGACTAAATGAACTAATTTACATGAAAAGCTAAAATTGGAAAGTGTTGCTGGCACATTGCATTGTGGACATATTTGTTCTTGTGACACTTGCAGAATTGCAGTCCTGTGCAAAAATAATTACGAACAATGTCAAGGTTTAGACAATAGCCCATCCATGCCTTAAGGATCGAGTAGACATTCACCAAATGCATTACCGGGCATTGTTAATTATATTGTAGTGTGTGTGTCCACGATGCTGTGTACACAATTGAAGGGTCGTAAGTAAGAATACACAGAGGGGCCGATACATGGACAGGGGAATAGGCAGGAGCTTAGAAAAGCAAAGAGGCTGTGTAATAGATAGGCCAGTTGGTTTGTAGAAGTCCAGGTGGGCTGACAGGTAGACAGTCCAACAGGGAGACAAGGGGGGACGGAACCCACCTCCCCCACCCCAACACGCCCCAGCACATGCAGACAAAGACAATTGACCACCACATCCCCTATAACAGACTGTTGGAGCAAATGCTGTTAGCGAGCACCTATTAAGGTCGTCATGGCACACGAGGGGGATTGGTGGCCAGTATCGCAGCTGGTCGCCTTTATCTTCGCAAAAGCTGGTGTTTACACACCAATACTGGTACTCATTTAAGGCTGAGTTGACCTATGGGAGGCCCAGGGCCGATGCAGATGTTGGCTGTGAGCGGGAATCGAACTCGGGTCGCCGGGTGCATAGCGAAGTTCACTCAACACTGCACACAGCCATGAAGGCCAGTATGGTACACAATGTTGTGGGTGGCTAACACCACACCCGGCCGCCTTTGTCTCCCGAGTGGCAAAGTTTAGACACCGCACCAGGTACTCATTTGAGGCTGAGTCGACCTAGGGAAGGCCCAGAACCGGTGCATATAATCGTCACTGGTGTTGGCCGTGAGCGGGAATCGAACTTGTGTCGCCAGGTTGCGTGCTAACCGCTACACTACTGCTCCCCACACACACACAAACTGACATACACACGTATACACATATATATGCACACACATACACATATGCTCACACAAAGGCAAACATCCCCTTGCATAGCTTTACAGACTGTTGGGGCAATTCCTCTTCGTAAGCACCTGCTGCATACTGATACACAAATACACCTATGGACACACACACGCACACACACAAACAAAAATCCCCAACCCCTCACCGCTGGGAAGTAGTCCAATGCAAACAACAAACTTCATATTGTGCAATCAAAATTACACTACCAGCACCGGCTAGACGCACAAGACCAAATAATGCAGCAGACGCCTATTGCGCTTAAACACATAAATCGTACATTTATAAATAATGAAACTATAGCAAATTTTACTTTCGCAACGAGCATACGCCTGCAGTAATAAACCGATACGCAAGCAGTCGCAGGGCGTATTGCTCCGTGCAAAAAGCCGTTCGTCCGTTGTTACGTTACGCGGAGAGAACGAGAGAATGAAATTAAAACGACCATTCATAAAACAAAAATAAAGAAGTCACATTTACCGTCAAAGAAACATGTAACAAAAAATTTAATGGGGTGCCTTGTGAACAGTTTTTAACAGAGCCAACGTGGTTTCCTGCTCAAACGCTAGATATTCCACAACCATGGGACAACCGCTGTTGACTTGCCCACAAAGTGGTACCCCTATTTTATCAACCCTGGAGGGATGATGGGCTGAGGAGTTTATCCGTAAACCAGGATTCGAACTGGCAGCCTTCCCATTGCACGCCGCTCACTGAACCGCCGAGCCATCTGGCCCAAATTTTATGCTGTGGACAAATGTCTCCCCCCCCGCCCCATCCTCCACTACCCCTCCAACCCCCCACCCACTCCACTAAATTTGGCCAAGACAGTCAGGTCAGTGCATAAGATGACTGCGGCTGTGCGACAATGAGAATCCTCGCAATCTTCAAACCCCCTTGTGTTCCTTGCAAGTCTGTAAAAATAGCAGATAATTATTTCTGTAATGATGGGTTTAAAGAATTAAATTACACAGGATTTGAAAAGCCGATGGCAGGGGCTGTCAGAAGCAATATGTTGGATATATTTTTGATTTTCTTGTGTGTTTTTTTTTAATATATATACACATTCTCTGGTTGGATTTTTTTCTTGCCTCGTTCGTCGCAATCGCACTTACGATTTGGGGAATGAGGAGGATGAGATATTTCTGGATAGGTAGACGGAGCAAGAGGCAGGTGGCATGTCTTAATAAACGTCATCATGAGCCATGGTCTACACACCGCTAGATGATTGCCTCCCCACGCCGTCGCCATAATTTGTGGTTATACGATGGCACAATCCAACTCACTCCTGCACGTGAACTGATCTCATCACTCCATCTCTGAGATGGCTGTTTTCTAAGGAGGGCATTCTCTCCTTTGGCTCCCATTCTGGTGCAGGTCTCGACCATTGGCCGTGATCATCCCCTCTGCCCAAGCCCACGGCGCTTCCTGAACAATTCATGCGTTGTCACCAATTTTCTTTGTTTCAAGATCGATGCTTTCCTCTTCCCATATCTCGGTGTAATTCAAAGCATGCATCTTTCTACGTTTTTATCATCATATTTGAGCTCTCCACTGCTGGATGAAGATAAATACGATGCTCCTGACTTGCATTGGTCCCCTGATTCACGTGCTCTTCTGCCTGTCTCTCTGTGTCATTGCGAGCATGCGTCTACTCCACGCTGCGCAAGCCTGACAAAAATAGAGACAAATGCAGAAGTTGGAAGGGGTTGGGCGGTGGAAGGGAGGGAGAGAGGGAGCTCGAAAATCAGAGCAAAAGGTAAAAGGTGGCTGAAAGTCTGGGAAATAAAGAAGAATGGAGAGGGAGGAGAGAGAGGAGGGAAAGGTGGGAGTGCGTGAGAGTCCATCTATAAATTGCAGGCTTGGTCCCCCACTCAGAAGCCAAAAAATCCATCGCGTTTAATGAAAGAGTGTTTTAGGGTGGGCAGTAAAATACGGCCGCATAAGGAAAGCTCCTGATTAATACTGCCAGGAAGCCTAGAGAGGAAGGAGGGGGAAAAAACCATCGGAAGCATCCCACAGGCACTGTATAACCCCGACCTGCGAGCGATTTTATGGTTTAACTCGGATGCGGAGGCTGAAAAGACGTGGGTGGGTTTTTAACAATTTCTGATACGACTGCCCGGAAATTAAACGGCCGGGACACGTAGAACGGCGGTGATTATTTCCGCAGAACCGACGTCCTGAACCGTCGAAAAAACATTATACATCGGCGGTGGTGATATTTAAAAAAAAAACGGCAATGCTGCTTCTTGCGAGCGTAAAACATCCGCTGTCCATCAGACGCGTGTCCTCATTCGCTGGCTCCAATTAGCCGAGGGCCGACTGCGTGCAGTGGCTCGCAATGTGACGAGCGTCTGAGGTTAAAGGGTTAACGCTTTATTTACAGCGTAAGCCTGCCAACAGCGCATGCCCCGCTCAAATTGACTTTCACACAGCGGCGACGGCGGCTGTGAGCGCGGTGACCGCGGCCGATGGTCGCCTGTTTCTCGTGACGTCGCACAGTTGGCACGGTCCCCGGTTGCAGGGAATTAAAGGGGGTACCCCCCTCCCCCCCCTTCCCACCTGGGCCCGTGCCAATTCCGGTCGCCACCTTCACACGTGGCGAATCAACGGTAGCCCGGAATGTGCCTGCGGAGACATTGACCGAACCGGAGGGGCACATTGGTGGACCTCTGCCAACTTCGCAGCTTCAACAGTGGCTGCGGCAGCAGTAGCTGCAGCAGCAATTCACTCCGCCTCACCTGAAGCCATCGCGCGCCTTTCAATCTTGGACATAGATCTATAAGTTGCTATTCACTGAGCCATACACAATGAGAAGGTTCTTTTTCACTGTGCTGACGGGTGGCACCTTCACTGCTCATGATGTTAAGACGGCCGTAATCCACCCACGGTCAGCCACATGGCATCGGAGGCGGGGGAGGAGGTGAGTATTTGCGGGTCACTGGGTAGACTGGAGTATGTGGCGCATGACAACCAGCCACAGTCGCGACGAGAGGTATCCCTGATGTGGTGCGCCGTGAAATATTGCTGGGTCACCGTACCCAGACAGACCAAGCTGAAATGAATGAATCGCTGCTTCCCTGCATCGCCCTCCCAGGGTACAAGGTGTCGTGGGAGGAGCTGAACAAGACGCACTCGCGCGTCACGCACTACCTGCCCAACAGCACGCGCGAGTACCGTGTCACGGGCCTGGCCGCGCTCACCACCTACGTGATCGAGGTGTCGGCGCGCACCAGCCGAGGCTCCGGACCCACCTCGGCCTCCACCATCTCCTCCGGAATTCCGCCAGGTGCCTACTTCCCCCCCCCGGCCCGTCTCCTCGCCCCACCCCTCGGCCCACCATAGCAGTTGGATTCCCCCTCTTATCCCTGCCGCCGTAGCATCAAGGATGTCCTTCCTCCACACCTCCGATTAGCACGGTTGGCTACGTATGGTTCAACATACAAAAGCAGTTCAACATACAAACATACAAGGAGGCTGGTGGGAACCTTGAGCCCCCCCACTCCACTGCTGATGGCTGCGCTCTACTTTCAATACTCCCATCATCGTCATGGTCATCATTCTTGTTCCCCCGACTGGATGCTATTGGGGGCATCAATGATGCCTCGGCTGTCAAATCTCACCACGCTTGCCTGTCATTCACTTTCTCCATCGAGGGTGCTCATCGCCAGGTCAAAAACAGTTGGTACAATATTTAACAACCGTGGCAATCCAGCATTTGACATCGCAGCTTTGCGTCATATCCACAGGGGCTGGTAGCGAGAGCAGCAGGCACGATGGACAATGCTGAGGGTGTATCGGTACTCATTTGCGTAGAGTTTCACATTTGTTTAAAGTTTGCCATGAGCCAAATTGCCATTTTGCTTTGAATTATCCATGTTTTATTTTATTTGCGCGACTGCTTATGGCCACATTGCCCCAGATGATCGAGAGTTTGACTGGGCAGCTCTCCAACATGTGTTCCCGTTGTACCGCGCATTGTCCGACGTTTCGCTCCATGTGCCCAGTGGGAACTCACTCCAGCGAGATGTTCAACCCGAGATCACATCGGAGGGCTGCACAAGCCAGACCGCCAAATCCTATTCACTAGTTGAATGTATTATTAGAATTGTATGACTGTATATACGACCATACCCTGCCAACAACGCCATCCTAACCGAAGTTTCTTTTGACTCTGCTCACTCACTGTCATCAAAGAGGCTTCTGTCGAACGTATAGGGCAACCGAATTATTTTTTGCGCAAATGTATTAACTAACCTTTTTTAGCTTGAGGCTTAATCGGAGTGGATTGCTAATGATCGTTTTACTGCAATTTAAATTATGGAAGCGGTGGCGAAAGCGATGCCAATGTGATGAGAAAGATAATGATGGAGAATAAACGACAATAATGAAATAGTGGAGCTGATAAAATAATGGCTGTGGTGATTGAGATGATAATGAAATGATGATAACGATGTTGGTGATGATGGCAGTGGTGATGGTGATGAAAACAATGTAATATTGACGCTTGCAGCAATGATGATGAAAACAGAGCGCATAACTTGTAGCCTCAAATGATAAAATGATGGCGCTGATGATTGAATGAGACGATTGTGATGATTAATGGGATGATGATGATGAAGGTGACGAATGAACAAAAAACCATCGACACGACAATTACATTCTCCACGGACATCGAGGTCTCCTCTCACCATTCACTCGCCCTATTTTCCTCCATTCCTCCCACCCCCCAGAGCTGCCCGGAGCCCCCTCCAACGTGGCCGTATCCAACATCGGCCCTCGCTCCGTGGCCCTGCAGTTCCGCGCCGGCTTTGATGGGAAGACGTCCATCCTGAAGTGGGTGGTGGAGGCCCAGGTCGGTGGACATCGCCTCCTCACCCATGCCACCATCTCCACAATCACCACCACAATCTCCAATGCCACCACCACCACCCACACCTTTAATGAGCACGGTTGGGTACGTACGGTGTGAAAGAAGTTCAACATGCAATTATACGTACATCTACACCCAAACCACCACCATCTCCACCAGAACCGCATTCTTTGCTACCATCACCGTCTCCACCAACAGCATCTCCACCACGGCAATTTCCACCACCAGCACCATGTAAGCTTCCGTCATCATCTCCACCACCATCAAACACATCTCAAGATGGCTCAGAATTGTAAAATAAACGGCATTACGGGTAGGAATGAGGTTGTGGAAATGTGGGTCGCTCAGGGATTGGAAACACGAGATGAGAGGATAAAGATGCTGCCGCACAGCCCAGGAAGAAGCAAACGGGATTCAGCACAAACAGAAACAACAATTGTCTCATCGAGGTCCAGGGGTCAAAGACAAAGATCCCCCATATAGCCTGAACAGACTGTTGGTAGCAAGTGCTGTTAGCGAGCACCTAAGAAGACTGGCGTGGCACACGAGCCCACCTTTGTCTCCCCCGTCGCGATGTTTACACACTGCACCAAGTACTCATTTGAGGCTGAGTCGACCTAGAGGAGGCCCACGACCGATTCAGATAAATCGTCACTGGTGTTGACCGTGAGCGAGAATCGAACTCGGGTCGGCGCGTTCGTTGCGCAGCGTGGCGCTAACCGCGACACCTTCCGCTCCCCAGCCAGGGCAGCGCCGACGATCCCCAGGGAGTCTTCAGGTCAGGGTCCGGCTTTGAGGATCTTCACCGACGAACCCCGAATTGGGGGGGGGGGGGCCCTGGTCAAAGCCCAGGCGCGATTCCAGAGCGGCGCTCGGACCTGGCCCCCGCGCCGCGCCGGCGGCTTCGCGGACCACCAGGCGACCTCACCGGGCGTGATTAATCGTGCCGCCGTACGCGAGCGCTAAACAACCGCGACACCTAATAACCGCTCCGCGTCGAGACACGTTGAGTTCCTGCAAGCGGAAGCAACAACAAAAAATAGATATCTTTCTTTCGCGCGCGTGTGTGCGCGCGCGCGCGTTAGTGTGTGTTTATTTTTGCGTTTTTTTTTTTTTAAGAACGTTATCGTGAAACGATGCGTGTTCACGCGACTTGCACTTCGCTCCCTTCCGGGCTTCGTTGCACGTGCGGTGGCGAGTTTGGCACGCCGACGGCGGGGGGGAGGGCTTCGTGAGTCCTTCTGTGAAATGAGCCAATGTGACTGAATCTGTCAAGCCCCGCTGCCTGCAGCTCCTTGTGCTTGTCACAGGGTTTATTTTGAACGTTTTTGTGTGTTGCGTAGCGGTTAACTCACTGCGCTACGTACCCGGCGACCCGAGTTTGATTCCCGCTCACGGCCAACACCAGTGATGATTATCTGAATCAGTCATGGGCTTCCCCTAGTCGACTCAGCCTCAAATGAGTACCTGGTGTGGTGTATAAACGGGAGATCTTTGTCTTTGTTTTGTATATTATAGACGCGTGTGTTTGCGTGTTATTTAATGGGGGAGTAGTCAGCCCCGTGGTTAGCGCACTGCGCTATGAGCTCAACGACCCGAGTTCGATTCCCGCTCACGGCCAACACCGGTGAGTGTCTGCTGCTGCTGCTGTGTCCTGTACAGTGCTTTGAGATCCTTGATGAAAAGCCGTCCCTATATACATGGAATTATTATTGTTATAATCTGAACTGGTCCTAGGCCTCTCCTAGGTCATGGTGCTACCCCCTCGTGTGCCGTGCCAGCCTCATAGTTCTGCTCACTATCAGCACTTGCTCAACAGTCTGTCGCAGGCTGTTTGGGCCATGTAAGAGTTCACATTCCATGGCCACGATTCGATTTACAGATGTATTCTTTGGTTGCCTCGATTTTACCATCTCTGTAATTTTTTTTGTTTATGTTCCGCACCCTTAATCATGAAGGTAAAGGTGGAGCCCTGCAATTTCCTGCTCACGCCACTACTGGCAGAAGGGGCCTCAATTAGAGGGAGCTCTAGACAGCACCATTGGAGAGTATTTGGCCTATTTTGCAATCCTAGCCAGATGACTTGGACTAGGCGGTGCGATACTGCTGGCACACACACGTTACCGAACCAGACGCCGGCCTGCCGATCAAATTCCTGTGACGTGCCAATTAACATTGCTGGGTGGACAGAAGCGGCGGATGGGATTTACGAAACTTGATCCGTTCATTTGTTTTTTGTCCAACTGCTGCGCCGAGAGATAGTATCGAACCGGCGACCTCTGCATCGCAAGCCAAGGGCGCTGACCGTTAGCGCCGCGGTGACAGCGTGCCCACACACATCGTTTGTATGATTAATCGAAAGACGTAAATGGTTAGGCAAGCAGGTTGATGCCTGTATCATGAACCTTAAAAATCGATACGAATGCATCCATTGGTCATTTCATCATCACACCCTTGCGAAGTACATTTTAATTGGCTTCACACTCTGCCGTGCTCGCGTGCTTCACAGTGATTGACTGATTCGGGAAGCTTTCTCAGAGCGGACGTTGAGCGGAATGAGCTTGGTAAATTGGTGGGCGATTTGGCCACTGTTATATTTTGTTTGCGTCAATTTTGCATTCGCCCATCCGTAAACTGGCAGAAAGGACTTGCCCTCGAAAGTGCAACAGTGGCTGAGATGGGAGTTGAAAGCCCTAAGCCATCAAAGCAGAAGCGTGTGCCTTCGAAAGTCATCTCAGCCGTGGGACAGCCCTGCCGCTAATTAAACTGCACTGTCAGTTTAAGCCGCAAGTCCTCTGATTTTGCGAACATTTATGTGAGGATGAGGTAGCACAGATGGGGCATGCTGTCCCTGGTGCGATGGTAAGGCCGGTTCTCCATGCGCGGCATTTGAAACAATGAGGCACGTTTCTGGTAGGCCGGAGCAGGTGGCAGGTGACGAGCAGCCGCAGCGACAGTGAGACGTATACTCGGTGTGGTGTGCCGGGCGCGCGGAAATATTTGTCGGGTCGCTGAACCCCGGACAAACCCGACGTGAATATTACACTCCGTGCCAGTCTCACCAGGCCACCATCGCTCCCCGTGTGACCTCAGCAGATTGCGGGAGCGGACGGGGAGGAGGCGGAGTGGATCATGGTGCACGAGTTGGACAATCTGCCGGCTGCTCGCTCCCTGGAGGTGCCGCTTCTGCGGCCCTACACACAATACCGGTACGCGATATCCCCCACCACCACCACCTCCCTCCCCCAAATATCTCGTGGTCTAGTGAGCTAATAAGTCTGAACATGTTGTCGCGCACTCTTGAAAGTCCAGGTCATCACGAATGCGTGCTGATCACACGCGGTAGGCTCTTCAGAACAATGCTCTCTGAGGTCTGCTGCAAAAGCTGACCTCTCTGTATGTGTCCCCCTTGTACGCATGGGTGTTTTCCAGGCACTCCTGCTTATCCCACTTGCACTACAGACATTTCCAACATGAACTGGCCAATTACCGTATTCTCCAGATTGAGACTCACTTTTTTTCACCCCCCCCCACCCCCCCTGTATTTTAAAGCATCCGGTAACTGTGTGTGTTTGTGTGAGAAGCGGTTCTGCAGAACCTTACCCCCGACGTAAATTTGGGGGTGCGTCTTAAATTTCGGAGCATCTTATAATCCAGAGAATACGGTATCCCAACCCAGCACCCCCCTGAAAGAATGAGCCCTGATACTGATGGAGGCTTTTCTCGGTGTGTGTGTGTTGTGTGTGCAAGCAAAAAAAAAAACGATTCTTTCGCTGCCCATTCAGCCGTAACTTTTGTATATCTCAACAGATTTGAAGGGAAAACTTGCTATGAGACGTCGAGAGGCAGGTCTAAGAATCCTTGTCAAAAATGGTTGAAGCCAACCCCGGAGGCTCATGTGTTACCGAGGCCACGCAATCCTTACACCTTTTTTTTCTTCGGCCAAGGCTACAGAGGCCCCCATTCATTCCCATCGTTGCAGCCCCTACGGTTATAATAGTGAATGTCTCATAAGTGATTTGCGCGAAAGTGTGACCTAAGCACACGCTGCACTTACTTTCTTAATTCGCCCCTGAGTGGAGAAAAATTTAAACGCACCAAGTGAACTCTGCAGGAGCTCACAGGCGAGAGAGTGAGAGGCGGGGCGTTCCGCAAAACGACAAGTTAAAAAAGACTCGCACGCACACACACCACGGTTGAAGCGTACAGATAAACCAATTAATGAATCGGAATTTGGCGCAGGTTTCCGCGGTTGCGCGGTGCAGGCCCTCGGGTTGCGCGGCGCGCTCCTCGGCAATGCGTCCGACGTTTCGCTCCACGTGCCGGGAGCTTCCTCGTGACCTAAATTTGAACTGAAGAAGCTCCCAGCACGCGGAGCGAGACGTTGGACGTCGGTGCCGAGCGGCACAACGGCGGCACAGCCTGAGAACCATATCGGAGAGCTAATTAACGGATGGATGAAACGGGCACGCGAAGGATGAACGCTAACTTTGCCATCGGAGGCTCGCGAGCGCTCTCTTACACGAGCTGAGGAGTCATTCGAGTTGGCTGCTCACCCAGAGCCGGGAGGAGCAGATGCAAGATAATGCACGCACACGCACGCACACACATCAGGCGGCCCGGCGCAATCTGCGTATGGGAACGTCTCCGCCTACCCCAGCTTGCGCCTTTGCGTACGATAAACCCGATCCTCTCGCCATCATCATCCGTCATCGTTATCCGTATGCGCACGCGAGAACCCGCCATGCACGCGCGCCTTCCTGTGTCCTCGCTGCACGTGCCGCCGGTTGCGCCCGTGCCCGCACTCTGCCCGCCATGCCAGCCGCAAGCACGCACACTCACGCATGTCCACGCACCTGTGTGCACGTACAAAATACAAAGATCCCCTGTAAAGCCTTAACAGACTGTAGGGGCAAGTGCTGTTAGCGAGCACCTATTGAAGTTCAGAACGGTACACGAGGGGGTGGGTGGCTAGCACCACGCCCGACCGCCTTTGTCTCCCCAGTGGCGATGTTTACACACCGCACCAGGTACTAATTTGAGGCTGAGTCGACCTAGGGGAGGCCCAGGACCGGTTCAGATATTCTCGACTGATGTTGGCCGTGTACGGGAATCGAGCAGGAAATCGAACGCTGGTCTCCCCGGGTTCGTAGCGCAGCGCGCTTATAGCCATTGCACCACTGCTCCCTACACACACACACACGTGCGCACACACACACACACACGTGCACACGCTCGCACACACACACGTGCGCACGGGCGGGATTAAGGAGGTCGAGCCCCGGGGGGTTGCATCTTTGGCTGCGCGAGTGTTTTCGCCAAATGTGGTTCTGGCTGTCGTCTCTCAGATGCCCCCCACACCGTCGTCCGCCCCCGCCGACCGCCAGCCCTTCCCCCCCCCCTCCCTCCCCCGCACCATACAGGGCGCTGGCAAGCGGTCTTGACAGCTCTCACTTTGTCAACAATGCCCACCGGCGGGCAGGCGCACCGTTTACATTTTGAAAGCGCCCCCCCCCGCCCCCCGGCCGCCCGAGATCACCGCCGATGCCATCGCCGCCTTCGTTGTGATTGTTTGACCCCCCCCCCCCCCACGCCGCGTAGGTTCCGCATGCGCCAGAACAACGTGGTGGGGACGAGCCCCCCCAGTGCCGCGACCCGCACCATACAGACTCTGCCGGCCCCCCCAGACGAGGCCCCCCGCAACCTGACGGTCCGCACGGCCAGCGAGAGCAGCCTCTGGGTCCGCTGGGCAGTAAGTGGGGGGGGGGGGGGGGGTGGGTAATGGTGGTGATGGTGGTAGTGGTTCGTGGTCGTGTTGATGGGAGTGGTGTTGGTGTGCTTTGCGTTGTTGGTCGCGGTGGTTGTGGTGCTGTTTTTGATGCAGGCGTCGCTTGTTATTGTTCGTGCTGTTTGTTGACGTCTGTGTTGCTGGCGATGATGTTGTTGGTGTTGTTCGTTCGGAAGTATACCGACTTCAATCACCCAGGAATGACTGTCCTGAACGCTCGTGACGTCCCTCCACATCGAACAGCCCCCCCTCATTAATAATCATAAGAAGGTGACGTCCTCCAAATGGACACCCCCCTCCCCATTCATAATAATTAGCAGCTGACGTCACTCCACATGGGGGACCGAGGCGCCTCCTCCCCCCTCCTCAGCGTCAACTTACAACCCTCACTACAAAGGCAGAACCCTCACGTCACGTGATCTCCGTAACGCTATTGAGACATCAGAGTAAAATGACGTCATGATGAACAAGGGATTATAACCTTAACATGAAATAGGTCTGTGTCACCGTGGCCTTACAAATTGCACACACATTGATGCAATGAATATATCACGTCACGGTCTGCTTGTCGCTTGCAAGTTTCAGATTTACTGCAATACACCCGCCCTTGGACGGGCAAAAGGCTAGTGATATAGATTGAGACGATTAGGAATGGTGATCATTATGATGATGACAACAATGGAGGAGATGATGAATTAAATGAAAACAGACAAATGCCTCGGCCTCAGCTAACACGAACACACCCCTTGACCTCACACTCCCCTCTCACCCTCCAGAGCTGTCCGGGCAGCTGTCCACCATTGGTGTGATTGCTTGTTTGTAAGGATAATACTATGTAAAGACAGCAGCGTGAGAGCCAAGGTCAAAGTACGGGGTCCCAGGAGTTGAGAAAGCGTGGGTTCCATTCCCACATGGGATTTGTGGAGAATGTTCCGGGGGTTTTACTGCTTCGAATTAGGGCCACACAGATGTGAGGGATGGACAGAAATCCCCGCGTGTAACGCAAAGTCGCGAGCAATTATCATCCTCCCCAACATACGCCTCTAACGAGCGTTGCTTAGCATCGTCGCGCAATGCATCGCTAAATAAAAAATATATAAAAATAACAAAAGTGTTGAATAATATCACAGACCTTTGTCAAATTCACTGCTAGATGAAGGCCTTCCTCACACCACGTTGGTCATGGGGGGTGGTCTTGCTTCACCGTACATTACCGTACTTCACGCTCGTCAGCGCGGGTTTTGGTAAAGGGGAGATTATCCCTCGCCGCTGATGTTTGCCCTGACCGAAAATTCAACTGGGTTCGTGCGTACACATCTACGTATGGATTCCACAATCGGGACACTTGAGCAATAGCCGCGTCGCCAGGCTGAAGGATATGTGTCTCAACCTCCTCGCAATTCTTAAATCTCCGTGTGTTCTCGTATGGTGCCAAGTGCTACCAACAATTTTCTTGAATTATTTTATCTCAAGATTTCACAAATATCTATTATAGAAAGGTCACAATGCTAGCATATATATAAATGTTATTCTAGAAGGTTACCTTAGTGTTTGATGGATAATACCATTTTTGAAAGAATAAAAAAAACACCGAATGTGATATGAAACATCGACAGAATATGAGACCAAATAAGAATTTGTGTCCGTGCGTTAAACTTTCCGCTCACGGTAAACACCGTCCACGGTGGACATTGTCAACATTCGCCACCCCGAGTGCTACCGACCGACCCCGTTGGACAGTGCTAACATCCCCTCCTCACTCCCCACCCGCCTTTGTCTCTCCCCCGCCACCAGCCGCTTCACGAGTCCCAGTACAACGGCGCCGCCTCGGCCGCCGGCTACCGCATCCGCGTGGTGCAGCCGGGCCGGCCGGGCGAGACGCCGGCCTCCGTGGCGGTGGACGACCCCACGGAGCGCGAGGCCACGGCCGAGGGCCTGCGGCCGTGGACTGAGTACGAGGTGCGCGTGCAGGCCTTCAACGCCATCGGCTCGGGGCCCTGGAGCCGCCCCGTCACGGCACGCACCAAGGAGTCGGGTGAGCGGCGAGGAAGCGTGGCGGGGGGGGGGACGCGAAGGGGGGGAAGGGGGGGGGGGTGACTCGCTCTCGCCGTCGTGCCCATAACGTCAACAAACATAATTTTTACTATTTGTTTACACCGTAGGAATCCGATGAGTTTTGAAGCTCTTTTTCACAGATGTCCAGTCGGGGCGGGTAGGAAGGTTACGACAACAAACAGTACAAAACACGCTAGCAGTGCAAAGAACAAGAAAGGTCAACAAATCACCCACAAGCATACAAATAACGGCAAACCATCCACATCCTACCGGGGAGGTTTGTTTTTCTTAAAGCCGAGGGGACACCACCTCATCCACCCCATTGTCAACTGTCCGAGGGTCAAGGCAGAATTGCCAACTCCTTAGAATGAAAAGCCACCAAATGATCCTCGACAATTCGCGAGGTGTTGCTCGGTAGACCTCTGAGCGTCACCGGACAATCCACCGAGTGTGGCTCGTAATACACCGATGCAGCTTCCTTAATGCACACCTGGAATCGCTCCTGCACGTTATCGGCAAGCCGTGCCCATCGTAGAACGTCCCTAGCTTTCGCCGTAAGCCGCGTCTGGCGCCTGCGCCGCGAGAGACGCCACGTGGATCGTTCTTCTCGTGGCACGGAGAGGCGCGGTCGGGGGATGATGTTGACAAACGAGAGAGAGAGAGAGAGAAAGAAAACGAAAGTCAGAAACAAAACGTCGCCAGCCACCGCGACTGCAGTTGCTGACATTGCCGCCGCGCCCAACAGTGCCGTCGGCGGGACCCCAAGAGGTGACGGCCAACGCCACGAGCCCCACCTCGATCCTCGTGAGCTGGGGCGCCGTGCCAGAGGCCGACCGCAACGGGCCCATCCTGGGCTACAAGGTGAGGCGGTGGCCACCGGTGCCGTGTCACGACAAACTTCACCACGCCGCATCGACGCAGGGTTGGTCCCGTTTCAGTTTGCTTCGTCTGACCTCACTTGCAAGAGTGGCCTGCGTCACCGAGAAACGACAGTAAGCCGAAACCAATAAAGTACAGGGATTCATATTCTTGGTTCTTTCGGTAAAGTCACGTGACTTTACCGAAAGAACCAAGAACATGAATCCCTGCAGTCACGAAAGCTTTAAATCAAAAGTACAGGGAATGAAGCAAATAGGAATTGGAAAAAAAGGAAATCTAAAATCTAAAGTAATCTAAACTATAAACCAACGTTAAAGCGAAGTTACGTTTAAAATTCCCAGCACGTGGGTCCAATGCCAGTTCAGATATAATTCACAATCGATGTTCAGTCATGGATGGGAATGGGACTCAGGTCGCTGGGCTCATACTGCAGTACGCTAACCACGACACCGCCGCTCCGCCACTACCTCTTGGCTTATCTTGTTTCTGACCAACACGATTCCATCATACGCAATCTCGACATCACCACAGCTGCGGGAGATACTGCACACTTAACATTGCAGATGTACAGTTTCTATATTAAGCCGCCCAGGGTGTGGGTGCACATTTTTTTCTGTTTCACAACGCACTCACACTAATGTGTTGAGATAAAACTCGCCACGTGTAGGCAGGGAGAGAGGCAGGGAGATAGAGGAGAGGATGAGTGAGAGGAAGCGATGTGGGAGGTGATGGGTGGGGGGGGGGTGTGGGGATGTTTGGGGAAGCGAGTGATGGAATGTGCCGGTGCCGACAGAAAGAGGACGAAGGAAGACGGGGGGGGGGGGGGGGGGGGGGGGGGCATAGTCGTCCTGGATCTCTACTGAAAATTTATGAAGCTGTAAGTTACCCTACTATTTGGCACTGCGAGTATCGCCAAATGAAGCCATTCCAGGTGCGAAATGTGACACCAAGAGGCCTGATTGATGCAATGATGAGAAGTGCATCAATTATTCAATCAAGACCCCGGACTGCACGCTCACATTTCACACATGCGGTGTGGTCTTAATAGCCGAGAACAGCGCTCCCGTGGCCACTCACGCCTAACAATGAAAATATGCCGTCCGCTCTCTGCCGGAGACGAAGGCGCGTGTGGTGGTTATTAAGGTCCAAGAACAAAAAAAATGTTGCCGCTTTAAGAATGCCCTGTGTCAGGTTGACCTGCATCCTGCGCAATTGCAAATTACGAGCGAGAGATGGAAATGCTGCAATTACGCGATGATGAATTGGCTCATTTAGCTACACGTTTAAATGATGAACACGATTAAGTGTGAATATGGTGAGAGGGCGATAGAGAGAGATGGGGTAGAAGGGTGGAGTGGTTGCTTTTTTTAGTAACTGAGCCTGCAAGAAGGAAGGTGCACTGGGTTTATAACAACAATGATCGTCTTCCGAATGTATTCAAGAACATGCGCAAGTTAGAAACGTCAAATTACAACTACAATAAAACCAAGGGTGGTTTGGGCAGCCAAAGGAGGGCGTCAATGAGATCGGCTCGTGTGTAGGTGCCAGGTGAAGTGTCGCATCGTGGAATGGTGGCTCCATCGTCGAGGCTGACGACAACGACGAATTTGAATTTCAAAAGCATTCAAATTCAAGCATCTTAACAGCCTACGCTGAGAAAACCAATGCCCATTTGCTAGCCGGTGCCGTGTACGCCTCGTGCCACGCAGGGTCAGCTGCCACGGGGGGGGGGTCCTTTTGGCAGCCTGCAGCAGGACAGTGAGACGTGATTGCAAGGCACTTTGAGCCGCCCACGGATTTAAGCACCCGATGCATTAAAATCCTTAAAATAAGCAGGGGGGGGGGGGGGGAAAGATGGAAATGCAAGGACAAATAATGAGAGATGGTCAGGTTGTGTCAAGATGGGGCACATTTGATTGAGCGATCTCACCCCACCACTCGCTCACCGTACTCAGCCATCTCCATTCACTGCTCTGTAAGCCCACACAAGTCATACGCAGGCAGGCAGGCAGGCTTGATATAGTCGGCCACTTAATGTTTTGATTGCTTACTTATGGATGAACAGAGGCACGGAGCATGCACAGGATTGTATCCGACAGGGGTGATGGTGATGAGAACCAGCGGCTTGATTTGGCCTCTGAGCTCATCGGAGTGACTGCTTGTGTCTTGGCAGACAGACAGAAAGACACGCACACACGAGCGTGACATGAATAAATCAGGGTCATTTTCATCTGCGTGTCTTTTATATAATTAATGTTTGCGGTGCATAAGAATTCATAATAATAAAACAATTTGATTGATACGGAACCTTAATGTAACTGCATCTCATATTCATGCGAAATACAGGAATTAAGTGAGAGTAAATTGTGTGATTTCAAAAGTTGCGACGAGCAGTTTTTAATGGTAAGTTTGGGGTAATGCCACGGGCCAAATTAAATGAGTTCGAGGGCCACATTTGGCCCATGCGCACAGCCCTGCCTGACAGTCGACTAAATCTCAAATGACAATCTGATTCACCGTGGAATCATCACTGGAGAAACAAAGATGACTGGGCATAGTGCTGGTTGGACCACCTCCCCTTGTGCAGTGAGCGTTAACAGGAGCTAACTAACAGCGCCTGCCCCAACAATCTGTAAGGCTCAATGGAAATACTTTCCCTTTTCGATGTGCACAGTGCCTTTGTCCTTGCCAGCAATCGCCGCTTGCCCATCCCGAATTTCGTCTCACATAGGTGACTTCAGCCTTAAATGCGTACGTGCCAAACTAAGTGTGTGAGCATCAGCACTGTTCAGTGCTGACCGCACCATCCCCGTCTTGTAACTATGCAGGCCTTAGTCGGTGCTCAACGAGGTTTTTTTGCGTATGCTAAAGAAGGCAGCAGTAATCTTTAAAAAAAAATGCCCTGAATTAATTTTGAGATTAGAATTCATGCATCGTGCATTCATGTTATTGTAAATCAGTTTCGAAATAACCCTTGGTGATTTATTGAAATAAATAAAATAACTTAAGACTTTTGAGCCACCCTGTACATATTTAGGGGGGGGGGGGGCCTTAAAAAAACCGAGAGCCGGCGCTGCAGCCCCTGCGCTAACCGGGCCCTGCCCCGCAGGTGCTGTACCGGTCCGCGGATGCGGCCGGCGCACCCGTCGGCGTTGGCTTCTCGCGCCGAGCAGTGGACGGGGACCGCGCTCGGAGCACGATGCTCTCGGGCCTGCGCCGCTTCACGCAGTACGAGGTGCACGTGCTGGCGTTCACGCGTACCGGAGAGGGCGCCCTCTCCGCGCCGGCCGCGCACGCCCGCACCCTCGAGACGAGTACGTTCGCACGCGCGCCCCGCGCGCTCTGCCACCACCAAGCCACAGGTCGTCATTCGACGCCCTAACCGCGTCTCCTGTGCACGTGGGTCCATGCGCGTACAGGCGTGCGCCGCGTGTGCATGTTTGATTACCCGCGAACAGTCAACGTCGATGATGGATATCTGGGCCAGGTCATGGGCCTCTGCCAAGGTTGACACGGCCTCAAATGTGTCCCTGGTGCCATGTGTAAACATCAGCATTTCGGAGACAAACACGGGCCGGGCGCGGCACTAGCCACCGCAACCCCTTCGTGTGCCGTTCGGGCCTTCATTGGTACTCGCTAACAGCACTTGCTCCTATAGTCAGTCCCGGGAATCGAACCCGGGTGTGTCAGGTTCAAAGCACAGTGTTGCTAATCACTGTGCCGCCCCTCCCCCCGCCCCCCTCTCCCTTTGTCGTTTTGTGTCTTCCTCTCTATGAAACTACAAATAAAAAGTGAGATGCTGGCATTAATTTGCTCTGGCATTAATTTTCTCTCCAGAGCTTACATTTTAGTAAATTGTGTGCACTTGAATTGAAATTGAGTTGGAATTTCAAGGTGTGCAATTGTGTTTGTTTAATTTTCTTATAGATATTGTTCTTTGCAGTCTCCCACTCGAATGGGTTTGAAAGACATTGTGTTCAAATATTCATGCTGATAAGAAAAAAATCGTAAATAATTCACGCTTCAGCATCTGCGTGCCAGCGTGTCTGTGTGTGTGTCTGTGCGTGCATGCTTATCCATGCTTGCCTTTGTCTGTGTGCGCACGTGCCTGTGTATGCATGTGCGTCTGTTTCTGTGTTCATGTCTGTGTGTACGTCTGTGCGCATTATGCTCCTGTGTGTGTCTGCATGTATATCCGTGGGAGTGGTAGTGTCGTGGCTAGCGCACTGCGCTACGAACCCAGCGACTCGAGCTTGATTCCCTCTCGCAACCGAAAACAGTGGCGAATATTTGAACCAGTCATGGGCCTCCCCTGGTTGAGAGCCCGGTGCTGTGTCTAACCATCACCACTGGGGAGACAAAGGCGTCCGGACGTGTTGCTGGCCACCCACCCCCACCCCCTCGTGTGCCATTCCGGCCTTCATAGGTGCTCGCTCCGATTAGCACGGTTGGCTATGTACGGTGCGAAATAAATTCAACATACATGCATACACGGCTATACGAAGGATCTTTGCGTTTGTGTATTTGTACATGTATGCCTGTGCGCGTGCGCACGCGCGCACACACACAAGCCCGCAAGTGTGTCTACGTCCGCTTTTGCAGTTCCGGGTCCTCCGTTCGGACTCCACTTCCCAGAAGTCCACCTCACGTCTGCTCGCCTGTCCTGGCAGCCTCCCACCGAGCCAAACGGCCTCATCCTCGGTGAGACCCCCCCCCCCCCCGCCATCTCTGCTCGGTTGGGTGACAATGCAATGCACTCTCGTCGAGATGGATGCAGCAGGGCGCTCCACCGCATCATCCCGGACTGCCCAATGTGCAGCTGCAGGGGCCTTTGGCTAATCGTCGATGAAAGATGGTGACCGCGTCGCGCGCTTTCAGATGCTCTTCTAGCGCCCGTCTGGAATGCTCTTCCTTCCGATATTAGGAAGCCACTGGAGCTAGGCATTTTTAAATAATCTCGATTGAAAACGAATTTCTTTGGAACTGCTTTTTGTGTTTAGTTTGTTGTCCTTCCCCAGCACCTCCGATTAGCACGGTTGGCTACGTACGGTGCGAAAGTAGTTTAACATACACAATTACGTGGGGGAATGATGATGATAATTACAATGATGCTTCTGCTGCTGCTGTGGACTTGTGGCGGTCAGATTTCCCCATGCACTGAGACACCGAGACACAGCTCTTGCAGTTCAGCGCTGTCTGGCCCATCTACTCACCTACCCACACCCTCACCACTCACTCAGCCACTCGATCACTCGGCCACTCGATCACTCGGCCACCCGTTGCGTTGTACAGCCACATCTACTGAGAATTCATGGCCAGTTATTGTCCACAATTCATCATGACTCCTCAGCCGATTCTGCAGTTGACTCAAGTTGTAAATATTCTGTAAAGCTTACAAGGCATAAACACAGCGCCTTCACGATAGCCAGTGTGAAATGAGTATGGCAGGAATACCACAGGTACTTTTATAATTATTACTCCACTGGATGGATATACTGTATGTATGTGAGTCTCTGGGGCTCTGTGTGGGTCTTTGTGCCTTCAGTGTGAGTCTATGTTTGAGTTTATCTGTCTGTGTTGAGTCTATCACTCTCTATGTTAACCTGTAGGTATCTCTGCCAGTCTATGGGTCTACTATATGAGTCAAGGTGTGTCTATAAACTTCTATGGATCACTATGCAATTCACACATACTGGTTGGCTGTCTTCTCCCATGTTGGTATCCCTGGACGGGTCTTTGCAAGCTAAACACTGCTGCCTTGGAGGGCAATGAATGGCTCTGGACAATTTGACTGTATTTTAGAAACCTTATCTTGTTGTTCGTGCCCGCAATACAATCGCTTGTCTATCTAAAGCTACGCATAGCGAGAGAGAGAGATTTTAGATTGCACAGCGCAGCCCTCAAAGCTCCCCCCCCCCCCCCCACCCACCCGAAGACACATGGGAGAGCTGTAAAGCACGTCTACGAAACCGAAGCGGGGACTATTTGAGATTGTGCGCACATTCTATTCAACCCGACTCTAAAATAAAAAATAAAAGCACACAAAACACCCACTCGCACAGAGCCCTTGATTTAAATTGCGCTGGCCCGTTCGATTCGCACTCAAGGATTTTCGAGGACTTTGCCAAATCAGAGGTAAAGAATTTTTTTTTTGTTTGCCTTGTTGCCACTGCCATGCCCCGGCCCGATGTAAACAACACCCCGAGCGAGTTATCCCACGGTTAACATTCTCCACAGCACCCACGCCCTGATTGCCACCGTCAAAGGAGGAGCAGGTAAATAATGTATAGAAGGAGACATCTATATTTTACAAAAAAAACACCGTCAGCTGGAAACGCGACCGCGCAGCGGGGCTGATGGTGGCAACGGCAAAGAGTCCCTCTCATCCAGCTGTGGGTTGGCCACGGATGAGGATGATAATGATGATTACAATACAATGATGTATGTATGGATGTTGAAATTATTTTGCACCGCACGTCGCCAACCGTGCTAATCGCGAGGTGCGGGTCATGATTGATGATGTTTTCGTCCATGTAGGAACGTTAGTGGGAAAGCACTGTAGATTTCATCAGACAAAAGGATCTGGTAACGTTGCAATAAGTAGTGCGCATGTCCAAGGTGGTGGAGGGCAGGTTACCGAGAGCAGGCACTGGAGCGACACGCAGAGGTAGGTGACCAAGGGGAAAGCCTAAAGCCAGACCATGGTGGTAATGAGATTGTAAAAGTGGTCTTTAAAGGGCGGTGTTGCCTGTATAATAAGAGGAAGATCCAAAGCCAGATGGTGGAGTGCTCTATACGTAGACCTTGGAGGTCAGGTGTCACCTGTGAAACAGCTGACGGCTGCCACTGGAGGAAACCTTGAGGATCGACTGCTCTTGATGAAGATGTAAATGATTTGGGGATTTTCACGTTGCTGCTTTGCCCTCACGTCTGCCTGCCTGCCTGCCCATGCGTCCGTCTGTTCGCCCGTGTGAATCATCCGAACCCCAAGGTTACAAGATGATGTTCTGGCTGGATTCGACCAATCAGAACGCGGCGTCGGTGGCGGAGGTGACCCCGGACACGCGGCAGTTCTACGCGGGGGAGCTGCTGCCCAACGCGGGGTACCGCTTCCGGGTGACGGCTCGCACGAGCCGGGGCTGGGGAGAGCCCTCCGAAGTGCTGGTCATCACCACGGAGGGCAGAGGTCAGCACTGCCTGGACGGTCACATGCGGAGCACGCGAAGCACGAAATGGCACGCAGCACAGTGATGCGCAGATGCAAGGACGCGTGTGTATATATATACATATGATATATGTATATATCAGATTTTTTTATATGGGACGTACAGACACATGGATACAAACTGGCACATGGACACACGCATGCATGCATATGGATACAGAACACATGGGACACATAGACGCACAATACATGGGCACGCACACTACGTGTACAAAGATCCCCCGTATAGCCTTTGACAGACTGTTGGGGCAAGTGCTGTTCGCGAGAAATCTACGTGGGGGAGTTTTGGGTGTCCAGCACCATGCCTGTGCACCTTTGTCTCCTTTCTGGCAATGATGACACACAGCAGCCGGTACTCGTATGGACGCACACATCAATGCCAAATGTGCACGCACACAGCACCTCGGAAACGCACGAACGCGGCCCGGCACGTACGTCATACGACACGCGTGACGCTCGTGCACGTGCGTGCCCGTCGCCGGCGCGCCTCCCGGTCCGCCAGCACCGACCACCGCCGCCGTCACGGCCGAACTTTGCGCCGTTTGCTTTCTCACGCGCAGACGCCCCGGAGAGCCCGAGCCAGCCGTCCGTGCACCAGTCGGGCGTGGGCTCGCACAGCGTGACCCTGCGCTGGAGCGTGCGGCGCGACCGCGTCTCGCCGCTGCGCGCCTACACCATACAGGCTCGGGCCCTGCCCGGGGGCGTCTGGGAGACGCTGGCTCCGTGGGCCCCCCCCGAACCTCACCGCCTACACCATGGATGGGTGAGATTCCCCTTGCTGCCCGCCCCACCCTCCCCCCCCCCCCTTGATCCCCCCCTCCCTGATCCCCCCCCCCCCCCGTTTCCCCCTCCTCTTCCCCCAAGCTAGATAATGAATTGCACTTATAAGACGCCTTTCACGCAAAAAAAGTCTCAAGGCGCCACACACAAAAAGTAGATATTAAAGAAAGGCCAAAGAGGAACAGAACTAATTAGAAAAAATAACTTTTTAATGGAGATAGGTTTTAAAAAGGGATTTGAAGATGTGAACCCTATTTGATAGCGTGATCTTGAAAGGTATGGAGTTCCACAACCGCAGGTGGGGGGGGGAGGGATGGCGGACCAGTAGGGAGGTCCAATGTAGCGTGCATGTGAGTTATTTTGAGCGCATAATGGAAGGATCGTGAGTAAAAATGCACACAGAAATAGACCAACGGTACACAGGCAGAGAAATAAGCAGGAGCTTAGAAAAACAAAGAGGCTGTGTAATAGGTAGGCCAATAGGTTCATCGAAGTCCAGGTGAGCTGACAGTGTAGACAGTCCAACAGGAATACAACGGGGCCATAGTAGTTGTCTCTGCCCCCAGGACACCAGATCAAAAAAGACCCTCACTCCCAACTTCTCCTCGCCCCCGTACACATGAAGACACAACCCACGACAAAAATCCCCCCGTATAGCCTGAACAGACGTTTGGGGCAAGTGCCGTTAGCGAGCACCTTTGAAGGCACGATGGGGGGTGGGTGGCCAGCGCCACGCCCTGCCACCTTTGTCTCCCTCGTGGCGATGCTTAGACATCGCACCAGGCTGCTCATTTAAGGGTGAGTCGACCGACCGAGCCACGTACATACAGCCACGCACATACAGCCATGCACATACAACCACGCACACACACGCACATACACACGCACACGCAATCCGATGCCAAGACGCACTCAAACGCAAACAAATAACCGTACGAATTTTACAATCAATGTTATGCCATGAGCAATGGCTAGATGCACAACACTGTATAAACCGTGCAAAATGCCCATTGAGAAAAATATATGCAATAAATAATGAAATTATCGCAAGTTTAACTTTCACACCTCGAACTTGGGCATGGTGTAATGCAGACACGCACGCAGTCCCAGCACGTACTAATCCATTCAAAAACAAATTCAAACGCATGAATAATTTAATATATTTTTTTCTTATATTACAGCATATTATTTATACGTTGCTACATTAACTGGGGGGGGGGGGGGGTGGGAAACTATACAATTATATAAAAATAACCTAATAAAAGCGGCAATTAATGAAGCTAGTATTGATATTATTTAAATTAATATGATAGTTTGAGCAAACAAATCATAGTTTTAAATAATTAAATGTTATGTATTTTCGTTTCAAGCGGCCCCCAGGAATTTCAGGACCTTAACAACTCCCCCCCCCCCATTTAAATCTGGACTCCCCCCCCCCCCCCATCCTTGGTTCACATTCCCTTCTCAATTAGTAGAACCAAGGGGAATATTGCCCTTAATTTGACTTCACAAAATTGTGTAAAAAAAATGTGGAACTTCTTCAAAGATCCAGCAGTGACAGAAATACACAGTAATCTTTTTTTTAATATATAATGTGCTTTTTTATGCTTCCAAAAAAGGAAACTGCATTGTGAATTCACAAGATAAATGTGAAACTTACTGTACACTCACTCTCAAGGGAAATCCAGAAGAAGAGAAGAAAAATATGCGGCACTTTATCCCATTTGGTAGGGAGTGCTTAGTTTAGCCTAATTTTCGGCTGGACTTGGCTGATAAAATGTACGTGTGTATGATGATACACACATACAGAAACATGAAAGGGCTCTTTAAAAAAAATTGTTTAAAACCTCTAACCAGTGGTGGGGCTGGCCTCCATTACACGGGAGGGGGCAAACAGAAATGAGTTTCATTTATAAACACCACGCGAGAAGTCAGACAAGCTATTGACAAGCGATAGAGACGTAGAGAGATGAGAGAACCACATATATTGGTTTTAATTACATTTATTCGGACTTAAAATTCGAGCTGACGACTTTTGGTTCGCCCCTATTTCCCCGTGAATCCGAGGCCGCTTGAGCTCTTTGGGGAACCCGAAGCATTTGCTCGATGCCAAGCGCCACTCCTGACCTCTAACCTCCTCGTGCACACTGCTGCCACCACCACTGCCACCACCATCATCGCCATCCCCACCATCGCCATCACCACCACCGCCACTGCCGCCACCACCACCAATCTAGATTTGAAGTTTTCGTGACTGCAGGGATCCGTACTCTTTGTTTTTTTTTTTCAGTAAAGTCACGTGGGTATAAAATAAATTAAATAAATTAAACCGCAACGTTTCGATCGCAACACAAGCGACCGTCATCAGGTGGAACAGATACGGCAGGGGAACTGCTGACATGAACCACCACCACCACTACCACCCGCTCTCTCCCAGGCTGAAGCCATTCACCACGTACAAGTTCCGCGTGGCAGCAAGGAACGATGTGGGCGAGAGCGAGTGGAGCGAGGAGTCGGAAGCTGTGACGACGCTGCAAGCCGGTGCGTGCGTGTGTATGTTTGTGTATGTGTGTGTATGTTTTTGTATGGTTGTGTATGTTTGTGTATGTTTGTGTATGCGTGTGTATGTGTGCATGTTTGTGTATGTATGTGTATGTGTGTGTATGTTTGTGTATGCGTGTGTATGTTTGTGTATGTTTGTCTATGTGTGTGTATGTTTGTGTATGTGTGTGTATGTTTGTGTATGTGTGTGTATGTGTGTGTATGCGTGTGTATGTGTGTATATGTTTGTGTATGTGTGTGTATGTTTGTGTATGTGTGTGTATGTTTGTGTATGTGTGTGTACTTGTGTGTATGCGTGTGTATGTGTGTATATGTTTGTGTATGCATGTGTATGTTTGTGTATGTGTGTGTATGTTCGTGTATGTTTGTGTATGTGTGTGTAAGTTTGTGTATGCGTGTGTATGTTTGTGTATGTGTGTATGTTTGTGTATGTTTGTGTATGTGTGTGTATGTTTGTGTATGCGTGTGTATTTTGTGTATGTGTGTGTATGTTTGTGTATGTTTGTGTATGTGTATGTATGTTTGTGTATGCGTGTGTATGTTTGTGTATGTGTGTGTATGTTTGTGTATGTGTGTGTATGTTTGTGTATGTTTGTGTATGCGTGTGTATGTTTGTGTATGCGTGTGTATGTTTGTGTATGTGTGTGTATGTGTGTGTATGTTTGTGTATGCGTGTGTATGTTTGTGTATGTGTGTGTATGTTTGTGTATGTGTGTGTGTATGTTTGTGTTATGTTTGTGTATGTGTGTGTATGTGTGTGTATGTTTGCATATGTTTGTGTATGTGTGTGTATGTTTGTGTATGTGTGTGTGTGTTTGTGTATGTGTGTGTATGTTTGTGTATGTGTGTGTATGTGTGTGTATGCGTGTGTATGTTTGTGTATGTGTGTGTGTATGTGTGTGTATGTTTGTGTATGTGTGTGTATGTTTGTGTATGTGTGTGTGTGTTTGTGTATGTGTGTGTATGTTTGTGTATGTTTGTGTATGTGTGTGTATGTTTGTGTATGTGTGTATGTTTGTGTGTGTGTATGTTTGTGTGTGTTTGTGTATGTGTGTGTGTGTTTGTGTATGTTTGTGTATGTGTGTGTATGTTTGTGTATGTGTGTGTATGTTTGTGTATGCGTGTGTGTGTTTGTGTATGTTTGTGTATGTGTGTGTATGTGTGTGTATGTTTGTGTATGTTTGTGTATGTGTGTATGTTTGTGTATGCGTGTGTGTGTTTGTGTATGTGTATGTGTGTGTATGTTTGTGTATGTTTGTGTATGTTTGTGTATGTGTGTATGTTTGTGTATGCGTGTGTGTGTTTGTGTATGTTTATGTATGTTTGTGCATGTTTATGTATGCGTGTGTGTTTGTGTATGTTTGTGTATGTGTGTGTATGTTTGTGTATGCGTGTGTGTTTGTGTATGTTTGTGTATGTTTGTGCATGTTTGTGTATGTTTGTGTTATGTTTGTGTATTTGTGTGTGTATGTGTGTGTATGTTTGTGTATGTTTGTGTATGTTTGGGTGATGGCGGTTGAAGTGGGGAGAAATTTTTTCCCGGGAGGTGGATTTACTGAAGCGATGGTGGTACTGGTGGTTGCCACCCAATTGGGGGCCCCTAAACAGATAATTGTGGGTGCGTCACTTGATTGGAGACATGACATTCTGGATAAGCTACGACACTGATTTGTATCACATTCATGTGACATTATTAAGTTAATTACGAGCGTTTGTGATCTATTTATTGCACCCTTTTTTATCCAGGGCCCCTTGAGCTATTTGGGGGGGGGGGCTTAACTTTGGCATAGTTTGTCTTATGCCACCACTAGATGGAGGCTGTGTAAATGCAACTCCATTAACATATCAAAGCAAGTCGACGAAGACTATCTCAGACTTCTGGAAAAGGGGAGAACTACCCACGAATGCATTTGGCTTGAGTGGCGTGTTATTACGCAGCTGACAAAACAGACCTGGACTTTGAGGTGGCAATGCAAGGTAGACAGCGGTCGGGGGGGAGGGTGTAAGGGACAGTGTGGATGTTGGGGGGGGGGGGGCGGGGCGCTGCGGCGGCGGCGGCGGCAATGCTGCGGTGATGCACGGGGAGACAGGAGATTTTGGTTTGTGATTACGAGATCTCGGAGTAATAGAATAACATAAATAAATTACTGCTTGAAGAAAACCGTTTCGACCGGCTGGTGATTAGGACTGGCTGATTCATCCGTTCTGGGCACAATTCAAATTGCACGGCAGAGAACGATTGGGGCTGTTTGATGCGGAAAAAAAATCATTGTTAAATTTCACGGCTTTTTTTATTTTCCTTCTGGAAGATAAAAAAAGTAATAATCAACTGTTGCGATCTGCCGCGCTCTCTTTATCTCCCAACCTCGTCGCCTGCACCCCTCCGCTCCTCTCCTTCCCGGCTCTGACTCTCTCTCCTCTCCCCTCTCTTCCATGTCCCCCCTCTCCTCTCCCTACATCCGTCCCTCCGCCCTCGACACCGTCGCTCTCCCCTCTCTTTTCACCGAGAAGCTCCGGACAAGGCTCCCAGCATCCTCTCCGTCATGCCCCACACGCCCTCCTCGGTGCTCGTCCAATGGGAGGTGAGTTCTCGCGGTCCCACGTTCGCCCCGCTTGCCCAGTGGCGCGGCTTTCCCGCGTCACATGACCCATCTCATTGCAATTTAAAGGGTTAGCGGGGTTTTTTTTTTAGGCGGGGACAGGTTTGCTTACTGTGAGATAACGGGACGTCAATAAGTAGCTTATCGGCTCCTTACAGCTGGCCTTGCTTAGCACGCGAACAAATTGCATGTAACCAAAACCCTATTGCTTCCCAGAAGCTTGTGTGCAGAGCAAGTTTATGAGGGGTTATGACAAATCTGCCTCCTGCTTTCCCTCCCCCCCCCCCCTCCTCTTGCCTCTTACTCATTCAAACCACATTCGAGTCCGTAATATCTGCGACAACCCTCATGAAAAAAAAGCGGTTTATTTAACGTTCACACAAATGTAACCGTCGCCCAACCCCTCAACCTAACCCTGCTTCCTCTGCCTACCCCCCGACCCCCATCTCATCCCCCCCCCCCCTTCCCCCCCCTCCCCATACATTTCTCCATGCCTCGCGACAGCCTCCGATGGAAGAGTCTGTGAACGGAGTGTTGCTGGGCTACCGCATCCTCTACCGTGAGCTGCCACTGGAGGGGTCAAGGGTCATCGCTGGGGGTTACTCCGTACCCTACATCACCGCCGCCCCTGGCAACCCATCCCCCATACAGGCGCAGTTACTTGGTAACTCACTTTAGCCCTTCGACCCTTTTATGAGTATGTTTTTTTTCTTTCCCTCCCCCGTAAAGCCTCTGCCTGTGAAGAAATGCTCTGGGGCAATTATGGATAATTAATACGGGGCCCGATCCCGCATGCTAATGTTTACTCTTTATTTATTTATTTTATTCTCGAGCGGGGCACCAAGCAGCAGAGGCTGCCAAGATGCTCACAGTTTTCAGGTCCGCTTCGAGGGATCCGGCGGAGCGGATGCCTCGCGATTTGCACGGCCGTAACCAGTTGGATATCCCCTCGGTGGCAAGCGAGCGTGGCCTCGTATTAAAGCGTAGGCGGGCGGGCGGGGGGGGCGTAGGGTGGCCATGACACGGCCGCCCTGTGTTAAGCTTTAAACGAACGTCAAAAACCAAACAGATTGAGCTTCCGAGTTTACCTTGTTTAACCCCGGTGAGAACTCAAGTGACCTTTGACAACTACTCACTTGCAAAGAGTTACTCCTGTCACCATAGTGGCAAAAGCACAGCAAATAATAATAATACAGCGATTAAGTGAATACAATATAAAACAATGAAAACAGGCGTGTGACACGTGAGGAATCTAAAATTACGCACCAAACGTAAATCAATGTTGAATCAAAATTAAATATTTAATTCCCTGCGGGCGTTAACTCGGGCAGGTTAGTTTTAGACCGATCGTAGGACAATTGAAAACTTCAATGACAGGCACAATAGGGAGGCAAGAGATATAGGGTGACGATTGAACTCGTGTATACAAAATAAGGATTTATGTCAAATTAGTAACTATACAAGCTCGGCTCTCGCTCTCAGCCCGTGTGGACATGAGGCGAGGCTACGGTACCCCCTGCCTAATTGCCATGGGTGTTAAATATTGTGCCACCATTTCTTCTTACCCGACTGTAAGAATTTAAAAGGGGGCCGAGGCTACACCAGGAGGGGCTCAACCCCCTCCAGCGCCCCGCCCTCCCAGCCCGATGCTACGGGGGCCGAAGTGGCTCCAAACACCTGGGAATCTATTGTACCGTCGTATTGTAATATGCTCCCAACGTCTGTGCCCTCCGCCTTGGCTCACCCGCACGAACCAGCACGGCAAAGTATCGACCAAATAACCCACGCACGAATTTCGTGGTGTGGGGAAGCCCTTATCCAGCAGTGGATTGACAGAAGGACCCGGCGCACAGTAACGCTGAGACACCGTCACATTCTCTCACACGGAGATATCGCTGTGGCCTGAGGTCCCGTAACTAAATTAATTTCATATTTATTTCACTGCCCTTTGTGAACCCACGGCTGAGAAAAGGCCTCCCAAAATGCCGTGTCGGTCACAGGTGTTGACATCCCTGTATCCCGGGCAGCACACTCTTAAGTTTATTGTGTGGGCACGCTGGAAGATCTCGGCGAGGAGCCCTTGGCAAAATGCATTACGCGTGACATCGAGGCACCCTCTTGAATAGCGCGCTCGGCTCTGCGCGAGAGTGTGTGTGTGCGTGTGTGTGGAAGCGGTAGTGTAGTGGTTAGCGCGCTGCGCTATGAACCCAGCGACCCGAGTTCGATTCCCGCTCACGGCCAACACCAATGACGATTATTTGAACCGGTCCAGGGCCTTCCCTAGGTCGACTGAGCCTCAAATGAATACCTGGTGTGGTGTATAAACATCGCCACTTGGGAGACAAAGGCGGTCGGGCGTGGTGCTGGTCACCCACCCCCTCCTGTACCTTTCCGGCCTTCATAGGTGCTCGCTAACAGCACATGCCCCAACAGTCTGTTAAGGCTATAGGGGGGGGATCTTAGTCTTTGCTTCTCAAGTAGCGAGAAGCGGTGACCCAGTGGTGTGTGCACTGTGCCAAGGCGCAACATCAGTCACGAATACCTGAAACTGTCCCGGGTTTCCCCAAGGTGGACTCAGCCTTAAATGAGGACTTGGTGTGGTGTAAAAAGATATCGCCACCGGGGAGACCAAAGGCGCGGTGTTGGCGACCTCCTCCCTCGTGCGGGCCGTCGTGGGTGCTCGCTTTCCTGCAATCGCCCCGACAGTCCGTTCGAAGCTGTTACGTGGGGGGGGGAGTCTTCATCTTCGCATTTGCTGTTCCCCCCCCCCCCTCTCTGAAGGCAAGTACGAGGTGAAGACGGTGAACGACTCGGCGGTGAAACACTACGAGCTCGCGCGTGAGTGACCGCGTCGCTCCGCCCCGGGGGGGGGTGGGGGGGGGGAGAGGTCACGCGCAGCGCACATCATTCGCGCCCGGCGTCAAAACACACGCGCTGACCCCGCGCTCCTTTCAATCTCACGACGAGGACACGGAGGTGGGGGACGGGGGTGGTGGGGGGGCTGCGGGAGGGAGAGGGGAGTGGAGAGAAAGACGGGGATGGCGACGTGATGGCAGGCAGGCAGACTGCAGGGGTCAGGGGACATGCAACACCAATTATCGTGGGCATTTAATTAACTAAACAACGGTGCCTTTAGGAAGGGTCAGGAGCTGCCGGCGCTGTGTGTTGGGAGTTCTAAGACAGGGCTGGGGGGGGCTGGGGCTGGGGGGTGACCCAGGGTGATAGGCTCCAAAGAGTGGGGGAGGGTCGCGGGGGGGGGGGGGGGAATTGGAACATGGGACCCTCGTTTTCATTTTAGCCAGGCGGTGGTGGCGAACGCCTTTAATCCAGCACTCTGGAGGCAGCAAGGGTTGGTGGATCACCGCACGAATGTTGTGAGACTCCCTAATTGTAAATGTTGTGGGTTTACTCTCCAATATACCGGTGCGCTGAAGTAGAAACTAATTGGCACGTTTTGTTTACGTTATTTCTGTGTCGGGTAGCGGCGGGTTTAACGACACATTTATATTTACGTGATCTAACCCCGTGGGTGTCGAGATGTCACACCTCGGTACAGCAGGAGAAGGCCATACAGAAAATAATGCGGACTCCTCCTGTTCCATCTGTATGGGATAGAGTGTTGCCCCCTCGCACACGTGAGTTTTTGCCAGGTGCTCCGATTTCCTCCCACGTGTTAATGCTCATTATTTGACCAACAACACCTGAACATAACGAGGACTGCAGAGCCTGTGCAATTGTTAGTGCCAGCTCGCCGCGTGGCTGCTGCCTTGCCCCTTGTTGCGGTTCCTCGAGCCTCCGAGTGAGTACTGCGAAGCAGCACGTCACACAGATGAAATAATCATTTTAATATTACGCGTCTGCCGCGATCGGTTTGTTTTCATCGTCTCCGCTGGCGCGCGTAGGGAGTCTTCCACTTTCTTCTCTCTCGGGTGTTGAGGTTCACGATGAGCTTCCGCTCGTGTTCGTATAAACACGTCACAAGCGCCGCTGGGAAACGGCGATCCCCTGCTCGGCGCAGAACTTCCCGTGCGAATGCATTTTTTTTCCTGAGGTCGTGTTGGAGTTTGCTGAGTTGTGCTCTTCCTATGTTGCCCCCTCCCCCATGTCCTAAGTTATCATGTCCTCGTATCTCTGTGTCCCTGAACTCGGATGCTCTCATGCTGTCCATGTACCCATATTTTCGCCTGTGACCCTGTATCCCTATTCCTACATTTCCATATACCCCTCATATCATCGCATATTTCTCTCACCTGAAGACGATTGCCTGTGTTGCGATCGAAACGACGTGATCTATTATTTTTCTATCTACGTGACTTTACCGAAAGGACCCAACGAGTATCATCTCATATCCTCACACCCCTTTGCCCCGGTACCGCATGACCTCATGTCTTGATGTCCCCATGTCTGTGTCCCAATCCTGGACCCATGTGTCTCCATGTCCCTGTTACCCGTACCCTCCCACATATTCCCATAATCTCATCCCTCCATCGCCCCCTGTGTCTCCATGTCCCATGTCCCCACAGTCTCACGTCCCCACGTTCCCATGTCCCAATTTCTCCATGCGCCCGTACCCGTGTCCGCCCGTGTCCCTGTTACCCCGGTGCCACTCACGTGTCCCCGTAACCTCGTAACACTTTATCGACCTCCCCAACATCCCCGTGCCTCCGCCCCGATGCCCCCCTGTGATATGCGCGCTCAGAACTCAACAAGTACCGGCGGTACGAGGTGCGCGTGAGCGCGTACACGGCGGCCGGGGAGGGACCCATGACGTACCCGCGGGAAGTGTACGTCGGGGAGGCAGGTACGGCCGCGTGCCCTCACCGTTGGCACCGCCGCTGTGCCCAACGGAGTCGCTGCAAACCACCCTTGACTCTGACCATAGATCCGTAGCTCCATTTTCTCAAACGCTAATCCTCTCTAAAACCAAACCTAACTCTCCCTCACCCTGACTCTCCCTGACGTTGTCTCTAACACTAACTCACGAACCCTAGCTCAATATTTAACGATAATCCTAACTCCCTTAGCCCAATCCTGTCTCTAACCCTGTCTAAGACTTACCAAAGCCATATCTATAGCACTGTTACTAATCCTGCGTCTAACCCTGCGCCTGTCCTGTTTCTGAACTTTTCAAGAACCTTTGATAATTTTGTCTCTCACCCTGACCTTAACCCTGTCATATCCCTTTATAAATCCCTGCAAGGTTGGCTACGTATGGTGCAAAAGAAGTTTGTCACGTGGCTGTTTGGTCGTCATAGTTTTTAATGTGTTTACACACTCGATAAGGGATGTCCATCCTCATTCTCTGTCCGTCGGTCACCGTCCCTTCCGCTGACAACGTGTCCTGCCTCGAGCCCACTTTACTTTCTTAACAATCGATGCGGTCTTCCGATTTGCAGACATTCTCTAAACATTCATGTGTTGGTCTTGTCAATCAGCGCACGTTCACGCTTGCACCTCTCCGCACGTCTGTGCGCACTGATCAGCTTTAGTTCCATTTTCCTTGTCAGTGTCCGTGTTTCTGATCCATATATCCTTGCAGGTAATATCCGCTGATAACAAAACATAATTATTCTCGAGGCACATCGGTACATTGCTCTTCATTACATTTTGCATAAGCACAACAACTTGCTCTCATTAACTGGAGACTCGTCCTCTGCCATAGGAATGTGTCATTTCAACATCTGGCTTAGGATCGTGAACAGAATACTCATTTCAGTTACTTGGTTGAACGGAGGGAAAACCACTTCGCTGTTGAGCAATGCAGAAGGAAACAGCCCAAACATTCAAAGCAGAAAGTGTCCTGCAACTCCAGTGGCTATCACCTGAGCTCAAAGGGAATCACTGATTCCACTGTGCACGCGTGACAAATTACCATCGAGCTGAATTGACCGTGGCGCTGTAATAACGATAACAACACAGCGGACATTATTTCTTTGAAAGCTGCATGTCTGGCCACTTTCTCATGCGGTTTGCCCCATTTCCATTTTGGGAGAGGAAACATGACCGGAGGAATGTTTGTTTTAGGACTATTCGTAGCTGCTGCGGCATTTACGCAGAAGTTAAAAACGCAGCGGCGTCCCCGTCCCACGCTCCTTGCCCTCCTCTGGCGCGCCCGTTGCGCCGCTCTCACGGTGAAGTCACGCAGCGGGGGGGGGCCACGTGCCAACCGCTCCGGCTGCCCATCTCGGCCTTCCGACTCCGACCAAATCACGCCGGGGACGCGCCCATGTTCCGTCAAGAGCTCGCAAAGCTAAGCGGGCCCTGAGCCTGGAGAGTATGCTCCAGAATAGCAACTCTGATAGGTGACCTGTCACCGTGCAAGTCTGTGGCGCGACCTTGTTTGAAGAGACGGAGGTGGGGGGGGCATACACACAGTCAATGTTGTCAAAGTTGTTGATGGAAGAATTTAGATGGGGGCTGAACCTTTAGGTGGGGGAGGGCCGGAGACTCAGTCCCCTTCATCCACCCCCGTCGATACTACGGGGCTGCCAAAATGCATGAGAGGCGCTATGGGCTGCCGTGAGTTTGCGTGGCGGACAGCAGGAGGTGGGGCCACGAAAGCGATTGTTGTACTCTACTACGATTCCATATGTATGCTTCCACGTGTATGCTTGTCGCATTTTACCAAACCCGCACTGGTCAGCACGGTAAAGCATTATCCGATAACCCCCGTGCGACATGGACAAGTCCTCATCCAGCAGTAGATTAACAACAAAGGCTATACGTTGTGCACGATGTTGTTGTTGTTGTTGTTGTCAACCCAGTGAACATCCGCTGCTGGGCAAAGGCTTTCCTACATCCTCTTCCTTTCCTTCCTTTCCTTGGTCGTTCTGCAGAATCATGGAAGGACATCTCATCCATACAAATTTTGAGTACACGTGGGCCACGTAGTGTTTGGATAACATCCGGAAAACGAGTAATAAATGTACTAACCATAATTGTTCTTCTTCCTTCTCTCCCCCCCCCCCCCCGTTATCATTGTTGCTAATCCCATCCTCAGTGCCATCGGCACCTCCCCGCAACGTAGTGGTACGGGCCGCCAGCTCCACTCAACTGGAGGTGGCGTGGGATATTCCCCCCCTGCACACCGAGAATGGAATCATCCTGGGATACAAGGTCAGACTCTAATGCTCCCGTCTGGAGGCGTGCGTGTTAACAAACCTGTTTTTGTTTTTTTTACACAGGCTCTGGAAACCGCTGTCAGATAATTGCGCGTGTGGGTGTTTCTGTGTGTATGGGGAGCAACTGTGCAGTGGTTAGCGCAGTGCCCTATGAACCCGGCGCCACAAGTTCGACGCGCTGCCACAGCTAACATCTCAACTGGTCCTGGGCCTCCCTGCGGTTGACTCAGCCTTAAAATGAGTACATGTACCTGGTGCGGTGTGCAAATAACACTGGGGGCGGACAAAGGCGACCAGGTGTGGTGCTGGCCACACCACTCCCAACGTGCATGCGGTATTGCAGCCCTTGGAGGTGCTTGCTAACAGCACGTTTCCCAACAAGCCTGTGTATGCTATACGGGGGAATCGCTGTTTTTGTTTCTATGTGTACGTACCCTGTGCCTGCGTCTACAGTGAAATGCCAGAATTTATTTTTCACGAAGTATCTTCTGGGTCACTGGTCGACTGCAGTAGGCATGTGACTAGGAGCCTCCACACAGCCGTCGCGAGAGGTATACTAGATGTGGTATGCAGGGCGCAGAAATATTTTCTGGGTCACTGAGAGGCACTTCCGATGAGCACGATTGGCTACATCAGGTGCGAAAGAAGTTCACCATACATACAGACAGACATACAGACATACAGGCACATGCCTGGCGGCAATGAGCCCCTGCTTGTAGCGTCGATTTGTGCCGTACATCCTGAGCGTTCTGCAGCAGCCTGTGTTTCACACGGAGGGGTCGCTTTGACTGTAAATGTGTGGCGATTTGAGATGCCTGTGTGATTGCGCGCCTGTGAGCGAGTGGGGAGCGGTAGTGTAGCTGTTAGCTCCCTGCACTACGGACGGCGGTTTGGGTTCGATTCCCCCTAGGCCTCCCCTAGGTGGACTCAGCCTCAAATGAATACCTGGTGCAGTGTGTAAACATCGCCACTAGGGAGAAAAAGGAGGCTGGACGTGGTGTTGGCCATCCTCCCCCTCGTTTGCCGTGTCGGCCTTCATAGGTGCTTACCAACAGCACGCGCCCCAAAAGTCTGTTAAGACTATAGTGGGGGATTTTTGTCTTTGTATCTCTCAGCCTGCTGATGAGCATGGCCCAGTGGTGGTGGTGAGCAGTGGGCACAGCATATTTTGGCATGATACTTTTTTTTATTGAAACAATTTTTTTTTATTTTACCAGGTAAGGCCCACTGATCTCTAGAGCTAATTTTTCAGAAGCGACCTGGCCACAAATGATAGGTCAACCAAGTGGCTTGTCACGTGGACATTTATAGCGGTAGCTAAATACTCTAAACGCGTGTTTCTAAATTATGGAGGGAAACAATCGGAGGACCCGGAGAAAATCCACATGACCACGGTGGGTGGTAGACACGAAAACTCCCAATGTACAGCAGGAGTCAGGGTCGGGATCGAACCGACGACCTCCTGAAATACCAGGCGAGGTAGTTAACATCTCCTAGCCACCGTGGCGCCTAGGCTCATCCCCTCGTGTTGCGGCATCTTCATCCGTACTCTCGCGTACAGTCACGTCGCGTGCCATGTTACTCATCCACATAGCACTTCAATAACAATAGCATTGTGATAATGGCGTAACAGCCTTGTGATAATGACGTAACAGCCTTTGGGAAAATCCACTGCTGAATGAAGGCTTGCTCATGCCAGTCAAATGAGTTGTTTGGCCATACTTCACCACGCTCGTCAGTGTGGGTTGGTGAAGGGGGGCACAGAGGGCAGTTTCAGATTTCACTCACCTCTGATGTTAGCCGTGGCCGGAAGTCAAACTCGTCTGCCACCCCCTCTCATGTTCATAGTGCAGTGCGCTAACCACTGCACCTCGGCTCCACCACTCAATTCCTGACCATGGCTAACGTCAGTTACGGTTCGAACCTCCTCCCTCCCACCTCCATTCTCACATCCCTCCCACTAACGCACACTGACCAGCACGGTGAAGCATGGTCTAAACAAACCTCCACGACCGAAGCGGTGCGTGGGGACGCCTCCATCATCCAGCTGTGGAACGGCGCAGTGCTGCGCGTATGGCGAGCGTGCGCGCAACACCGCCGCGGATAACCAGTCACATCTGCGCACTGGCCTTTAACAATCACAACTTATCAAACGTGCAACAGTCAAACCAGAGCCCGTCTTTGGCCCCGAGCGAGGGCGCTGAATATTTCGAAGCAGACGGCAACTTTGCCATTAATCAAAAGCATCAGAATGTGATCCGCGTTTATGCCCGAGGGGGCCCTGTCAACCAACCCAACTGCCACCCCAACCCACCACCATCACCACCCCACCCGCTCGCCCGCCCACACAAACGAGCAGATTGCGCTCGGTCATTACCCAGTACTCGGGCGCCACGAGCATTATTTTTTTCCACCATCATTATTTATCCGCGGCAGAGAACCGGAACTTGAATTTGTGTTCTCCGGCCTCAATGGTGATGGGGAAAAAACACAAACCACCCTCGATGATATTGCCGATGTTCGAGCTCGTCTTATCGACAACGTCGGGACGCGTTTTTTTATCCCTCGCGAAGTCTTCGCGGCCGTAGCGCAGCCCCATTAAGCGCTGCATTGTCATTATAATCGCTACTAGTAGTATTCTTTATATGGGCGCGCCCCATTAGGCTGCTGTGTAGTACAGCTGGCCTGCGAGGAAGTTGCATTTGACAAGCTAATATGATTTAACTGGTTTAACAGCTCCCCAAGAACGCCCAGACAGATATTAACCGATGACGGCGTAGTTTTGGAATCTGCGTGCCTGTGATATATGAGGGCAGCCATCCGAGGCTCACGAGACGGCGGGGGGGGGGAGGTTTGTTTCGGGGAGTTTCAGAACCCACCGGCTGCTTCCGAAAACTCAGCAGGCAGATGAGCTCACAGCGATCCCGTTTTGTATTTGCAGTCGCTCGCGTCTCCAGGGGGGCACGCCCCCACCACCCCTCTCCCCTCCATCTTTCTTGACTAGTGAATCCTCGTGCGTTTCGCTGTTTTACGCAAACATGCATCATGGCAAGCACATTATTGCATTTTTAAGTCGGTGCCTGCTGGATATTTTAAGTTGATTAGGCTCTGCTGTAATTACAGTGTGTTAAGTCTACGTAACTACTGGCCAGCGACTGCGCACTGGGCCTACAGCTCATGCGGTGTCTGCAAATGAAATATTCCATCGCCAGCATAATCAGCATTTACATTACCTTAAAGGGAAGGGGGAGGGAGTGGGGGGCGGGGGGAGGGAGTGGGGGGCGGGTGGAGGGAGTGGGGGTGGGGGGAGGGAGGGAACCAATTTCAAAACATACCACGATTTCTGTTGTGGCTGTCCCATAGCCATACTGCAAATATTCAGAATCAGAATATTTATTTATACTGGAGGAATCCGATGAGCTATGAAGCTCTTTTTCACAGATGTCCAGTAGGATCGGGTTAAAACGTCACAACAACAAACAGTTCGCAAACACGATAGGAGTGCAAAGTACAAGAAAGGTCAACAAATCACCCAGCACACAAACAAATACAACACTAAACCATCCCCAGCCTACCAGGCAAAGCCCACTGAGGTCACTAACTTATTTTTCAGCATCGACCTGGCCACTAATGATAGCTCAACAAAGTGGCCCCATCATGTGGACAATTCATAGCACCTAAATTATCTAAATAATCTTAATAATAATTCATTGTTGGTGTCTGGACACCTGTGATTCCCACCGTGGCTGCACCCCCCCCACTCCCCCGGCTCGCAGACTCCACGTTGGCAGGGGGAGAGACCTCACATCCCGTGTCCTGTTCAAGGCTCCAATACCAACGGGGGGGCCCGTGACATAGAGAGATGGGGAAAGCGATGCGATCACACGATTACGAACCCGCGTTCGTAGAACATTTAAAATTCCTCGCAGTTCAGGTGTGAATTCAATAATGCCCGCTGCGAAAGAGGCAGCAGATGAAGAAGCGCGCGAGTGTGGACACAAGCTGTCGGCATCCTTAGCTGTTGTTAATAAATAATGATGCGTCTGGGAGTCGGGGTGGAAGGGAGGGGGGCTCCGAGTGAGCTGTTGACCATGCCGTCATGCACAGAGAAGCCCTTTCACACCCCCACACCACCTCTCACGAATCCACCGCAAAGAGTCTTGACGAGAACGCTGACATTGGCTCTCATCACCGCCATCAATCAGCTTAATAAGAGATTATAACCTTTGCTTTTTTTGTGTTGCCGAGCCGCTCCGTCAACACAAACACAATTAGTTTGTGGCTTCTGTTAACACATTAGCGGGCGTGTAATCGTGCCCCCCCCCAAGCCCCCTCCCCCCCCCCGACCGAAGGGCAAGCGACATCACTCTCGGGAATGTTTTCAGCGGTGCCGATTTAACGAGTCTTCATTCCAGGTCAGTTCGGTTCAGCATCAAATGCCTCGAGCGGAGCCCCCACAGGCTGATGAAGTTCTCTCCGCCAGAAACTTACCCCACCCACCCACCTCCTCTCCCCCCAAGGCCGGGAGCTCAATTTATTAAATCGTGGCCTCTGTGTCAATCCACTGCTGGCTGAAGGTCACGGGGGTGGCGGTGAGGGGTTAATTTGTTTGCGCATACTTCACCACCCTGGTGAGTGAGTGCGGGTTGGGTGAAAGGTGGCTACCCCAGGACCAATTCAGGCACCACTTGCTCACCACCGATATTAGCCGTGACGAGGAATCGAACTCCGGTTTTGCCAGGTTCTTGGCGCACCCAATCTCTTGGCGGAGTTTTGAAACTCAGCAGGTCAGAGCCTGGTTGGAACTTGAATGGGTGATCACTACCACCAACATGACTTGCCAGGTGTTGTAGGCGTGGAGCTGCGAGGTATGGCCTGGAGATGGTAGCGTTGATGTGTCTCCAGGTTGCCTGGTTTCATCTCGCATGATGCTGCTGACTGCTGCATAAGCAGTGGTGCACGGGCACGATTGACAACAACCAAAAACTCATCCTCGCCAACACTGACATAAACAGAAACAGTGCATACTAGTTGACGTCTCGGGGCAATGGCACCTTCATCACAGCCCATAGAGAGGCCAGGAGGGGTCATTAATCAGAATTTGGACGAACATCCCAATGCCACAGGGGCCCCCTGCGTGAAGCACCTTGAGACTCACTCGAGGGGTTCTCCTGGCGAACGATTGCCTTTGATTACGCATCACTGACGAGCGCACCACCTCACGTCGGCCTTATTGCGAAGCGGTATCCATCACTCGTCTGCCAATCCTGGTAATTGAATGAGTGCACTCTTGTTCCATGTGCTGTTGAACACTAAGGAGCGCGCAGACTATTCAAATTCGACTCTTCGCATTTTTGTACGCCACCACCGCCCATCCTATATATAAACACGCGCATTACGCGCGGCATGTATAATTAAGATTCTGCGCCGAAGCACACTTCTCGTGGTGTGGCCCGCAGCTTGCCAGCTTAGCCAATGAATGACCTTCACGTGAGTGATGGGAGGCTGCCGCGTAAGAGTTTGTGCGGAATGTTAAGCGTCGAGGGGGTTGACTGCGCCGGGCCACAGCGCCGCGTTGCCTTAGGACGCCGCTGCCTGCGTGAAGCCGCGCGGTCAGAGAGGGTCGCGGCGATCCGGATGGATTATTTAAATCGCGTCAGCTCTCTCTGCCGCTCAGGCGTTTGGGAATTTCATCGGCTACCAGCAGCGAAACCGCGGAAGGAATTTTCTTTTTTTTGCGTTTTTTTTTTGGGTGGAAGGGCGGATGAACGATACACGTGCATGAATCTGATTCTGTCTCCCACCCTTCCCACCCCACCCCACACTTTACGACGACGTCAAAATGCCACCGCATCTTATGGCCGCTGGAAGCAGAAACAGTGATTGTGTTTATTTTATGGATAGTGGCGCTCGGTCGCAAGTAGGGAAAGAAGAGGTTAGGCTCTTCAGCCTGGACTTGAATGAGGGCAGAGAGTCGACAGCACTGACAGCTTGGGGAAGAGAGTTCCAGCCTATGGGGGGATCAGTTAAGATATCACTGCAGCCACATTCGGATCGGCCCTTGCCCATCGTTAACGGTGTGAATTGTGCGTGATCCCACAGTGGCACAACCACTGGCTCTCAAATCAAATCCCAGATCCATTTGACGATCCTCTCGTCTTCAAGATCCTCCGCTACCTCTCAGCATCTCGAGATGGCGGTCACATTTAGGCACTTTTATTATATGAATCCCCATTGCATGACTCTTGTATTGACTCAAGGATCCATAGACGCACATGTATACCAAAGACAAAGATCCCCCGTATAGCCTCAACAAACTGTTGGAGCAAGTGATGTTAGCCGGCATGGCACACGAGGGGGTTGGTGGGCAGCACCACGCCCGGCTGCCTTTGTCTCCTTAGTGGCGATGTTTACCCTCATTTGAGGCTCAGTCGACCTAGGGGAGGCCCAGGACCAGTTTAAAAATTCGTCACCGGTGTTGGCCGCGAGCAGGAATCGAACTCGGGTGACTGGGTTCGTAGCGCAGCGCGCTAACCGTTGTGCCACCGCCCCCCTAGAGGTCCTAGCCACACACAGACAAACCAACTGACGCTTAGACTTCCTCCTGCCCAAGACCAGGCTTAAGATTTCCTTTACATCCTCTGCATATGACTACCTCCCTCTCCATATAAAATAAATACACTCACTGTTTCTGTACAGTGTCAATATCTATTTCATAGCAATTATATGCGAATCTAAAGGTCTCTATGTGGAATCCATGCATCTCAATGTGAATCTATGGGACTCTATGTGAGTCCATGCGTGTCTGTGTGAATCTGACACTATGAGCTTTTCCTGAATCATCTTTCTTGATAGTCTATGGGTCTCTGAGTGAATCAATGGGCCACTGTTTCTGTACAGCATCTTTAGACGGTGTTGCATTTAAACACTTTATAAACCCACATCTTATTGTATTGGTATATTGTATTGTATCATTGTATTGTGTTATATTGTATTCTATTGTATTATTGCATTGTAATGGTCTGTTGCTATCATATTGTATTCTTATAATCTGTTGTATCATATTATATTGTAATATTGCATTGTATTATTGTATTGCATCGTAGCATTGCATTGTATTATTGTATTGCATTACTCTATTATATTAACATATTATAGTATTTTATTGCTGTATCACATTGCGGCATTGCATTTTAACGTAGTATTGTCATTCCATTGCATGATTGTTGTGATCGTATTGATGCCCAGGTCTACTTCAAGGACACGGCGCCGTCGGGGGTGAGAGGCGATGCCGGCGCGGAGCGCGTGCGGATGCTCTTCCTGCCGGAGACGAGCGCGCGGCTCAAGAACCTGACGGGCTTCACGGTGTTCGCCGTCAGCGTGTCGGCCTACAACTCGGCCGGGGAGGGCCCTCGCAGCGCCGCCATCACCGCCAAGACGCTGCCCGCGCGTGCGTGTGCTCACCGGGCGCACTTATCGCTCGCGCTCGCCACCCTCGCTCGCCGCCGCCCACGCTCATCACCCAATCACCACCCACACTTACCGCTCGTTTTGTTCACGCGCGATCACGACGCAAGCTCACCACCCTCGCTCACCACCTGCAGTCACCACCCGTGCTCGCCACCCGTGCTCACCAGCCACGCTCACCGCCGACTAATTCAACATAAAGCCGTCGGGATGGCTGATGGTCCTACACTCGCCTGGAGGAAACCCACAAGCACACATGGAGACAATACTCATACACCTGGCACCCTTAGATCACGTACCTCCTTGCTGTGCTGTCATCTCCGAGCCACCTCACTGTCCGTTGGCTTTTGCGATTTTTCACAGCGCAATTGATGACATAAAAGGGCTGTACATTTATGATTTATTATTGTCTTATTTATAAATCAGTATTAATAACCGACGCTGTCTTCCAATGCAAGTACAGGTGTCCGCCACCACGCCTGGCTAGCTACTTAATGAATCGCCTTAATTGCATACAAATTAATAGCGGCATGTTTGACCGGGTAGGTGTGTATGTGTAAGCAAGTGTCTACATTGAGAACTATCCTTTACACGCTTGTCCACTGCACGGCGCTAATCGGCGAACTGATGGCTCAGTTGTTTCCACGGTGGGATCACCGGTGAGACGCTTGGCGTTAATTCCGTCAATGAAAATTAGTGGCAAAAAATATTTTTCGTCGAGAGAAGTAGTTTTTTGTTTTTGTTTATCTTAGCCAACTACGGACCGAGGGTGGACGCACCTCGCGGAGCGTGCCGCTCATTGCAGCGGCCCCACCAAGGACCAAAGCGCGAGCTACTGTGACGAGACGGCATTAACGAGCCTGAATGCAGATGCGGACTGAGATAATTTAGTGACATTATCAGACGGAGACTGCAGCGCAACTTAGGAGGAGCGAATGTGATAATTGGCTCTATATGAATGTGCATATGTAAAATGATGAAATTAGTTCGCTGGATGGCTGGTGTGGCGGGGTGCGGCTGAAAATTGCTCGCTTCTCACACCAACATTTAATAACTGAGTGTTTGACTAAATGTTTTACTCCTTTAGTCGGCCACACTTAAGTGAATGACTCAATGAAATCTGCAGACTGAGACTTTATTTAAGATTCCACAGCTTGCAATCGACTAGACGCAGATGGTGGTGAGATGTTAACTATCTCGCCTGGTATATAGGTGGTCGTGGGTTCGATCCCGACCCTGATGCTTGTAAATTTGGAGTTTGCTTGTTCTTCCCGTGGTTGCGTGGATTTTTCCCTGGGTTCTCCTGTTTTTCCCTCCACATTTAGAAACATTGTTTGGTTCCACATGATAATCTACTTAGTTGAGCTGTCATTTGTCAGTGGGCCTTACCTGGTAAAACTAAATAATCGTTTTTAGTTTAGAAATACGATATAAAAAATGCTGGCCAAATTAACACGAGCATCTTGTCTCTTTGAATACAGATATGCTATTTTTTTCCACGTGTTTGTGTGAAAGTTCAGGCCGATGCATGACCCCTCATATTCCAATCAAGCGAAGTGTGGACTAGCAATCAAAAAGGCATTGAGAGAGCTGGCCAGGTGGCTCACAGCTCAAAGAGTTGAGCTTGCACCGCTGAGATCCCAGCATCGAATCTGGGTTTCAAAGTCACCAAGATGATTAAACCAGGTATTCCTAGTATCGCATGCTGATGCTTTGAGTCCGGTTATCAGTGACTCTAAAGACATACATACAATCTCACACACACACACAAACGGTAAAATTTAAATTTGGTTATTTCACTTGATTCTTGCTCAAATTCCAGATCTTGAGAATTAAGAATATCGGTTTAACTGTCATGTCATAAATACCAATCTTATATGAAAGCGTGTTACAAAAGCACCCCTTCTGCTGTGTACAAATGAAAAGGCACCAGGATTATAAATTAGGAAAAAGACCAAAACAAATATGTTTTTGAAGGCACTGAGCTGGCCCCCATGAATTATGGAATACGAGCGATCGTGTCCATGGGCCTTCAAAACTTTAAACATGAAAAATGAGCCGATACACAAAATGCAGACCATCAAAAGCATTCAATCGAAGCTTCAAAAGCACAAAATATACCTATGGAATAAAACACAATTATCTTTAACCAAGTCCAAACAGGCAACATGTTATTAAAATGCAATATTACATTACCACGAAAGGCAACCTGAATGTCTCATTCACTGGCCTTATCAAGAAAGGCTGCAATGGAAATGCCGGACACACAAACCCTCCCCACGTCCGTACTTTGCTGAGAGCCCCTTCCACATTGCGCGGCGGCCGTAATGTAATTGTCTCTTTGCTCGCGCATTTATGGAAGTTTCTTATACAGGGATAACTTAATTTGCTCGTGATGAGCCTCCGCTGGCGGTGACACCTCAAGAATTAAGAATGTCACAGCAAATAAAAAAAAACGGATCCTCACGGCGCGGCTCCGGTTGCTTGTCCTGTGTGTTGCTGTCGACGTGTGTTTGCGTTAATTTCACTCCCAACGCTGCCTGTGCTGCCGGCGCTGGTGTCCTGTACCCCTGGCCCCCACCTCTGCCAACCCTTACCCCCCCCCCCACACACACACACACACAGCGCCCTCAGCCCCCCAGTTTGTGCGATTCGAGGACGTGACAACAAGTTCGCTCAACGTGTCGTGGGGAGATCCTCTGCGGCCCAACGGCGTTCTGGAGGGCTTCAAGCTCATCTACAAGCCCACCACACCGGTGCACGGTGACTCGCGCACACACTAAAGACAAAGATCCCCCGCATAGCCTTAACAGACTGTAGGGGCAAGTGCTGTTAGCGAGCACCTATGAAGGCCGGCAAGGCACACGAGGGGTTGGGTCGCCAGCGCCACGCTCGGCCGCCTTTGTCTCCCCATTGGTCATATTTACGCATCGCACCAGGTACTAATTTGAGGCTGAGTCGACATAGGGGAGGCCCAGGACGGGCTCAGTTAATCGTCACTGGTATTGGCCGTGAGCGGGATTTGGACTCGGGTCGCCAGGTTCATAGTGCACTACTGTACTGTGCGAAAGAAGTTCAACATACATACACACACACACGCACGCAACCATATGCACGCATACGCACGCACACATGCACGCGCACACAGGTGCACATGCATACACATGCATACACACGCAAGCACACGCACGCACACACAACCAAATGTGCATGCACACGCGCACACAAATGCACACACGCACACGAATGCACACGCACGTATGGACACACGCATGTACATGCATGCACTAATCCAGTAGACAGGGCCAGATTTAGTTTGATGGGGACCCGGGTCTGTTATAGATTCAGGGGGACCCCTCTTTGTATATTCAATTCCCTCCCTTGACTGCTTTACCACCACCCGTGCCCGATGCCAAACAACCCACTATTATTCATCTTGGCTATTTCAGTTGTGGTCTTAAAAAATGTAATGGAGGAATTTTAAAGCTAAATCAGGTGTGCAAACGAACAAAACTATTTAAATTTCAGCACACTTCCGGTATTAATGCACATCGTGAAGCTATGGCTTTAATTACCAACCACCACTACGGGGTTTATCGCAGCGCTACGGTATTGCGTTTCAACCATTGTAAAGCTGTAGATATAGTGTATGTAATTATATTCAGTTGTGTGGGCCCCACGAAATCCAAGACTGCAGTCCCTAAAACCCCAGTATGTATATCAATTCTTTTTCCCACCGTATTCAGAAGGGGGTGTGAGCCTTTAGCAGTGTCAGCAAGATGCATGTGTTCCCTCTTTCGCTCGCCGCTGTGTAACGATGCACCAATTCAGATTTGTTGTAATGCGTCGGATTATTTAACCATACTTCACCGTGCTGGTCAGCACAATGCACTTGCAATCCAGAGATCGCCGGTGTGATCTCTCGCCATGGCAGTTAAAACAATGGCACAAGTTTCTTAAATCTTCCCATACCACACCCCAAGAGTATGAATGAGTGCACCACAGTTAGTTGATTTGGCAGATCGGTAAGGTAAAGTGTGGGTACTACAGAGTAGGTGTGGAAGAGGAGGCCAAATGCCGTCTAGAAGGGGCTTTCTAGAGCTCCGTTTTAGTGAAGACCCTACTTCCAGCAGTAGCCTGAGCATGCTTTTGCAGGGCTGCACCTTTACCATTTAAATTAATTCTACATTTTTGTTGAACATAATTTTTTTTTTAGTTTTTGGTAATTTTGGCAAACGAGGGTACCGTTGCAAATGAGACTATCCTGGTCTCTTGAGTTCTCATCTTGCTGAAACAAATTGTACTTTGAAACTCGACTTACAGACAAAGCATTTTTCAAGTCTTCAACATATCCACAAAGCCAAATTCCCGACGTCAGAGCAACGTCAGGTCCGTGCAAAGCTTGACAGCCAGGCCAACGCGCGCGGAGCAGTAATCATAACCCGCGCATTGCAGTCACTTGGGATGTACTGCTGAGAAAAGGCGGGTGTTCAGATTTGTTTTAAAACCTGTAACACTTGAAGACTCTTTGAAGACTTTGATCAAATAAGCTCTCTCGTACAAGGCCTTCGGATTGTGCGCCTGTCCATGCCAGCTTTGCTTCCCACTCAGCCGTTCTTTCCGTTTGAAGCTGTGAGCGATGGCGATTTTATTATTTTGTGCGTTAATATATTTATTTACCACGTTCGTTCGCCGATGCCGGGGTGAGCGCAAATTTTGGACAAGCGTGAGCTGTTCCAACCTGAGAAAGGCTGTGATCTTTTGCTTGTTTGCTCAAACTTCTTTAATAATCTGGCTCACGATCCCATCTGAGCTACCCACTTGCTGCCCCCCTGTCTCTGCCACTGTCCGCCGGGCACAGTGGTGGTGGTTGTCAGTGGCACAGCATATTTTTACATGATGAAACGATTTATTTTAGATCTGTAAAAACATTTTTTTATTTTACCAGGTAAGGCCCATTGAGCTGTGTAGTTCTTTTACCGAAGCTACCTGGCCACAAATCGCTCAACGAAGTGGCTCATCGCATGGAAATGTATGGCAGCCAAACACTGTGAACGCACGTTGATTCTAAATGTGGAGGGGGAAACCAGAGGACTCGGAAAAAAATCCACGTGACCAAGGGGAGAGAGACATGCGAACTCCCAAATATATACAGGCGTGACGGTCGGGATCGAACCCATGACCTCCTGCATACCACGCGAGGGAGTTAACATCTCGACACTTGAATAGGACTCTCTATCCAATAGCTAAGCCACAGGTTTTGATGCCGGCAGTGGTGATTCACGCTCGTTATCCAGTAACTTGCCGGCAGAGTTGGCAGCTCACACAGAGATGGAGGTGCATTCACCTGCAGTGCAATGAGGGGTGGGCTACTGCTGGAGGCAGCACAGCAAGTTGCCCTCTGACCAATTAGCGCAGAGTTGAAGGTTGAATCCCTCATTGTATTGGTGCTCTCCAAACACAGTGATGCCATCCCATCGTCATGATCTGTCCACTGCTGGATGAAGGCTTCCCCCCACAGCCGTCACCATCTCTTAATGTTCTGTCTAGCTCCTGCACGTAAGCCGATCACATCACTTCCATCTCTTCAGTGGATGTCCACTCAGGCATGTATCCTCATTTGGTTCCCACTTCATGATGAGTCTCAATTACCGGCCATTGTCCATGCTCGTGTTTCCGATCCACATGTCATCACGGGTAATGTACAAAGATCAAAGACGTCCTTCTTTAAGCACATTGGTGTGTTGCGTTTCATTCTCAAGTTCAGTTTTTTCAACACCAGTCCACGCTAATATTAAACATAAATAAACAATTAACAGAACTTAGCCAAATATCCCACAGAGGCAGGCCCCAAACCCTTGAAAAAAGACTGCCCACCCCACCCCCCCCCCCCAACTTAAAAAAAAGTCTTAAGAATCAAAGATGTTTCGCTGTATAAACAAACGCCGTCGCAATAACATTATCATTGCGGTGCCCTCTCTGTCGATGCCTGCCCGTGCCCGGTCCGTGCGGTAGGCGTGAGCAAGATCGTGACGGTGGAGGTCCGGCCGGATGCCCCACGGTGGCTGCGTGTGCGCGACCTCGTGGAAGGGGTCACCTACCACTTCCGCGTGTGGGCCAAGACCTTCGCATTCGGGCCCGAGGCGGACGCCAACGTCACCACCGCGCCACTCGAAGGTGAGAGCCCCGGGGGGATTCATTCCTCCACTGAATATTCTCCGGGTCGCAGTTACACTCGAGTTAGGTGTGTAGATGTGTGTGTGTGTCATCTCAGTCAGTCGAACCCGTGGCACCTGGGTCTGCCCCGTGACCTCCTGCCAGCGGGCGTTCGACACTTCACGTGGCCTCAATGTGCACGCAGCCTGGCACAAGCGCCGTGGTGACGTCACCGCCACTTAGTGGCGAATGGCGGTTGTTGTTGTTGTGTGTGTGTGCACAGTAGTCCCTCGGTTAACGATTTTAATCCGTTCCACGAAAACTACTGTCAACCGAAACAACTGTTAATCGAATATAGGAATTGCATGAGTCTGCAAGAGAGCTGTTTACCGTACTGCCTCAACAGAAAACATGTAAACAAAGCCTGTCCAGCTCTAAACGCTCATGAAACGGCATCCCTGATTGGCTGAGGCGTGGCTCAGCCCACCTAACGAGCGCTCAAGATTGGCCGAAATTACCGCCTACGTGCATAACGTAAACATACCGTTCATAAAAAAAACATTCATGTTGGTCCTTACGGGAGGTAAAACGTTAACCGAAAAACCGTTATCCCATGTCACTGTTAACAGAGGGACTACCGTATGTTGAACTTAATTCGCACCGTACGTAGCCAACCGTGCTAATCGGAGGTGCGTGGGGGGGAAGGACAACAACAAGCCGAACACAAAAAGCAGTTCTCAAGAAATTAGTTTTCAATCTACATTTTAAAGTGCGTAGCTCCAATGGCTTCGAAATATGGGAAGGAAGAGCCTTCCAGACGGCGGCAGAAGCGCACCTGAAAGCACGTGATGCAGTGACCGTCTTTGCTCGATGGTTATCCAATAGCCAATTCGATGCATTTGGCTAACCACGTGGCATGCGGCTAGCGGCAAGAGCCGTGGAGATATACATACTCGACGTGGTGTGCGGGGCGTGAATATATTTTCTCGATCTCCAATCTGGATAGGCGTGCTTCGGCATGAATCTATAGACTTAAGTCTATGCGAATCTGCGCGAGTGTATAGGTCTGTATGTGAAACGATGATGGGTTTCTAAGGGTATAGTACTCTACATGAGGTAATGGATCTCTGGGTAAGTCAAGGAATTTTTACATGAGTCTATCGGGATCTAGGGATTAATTCCTCATTGAATATTCTCCGGGTCGCTGGTAGGTGGGCGTAGGTGCTATGTTACGAGTATTTGCCACAGCCACAGTGAGAGATACAGTGAGGGAAAATAATATTTGATCCCCTGCTGATTTTGTACGTTTGCCCACTGACAAAGAAATGATCAGTCTATAATTTTAATGGTAGGTTTATTTGAACAGTGAGAGACAGAATAACAACAACAAAATCCAGAAAAACGCGTGTCAAAAATGTTATAAATTGATTAGCATTTTAATGAGGAAATAAGTATTGGACCCCTCTGCAAAACATGACTTAGAACTTGGTGGCAAAACCCTTGTTGGCAATCACAGAGGTCAGACGTTTCTTGTAGTTGGCCACCAGGTTTGCACACATCTCAGGAGGGATTTTGTCCCACTCCTCTTTGCAGATCTTCTCCAAGTCATTAAGGTTTCGGGGCTGACGTTTGGCAACTCGAACCTTCAGCTCTCTCCACAGATTGTCTATGGGATTAAGGTCTGGAGACTGGCTAGGCCACTCCAGGACCTTAATGTACTTCTTCTTGAGCCACTCCTTTGTTGTCTTGGACGTGTATTTTGGGTCATTGTCATGCTGGAATACCCATCCACGACCCATTTTCAATGCCCTGGCTGAGGGAAGGAAGTTCTCACCCAAGATTTGACGGTACATGGCCCTGTCCATCGTCCCTTTGATGCAGTGAAGTTGTCCTGTCCCCTTAGCAGAAAAACACCCCCAAAGCATAATGTTTCCATCTCCATGTTTGACGGTGGGGATGGTGTTCTTGGGGTCATAGGCAGAATTCCTCCTCCAAACACGGCGAGTTGAGTTAATGCCAAAGAGCTCCATTTTGGTCTCATCCGACCACAACACTTTCACCGAGTTGTCCTCTGAATCATTCAGATGATCATTGGCAAACTTCAGACGGGCATGTATATGTGCTTTCTTGAGCAGGGGGACCTTGCGGGCGCTGCAGGATTTCAGTCCTTCACGGGGTAGTGTGTTACCAATTGTTTTCTTGGTGACTATGGTCCCAGCTGCCTTGAAATCATTGACAAGATCCACCCGTGTAGTTCTGGGCTGATTCCTCACCGTTCTCATGATCATTGCAACTCCACGAGGTGAGATCTTCCATGGAGCCCCAGGCCGAGGGAGATTGACAGTTCTTTTGTGTTTCTTCCATTTGCGAATAATCGCACCAACTGTTGTCACCTTCTCACCAAGCTGCTTGGCAATGGTCTTGTAACCCATTCCAGCCTTGTGTAGGTCTACAATCTTGTCCCTGACATCGTTGGAGAGCTCTTTGGTCTTGGCCATGGTGGACAGTTTGGAATCTGATTGATTGATTGCTTCTGTGGACAGGTGTCTTTTATACAAGTAACAAGCTGAGATTAGGAGCACTCCCTTTAAGAGTATGCTCCTAATCTCAGCTCGTTACCTGTATAAAAGACACCTGGGAGCCAGAAATCTTTCTGATTGAGAGGGGGTCAAATACTTATTTCCATTATTAAAATTCAAATAAATTCATAAAATTTTTGACATGCGTTTTTCTGGATTTTGTGTTATTCTGTCTATCACTGTTCAAATAAACCTACCATTAAAATTATAGACTGATATTTTCTTTGTCAGTGAGCAAACGTACAAAATCAGCAGGGGATCAAAAACTTTTTTCCCTCACTGTATACTGGATGTGGTGTAGCTGGGTTAATAAATATTAATCCAGGTCACCAATCCGGACAGATCTGCCCCAAATTAAGCAACGCACGATCTCCGGCTCCTTGTGATTTGTGCCGGGGTGGGGTGGGCCCGCCAAAAATCTCTAGGCCTTTGACCTCAGCTTGACGTGACGCTTTCTGCTGGTGGCCACGGGTTCTGCCAAGGCATAGGGCGACTTGCCACTGCGTTTGTGAAGCTGACACGTGCTACGTGAAGCTGATATAATTGCGTGAATGTTCGCGTAACCCATCTTGGCAGTTGCTCGTGAAAAGTGTTTTTGTTGTTTTTCTCTCACTGCATTCTAAAAGACAAGGGGTGTTTTCTTTCACTTTCATCAGTCCCACGAATATCGCATTGATCAAAAGGGCCACTTTTGCATTGAAAGCTGCCGACACAAGGTCTAAATGTGAAGATAATCCCGACCTGCAATGCAAATTCAAGAGTTGTGAGCGGTTTGACATTGGACAGTGGCGGGGGATAAGCTAACCAGGTTTTAACAAAATGCTAGATATCTTTTGAAGGATGGGTCGAAGCAATTGGTTCATTTTTTGACAAACGTTGATATCGCGAACCAATGTGTTGTTACTCCAATTCCATGAACCGCGTAATTCAGATTTTTTTTTTTCTACTTGGCTTTCTGGCAGGGCATTTCTGTACCTTTTTGCTCAACTTGAGTCGGCAGCAAATGCAAAGTTGGCACCGTGAAATCGCGGGGCCGATTTCAGCCTTGCCCGAATTCCCGATTGTCAGAATCCGCACCGTCTTTTGAAATGCATTGTCAATCGTGGTACAATCCCACAAAAAAAAATGCAGTGGGTGGGAATATTACATCTTGATATTTTTAATTTGACATTTAATGAGTAACCTTTAATTTTGTCACCGACACAGCCGATACCCTTTTACCCGCAAGTATTTCAGGGAAGGTCCTACTCAGAAATATTTCTGGAAAAGAGCTGCCCAACGCAGGTGATAACTCAGTTAATTCGGCAGACAATGAAAACGCCACTCTCCTTCCTTTAGCCACCTCGCTTTGACCCTCAAAACAAGTTCTGGGAGAAATCAAGCCTCAATTTCATCCCAATGCTGCTATCAGCATCATCTCCTGAAACAAAGAACAAAAACCCATGCAGATCATTCACGGAGCAGTGTGGCCTTTTGTGTTAGATAACATCCCAATGAGGCAGATATCACCTCTTCAAATTACCTCTGTTTTACGTAGTTTGAGGGCAGCACTTTCCCACCCGTTCTGCAAAGGTGATCGAGGTTCGTCACATGACAAAATATATATATGTCAATTCTCAGAGCTGAAATTTATCCACAATAAGCACAGCACCAAGTTTTCATTTATTTATTTATGTATTTTTATGCGTGTGTGTGTGTGCAGCCATTAGCGGTGAGTGGTAGTGTAGCAGTTAGCGAGCAGTGCTATGAACCTGGTGACCTGAGTTCGATTCCCGATCACGATAAACACCAGTGGCAATTATTTGCACCGGTCCTGGGCCTCCCCTAGGTTTAATCAGCCTCAAATTAGTATCTGTGGTGTGTAAAAACATCACCGCAAGCAAGTCAAAGGCACACTCTGGTGTGGTGTTGGCCACCCACCACCCTTCCGTATCGTGCCGGCCTTCATAGGTGCTTGCTAACAGCACTTGCCCTAACAGTCTGTTAAGGCTATACGGTCGATCTTTATATTTGTCTTTGCAGTCATTAGTAGCCGGGTTGAAAGTATCAGCATGCTACACTTGGAAACCTGGTTTAATCATGAGTGTGACTTTGAAACTCAGATTCGATTTTCTAGGATCTCAGCGGTGGCAGCTCAACACTCTGACCTCAGAGCCACCCGGCCACCCTTCTCAATGCCTTTTTGATTGCTAGTCCGCACTGCACTTGAATGTACTCTGTTGGGTTATGCATTGGCCTTAACTTTCACACATATATACGCCATAGACTCACTTCAAATTAAAATCTGCATTTCACCGCGGTCGGCCGCCTTGGTTCGATCCCAGCTTCTCAGCGGTGACGTAACGTGCTATTTTGCGATGCATCAATCGCGCAAAATGCATCTCACGGTGGTGCGCAATTTGCATCGCGTGCGTTTTTTTAGAACGGGAGCATCGGGAGCATCAGACAAGCCAGAAGGAAGGCAGAACCGGCGCTACCAACAATTGGCCAAGCTCTGTGGTCTGCCAATAGGGGTGGGGTGGGGCGATACTCACCATGTGCAATCCCACTCGATCAATTTCTGGGCAATTTCGAATATGTGGCACATTCGGACCGTAACGCTCCCACACAATGAATGACCCGACTGTTGCAAAAGACGTCACAGAATCACTGCGAAGCGCAGATGGCGCGCAGTAGTGCCTTGTGGTTAATAACACCCACGGTAATAACCAGGGCGGCCTGCTGGACTCGAACCCTGAACCTCGGCAACAAGGGGCAAATGTACTCTGATCTCTGGGTTTGCCCGGCCACCTCGAGGAATTTGTCATTATTGTTTGTGTGTGTAGGTTCTCCGGGCCCACCCGGGGCCCCCCAGGTGACCCGCTACGGCACGGACATCACTCTGCACTGGACCGAGGGCGACCCCGGCAGATCGGCCGTCACAAGCTACATCATTGAGGCCCGGCCATCGGGTATGCCTGTCACGTTCACATATACACACACGGGCATATGTGTGTCTATAATCGTGTGTGTGTGTGTATATATAGCGGTAGGGCAGCGGTGAGCGTGCTGCGCTTGGAACCTGGCGACGCAAGTTCGATTCCCACTCATGGCCAACACCAGTGACGATTATTTGAACTGGTCCTGGGCCTCCCCTCGGTCGACTTAGCCACAAATTAGTACCCGGTACGGTGTGTAAACATCGCCAGTAGGGAGACAAAGGCGGCCGGGCGTGGTGCTGGACGCCCAGCCCCTCGTGTGCCACCCCAACCTTCATAGGTGCACGCTCACAGCACTTGCCCAAACAGTCTGTTAAAAAGCTACACGGGGGATCTTGGTCTTTTTTTTGCATGCAAAGGGCAAATTATTTGGTGATGCTTCATTGGCAGTGTTGCACAGTAAACAAAACACTCAACACATTGGTCAATAACACTGCCTTCAAAATAAATATATATTAGGTGGCGTTTTGGGCAAATAGCCCTTCTTCATAGCAAATGAATATAGAGGCCAGAAGACGGTCCATTGCCTAAAACGTCACCAATGATATATTTTTTGTTTGGAGGTAGTGAATGCACATTTCTGCCCTACCTACGACGGCCACCAGGTTAACACACACAATAAAAAAAAAATAACCGCCATTCGCCACTCAGTGGCGGTGACGTCACCATGGTGCTTGTGCCAGGCCATGTGCACGTTAAGGCCACGTGAAGTGTCGAACACCGGCTGGCAGGTCATGGGACAGACCCAGGTTCCATGGATTGACTGAGATGACTGGCCGATGCACCACCTGTGCCCCCTACTGTGCCACACACACATGCACGTGAGATTTATAGAGGACACGTCCCGTCCGATACGCTTCGGCATCCATCGTTCCGCCTTACGCGAAGAAGGGGGCCGTGCCAGCCACGTCGCGCTGAATCCCTTCTGGCTTCTAACGCACAGTCGTCATCCATTGGCTGGGCAAGGATGACCTCGTCGGTGGGTGATAACTGCCTCCTAGTGGCCAGCGTTGCCCATGACCTCTTAACTGCCAAAAAATCCTCGCTCCTCGCCGCCAGGTGTTCCCAGAGCTGGGCTTTTGTCAAGAGCGGCAGCTTACTTTGCCCCCAAAACGTGGATGCGGATGAGATCCCCTACGGCCTACAAAAGCGATCAGTCCAGAGAGCGGCGTAAGGCCTAATGTAATCTTGTGCAAGCCTTGGGAGGGAGAGGTGGAGAGCGAGCGAGCGGGCGGGCGGGCGGGCGGGGGAGGTTAAACACGTACACTCTGGGCCAGGCTAAGCCAGAGAGCATCCGGCTGACGGATGATGCAGTGAACTTGCCCCGTGGTCGATGGCTCAAGGGCAGTGGTGGAGGGAGTATGCCGCAGCAGTCAGAGAGAGAGAGAAAGACGCGGGAGAGGGGAGAAGCCACTGGGCAACCAAACGGCCAAGTTGCAGAGAAATGTTTTAAATAGATGCGTGGTGCCGATTTATCGAGCTGTACCAAGCCAGGCCGGGCATGTGGAATTTTACTAATGCTGGCCTTTGTTGTATATGTTACTGAGTGTGTCTGTGGTGTGTGCGTGTCGTTTGGGGAGTGGCAGTGCAGTTGTCTGCACGCTGTGCCACAAACACGGCGACGTGGGTTTGATCACTAACTACGGCTAACATCAGTGGCGAGTGATGTCTGAACCAATTCAGAGCCTCCTGTAGGTCGACTCAGTCTTAAACGAATACTTAGTTTGGTGTAAGTATCAATACTGGGGAGACAAAGGCGGTCAGACGTGGGTGCTGGCCACACCTCCTGCCCATATTCCGTGCCAGCCTTAATAGGCGTTCGCTAACAACACTTGCTCCAACAGTCTGTTAAGGCTATACAGGGGATCGTCGTTTTTGTTGTTTTGTTATAGCCAGCATAGGTATATGATGCACACAACACCCCAACACAACTGCACCTTCGAATGACTTCAGTCTTGCGTGCTGCGTGTGCAAATTGTGTACGCACGTACAATGAAATCACCGACGAATAAGAAAAGGCTGCTACATTAAGCACACATTTGCGCGTCTTTGTGCGTAATGAAGACGCGAGGGTGTGGGCGTGCAGCCAGGTATCCGAGTTTGTGAACGCTGACGAGCAGAAAAGCAACCGCAGCAGAGCAAGGAATCATAGCGTCGCATTTGCACGTCCAAGGCAGGGCCCGCGTGATTAATTATCTCCCCGTGCCATGTTTCCCCTTGCCGCAGCTCTGTGACATTTCCCTCCTCACTTTTTAATTTGCTTACGTACTCTGCCACAGAGCATGTACGCATGGTGAACATATTTCGCGCCGTACGTAGCCAACAGTGCTAGTGAGGAGGTGCAAAGGAAGGACAACAAACTAAACACAAAAAGCAGTGCTGAAGAAATGAGTTCACCATCTATATTTGAAAGTGCATAGCTCGTAATATCAGAAGGAAGAGCGTTCTAGACGGCCGCAGAAGTGCACCTGAAAGCGTGCGATGGGGCGACCGTCTTAGTTCGATAGCCCAGCCAAAAGCCGCTGCTGCGAGGATGACCGGAGTTCACGTGTTGATGGATCATCCTTCTTGACGAGATCATCACGGTATTGTGGTCAATTTGTGGCAAGCACCTTGTGTGCGTAATTAGTGCGACGCAATTCGAGCTGTTAAGAAAAGCTTGTGAGTTTGGCTTGGGTCAAGACGACGTCGCTCAGAAGGGACCGATGGCTTCGGTGGGCAAGATTAGCGACGGAATGGCAGCGAAAGAACGGAGCGCGCGAGGGTGACACGTCGGCCGAGGAGACGGAGCGAGGATGGAATCGGCTCGTGTTGCGCTCCTGGGCGAATGTGGACTGTCGCATTGCAGAACCGTGCGTGGGGTTGGCGACCATTTGGGTTAGGCCTTCATCTGGCAGTGGACCCATTATTATTATTGTTGATGATGATGATGATGTCGGCCACCGTAAAAGGCATCCGTTAAGTGCATTCAAACAGACCAATGACGGTGTTGAAGCTTAACAAATTAAGAAAATTGCGACCAACAGCAACTTGTGAAAGCTGCTGCATCTGTAGAAAAATGAGATCAGGCGGTTTACGTGAGGGCGGGGGGGGGGGGTTCGTTGTGATGTATGTGAATGTTTGGGACACATTGTTTAGTTTTTATGATGTAACGCTGCTGTTTATTCACAATGCGAATAGCAAGAGACAGGGCGACATTCTGACTCAATGGAAAAATTGTTTAAATCTACAACCTCTGTGTGACCGGCGGTGGTGCATTGCTGAAATTCATGTCATTCTGACTATTAATTATAGATTGTTACTGGACAACAACGTTCAGTTGTGCGCTGAGCCGAGAGACAAGAGGAAGCTGATTGTGCTACCCAACTCCCTCCCCTCCACTCCTCTCTCCGTCCAACTCCCTCGCTGCTATGCAAACCATCGAAGCGCTTGCGCAGAGCAACAGCAGCAGCTCGCTATTAGGGGGTGAGCAACTAATCGATTTAAAATCGAAATCGCAATTTTAAACAATGCGATTAGCAAATCGCAAAGGCTGCGATGTTTTGCGATTTTACAAGCCCGATTACTTTCTTATTGGAATTGTTTTATTTTGTATTATTAGAACTGTATTTATTTAACTTCACATTTGGTCTATGTTTGATTGTTCTATTTCAATTCAAACAGTTTAATAAAAACATGTTGGAAGCAATTCGTATCATTTAAGTTCTCATCTTTGCATTAGAATATATAGAGAGCAGTTCATATGTTGATGGTATCGTGGTAATGCTCCATCACATGTTTAAATATATTACACAGTGAACATTGAACTGAAGCCTGACTTTAAAAAAATGTAATCGCAAATCAAATCGCAATATCTGTCAGAAAAATCGCAATCAGGTATTTTCCCCAAATCGTTCGGCCCTACTCGCTACCCAGAGTCCCTTTCATGCGCAGACACTGGGCCCCAGGGCCGCCGCTACCCACCCCCAAACATTTCCGCATGCACTTCACGTCCGCGAGCACGGGGGGAGCAGCAGCACGCAGGTTCAGCAGCCGCCGACGCCGACCGTCGTGGATGGCCCAGACACGCGGATGGCCCAGACACGCGGATGGCCCAGACACGCGGATGGCCCAGACACGTGTCTGGGCCGGGTGCAACATTGTTTTGATGCGGCTCGGAGATGCCCACAAGAAAATGTGTTAGATTTGGCGATGAGGAGGGCCACGTAATTTTGGGGCGCATAAAAAAAAATCACGACGGGTTTGAGCCCGCGTTTTTCGACCTTCCACGAGGTGATGATTGGAGCCGTTAAATAACACAGCGCAGGAGAAGCAGAAGAGAGTAGTAGCTTAGATTTAATGTACTTATAGTGCAGTAGAACTCCCCTTATCCGTGACGATGCAGGGGAGTAAACTTCATGGATCATGTCTGTACTGTAACTCATATCTATCACGAACCAGGGTGGCCGTGCCCTTACATCGTGATCTGTGAGCTCAAGCAACCTCATTCACTCTCACAGAGTTGTGTTAGCCAAAGCGACCTCACTCACTCTCACAGAGATGTGTTAGCCAAAGCGACCTCACTCACTCTCACAGAGATGTGTTAGCCAAAGCGACCTCACTCACTCTCACAGAGATGTGTTAGCCAAAGCGACCTCACTCACTCTCACAGAGATGTGTTAGCCAAAATGACCTCATTCACTCTCACAGAGATGTGTTAGCCAAAATGACCTCATTCACTCTCATAGACATCTGTTAGCCAAAGCGACCTCCACTCACTCTCACAGAGATGTGTTAGCCAAAGCGACCTCATTCACTCTCATAGACATATGTTAGCCAAAGCGACCTCCACTCACTCTCACAGAGATGTGTTAGCCAAAGCGACCTCCACTCACTATCATAGAGATGTGTTAGCCAAAGCGACCTCCACTCACTCTCATAGAGATCTGTTAGCCAAAGCGACCTCCACTCACTCTCACAGAGATGTGTTAGCCAAAGTGACCTCATTCACTCTCACAGAGATGTGTTAGCCAAAGCGACCTCCACTCACTATCACAGAGGTCCGAGCTAAAGCGACCTCCACTCACTCTCACAGAGATCTGTTAGCCAAAACGACCTCCACTCACTATCACAGAGGTCCGAGCTAAAGCGACCTCCACTCACTCTCATAGAGATTTGTCAGCGAATGCGGCCTTATTCACTCTCATAGACATCTGTTAGCTAACCAATAACAACTGAGAACTGCCTACGTGTTAAACCGTCCACTGCTGGACACTCCAAACTTTTACTGTTTGGCTGCACCCCTGTCGAGGACCAAGGACCCCTCCAGTGGGAGATTTCAATCGTTTCGTAATTTTGGGCATAAAAGAGGAGAGCTTCAACATCTCTCTCACACGGCAGCACTTGGGATCGAATTCTGCCAGCCATTGTCCGTGGGGCTCTCTCTCCGTGGGAGCTACCCCCCTCATCATTAGAGAAAACCCTTCCCCACCACCCCGACTTTCTCCCCCCCCCCCCACACACTCCTCCCCCGAGTGCTCTGTAGGAGTCCTTATAAAGGCATGCGAGCAAGGGAGCGAGCGAGCGGTACGCATTGTGTGCGGACCGTTACGCATCGCTCGGGATTATTTAGTGCTGGAACCTCCCCCGAAATCCACCCCCCCCCCCCCGCCCTGCATCGATCGTGGCGCTCCTGTCATCGCGGAAAGTTTAATGCCGAGCGGTTTCTCGGTTCTCTGAGGTCCGGATATGTGGGAGCACTTTAAGCTGTGCGTGGGTCCAGGGCCGCTGGATGCCGATCACGAAGACAAATAAATGCTGTGCGAAATTTACTGGGGAAAGAGAGGGACAAAATGAAACGCCACGTATGAACTATGGCCTGGTTTTCCGATGTGTCTTCGTGCTGTACCACGTGTTGATCGGTAAGGTTGTCCGACGTTTCGCTTTGCGCGCTGGTGGGGAACTTTATTTTTTCGGGAACTGATGAAGAACGAGTTCTCAAAAATAAAACTCCCAGTACGTGGAGCGAAACGCCAGACATAATGCCGAACGAGACGCGGTACATATACCCGAGAGAAAATCGGATAGCATTATAAATGACCTGAACTCAGTTGCCGAAGAAGCTCACCCCGTACGCGGAGTGAAAACATCGGTACGTCGTGTCGGGCCAAGTTTCTTGTGTCTTTTCCTTGCACCTCCGATCAGCACGGTTGTCTACGCACTGTGCGAAATAAATTCAACACACATACATACATAAATACATCCGGACGTATGGAGAGTTACTCGGCGCAACCGGGACAAATCCTACGCAGTGGAATTTCTGGCTCGCTGTGCCAGGCATTGACCGTGCCCCAAACGTCCCCGGCCAAAGGCAGACACACGCGCAGTCGATATGAGGCGCGCGACCTTGGCCCCTAAATCCATCACCGTGCCCTCGGGTTGATGATGGGGGAAAAAAAACCGCAAGCTGTGGGTCGCTGCTTGAGAGTTGAGAAAAAATGAAACGGGGGGGGGGACGAAAAAAAATAAATAAAACGGCAACAAAAAAACATCGCGAGAAAACATTTCTTATTTTTTTTACGCGAGCAACAGGAAACGGTCACGAGGCATTCTTTCTGCACTTGGGGATATTTTTAGCCGGCGCCGCCTAAACCGGGCCGCATATTTATTTATTTTTTGCGCGGCACCCGTTAATCACTCCGTAAACATTTCCTTCGCGATGAGGTATTTAATATGCTCGTCGAGGCTGCGAGAAATTGGCCCGTAATAATGTCGCGATGTGGAGAGCCGCGTTCTCAATTGCTTTTAGATGGCTTCCCTAACCGTCGCGCTTGCATTCCTGATTAAATTGTAATTAGCCGCCCGTAATCGTGCGCGTATCTGAAAATGAGTCGTTATCGCATTTTCGGCGACGCAAGGTCAACCCCCCAATCCAACCCCCAACCCCCCCCCCGTGTCGTCCGTGTGATACCTCTGAAGGCTTAGCCACTGCGCAGATGGTGCCGCGTGAGGCACCTTCAGCATCCTGCTTTCCGATGTCGCTGACCAGCGGCTGAATTAATCGCTTTACCGATCGGCGTTTTTACATGAAGCGCCCCTTGCAATTAAATTTGTCCTCAGAAAGTGCCGCGAGAAATATATGCTTTTTTTTACGAAATGCATATATATACACATATATAACAATGGGAAATCGTGAACAAAAGATAATTGCTTCCCGTTCAAAATGCAAATGATGAGTAAAAAAAAGTCTCCAGTCAAAGTGATGCCATGCTCAATGTGCACAGGAACAGCAACATTTGAAAGCACTATATACCTATGATTCTTGAATTGCTTTTTGCCTTGAACAGAGCCCCATTATTTTTGGAGTGCCATTGCCAATAACATATGGTAACTCGGGGGCATTTCTTTTAAAAAAAGCTGACTACTGATGAGACGAAAACGGTTGAAACCAGTCCAGAGTTGGCTTGCATAAACAACTTCTGCCGGTCAGCGTACTGCACTACGAATCCAGCGACCCGAGTTCAATTCCTTGCTCGAAGCAAATGACAGTGGCGAATATTTGAACCGATTCTTGGGCATCTGCAAGATCGATGCAGGCTCAAACGAGTACCCGGCGTGGTGTGTAGTAAACATCAGAACTGGAGGAGACAAAGGTTGACAAGCGTGGTGCTGATTGTACATTCCCCTCATGCACCGTGCTGCCTTCATGGGTGCTCGCTAACAGCACTTACCTCAGCATTCTGTACAGTTATTTTTAGGTATCTTGTGTGAACATCACCATCTTCCTACTCGTATTAATTAATTTTCTTGTTGTGTCCGAAAGTACAAAAAGTAATGCGAGGATGCTGTTCTAAAACTTGAACAAAAGTTTACATTAGTCAGGTCAAAACTTTGACCTTCCCCGCCACCATAGGAATGTGGAATTTCCAACCCGGGCCAATGGAGATGAGTACTGGCCCATTGTTTGCCTTAAATCACGAGAGACTGTGACTTTTGTGTGTGGGTGCGTGTGGCTTGCCTCGGTTTCAGTTTACGGCCAAGAGTTAGATTGCACCTCTGGCCTTCGTGCTTTTGGGCTGATCTTTTACGCGAGCTGTCAGTTTGAGTTCTCAGCGTGGTTGGGCTGCCCATGGGAAGTGGGTAAAGTTATACATTCCCCACCCCCCGCTTCAGGCGTGCGACACTCCCAAACTTGAAAAATATGTTGTGCAATGACACTCAACGCTCACAAGCCCGTAATTCACTTAATTCCACCGCTGGCAAAGCGGCAGGGGGATAGAGAGAGCAATATTAATCAAGTTAAGAATTGTATAAAAAAATTCAAAAGGGTGGAAATTATTTTGCTTTAAAATATTGGGGCACTCATTATCGAAGTGTAAAAAAAAATCTAATTCAGATACGTGGCAAATTGATTCGTGCCTCGACGCGAAATTCCTTAGGACACAGGTCCCTAAATATGCTGTGAAATATTACGCGCCGTTTAATCAAAGTTTTACAGCGCAGTTGGGGGGGAAAAAGTCATAAAAAACATCATTACTAAAATTCGCCTACTTTTTTTTTCACTTTCAAACAAAAGTTCGGCCTATCATGCCGCGGGCATGTTTGATGCGTCTCGCTCGCAGATGAGGGCCTCTGGGACATCATCGCAAAGGACATCCCCAGCGATGCCTACTCGCAATCCGTGAGTGCCACACTGCTGCGTCACGGCGTCAGCTACAACTTCCGCGTGTCAGCCCTCAACCGCTTCGGCTGCGGCCTGCCCAGCGAGCCGTCCCAACCCATCTCTGGTGAGCTGGCCCCGCACCCCCATGTCATTCCTGGAGGTCCGAGGTAGAAATGCCGTGTCGGGCTGCCCCCCTCATTCCACCGTTCACTTTGTTACAAGTCTGCGTTGAACAACAGCACGGGATCTTTAACGTCCACTGCGAATAAGTCGGCGCATGCGTTACGGTTCGTACGCCCGCAGTACGTACCAGTTGCGGCCGTTGCACTGAAACCAGGAACCTCTGCAACAGGCAGCCGTGGTCACTGCCCAATTGTGCATGTGGCGCAATGTCATAGGGCAAGAAGATGAAGAATATCTCACAATTACCAGAAGAGAAAATAACTGCATGTGAATGTATTGCCTTGAGTGGTTGTCGACACTTTTAATATCCCAGGAATACTTACACATTTCGCAGGACAGCAGCTGCCTCAAAACCAGGACATGTGGCAACCTTAGCCAGAGACCGGGAGCAGAAACGGTGGCGGCTGGCGGCCTCAGAGGAGAGAGCGCCACAAATAAATCCTCTGGTTAATCCTGCCAGGTTGCTGTTCCAGTGTGCCAGCACCCAGGTGGCAGGTGGCAGCAAAAAATATTCCTCCTGGAGAATACAAAACTGTCGCGTTTCGAATTCTGTGGGGGTTACACCAGGAAGCAATTCTACAGGTAGCAAGGGCTATCAGCCTGTGTCAGTGAGGGCCCCTGGGAGGTGATGTCACAGATCTGAATAACTGACTGACTAACTGACTTTTAGATTTTTGCCAGGTAAGGCCCACTGAGCTATATAGCACTTTCTCAGAAATGACCTGGCCACAAATGATAGTTCGACGAAGTGGCTTTCAACGTGGATATTTATAGCAGTCCAGTATTCAAAACACGTTTCTAAATGTGGAGGGAAAAACCTGAGGACCCAGAGAAAAATCCACGTGACCATGGGGAGAACATGCAAACTCCAAATATACAGGCGTCAGGGTCGGAATCGAACCCACGACCTCGTGCATACCAGGCGACGGAGTTAACATCTCGTCACTGGAATATAACTCTCTATCCACTAATTTCAAATGTATTTTGTTTGACCAGGTGAGAGCTCAAGGGGCAAGGATAAAGTCTCATCTCTAAGAGTTTACCTGCGTCACCAAATTTTATCACGAAACAAAATCTGACCAAAAACAATACAACTGTTTCACACGAATAATTGGACATATTTGTGGTGTGAGGAGTGTTCGTTGAAGCCTCAGTGTCATTTTTTTTATTTCAAAGTATTGAATGATTTCATTGATTACCAACTCTCCCTCACTTCCGACCAGTCGCTCACATTGCCATATTCGTGGGTGATTACATAATATCAGTAAATTATCTGAAAAAATAAATGGCCATAGCTTTGTCTGGTCGGAGATGGGTGATCATTGTCCCAATATTTGAGCCTCGGGGCTGAATATTTCCTGTTATAGAAAGTTTCAGCTCAAGATTGCATGTACTTGATTTCCCCCCAAGCATATTCACCTCGGCTCGATGTGCCAGACCCATTAATGAGAACGGGCCATGAAATTGACTTTCAGACGTGCTGACCTCTAAAACACGTAGCCACCTCCACACGTTTGCTTGTCCTGTTCGTATGCTTGAGAACACTTCCTCGCATCGCTCCCCAATGAACCTTCGGAATTTGTACCGCGTGTTATTTCGGCACGTCCGACGGTTTCGCTCCACGCGCCTTAAAGCTTCGGCCTCGCGAGGAAAAGGGAAGCTCCCAGCACGCGGAGCGAAACGTCGGACGTCGTGCCAAACTACTACGGGCGGGACACCACGCGCGAACGCGTAGGGAGAGAGCGGTGCGGTGCGGTGCGACCGCGAGAGCCCACGCAGCGGCCGCGGCTTCAATCGCGCCGTGCCGTTGTTCCCGTTGTCGCAGCGGTGCACGACGCGGCGTTCTACGACGAGTGGTGGTTCCTGGTGGTGGTGGCGCTGAGCGGCCTCATCCTCATCCTGCTGCTGGTGTTCGTGCTCGTCATCCGGGGTCAGAGCGGCAAGCACGTGCGGCGCGCCAGCTCCGGTATCTCGCCCAGCGGCACCCCAACCCCCCCCCCCCCCCCCGCCTACCACCTCATCGAGCCACACTCTCGTCGTCATCACGCCGTGCCGTGGTGGCCTTGGAGCGAGGCGCCCTCGGGCGGTCGAATCGTCGTCACGTCAGAACGTCGTCGCACGGTCACCGAATCGCATTCCTTCTCCTTCTTCTTCTCCTTCTTTCTCATGGCGTGTTTAAAAAAAAAAACAAAGCAGCAGGGCTACGATTGTGTTGTTGACGTTGTAGGCCATTCTGTGGCATCCGGGCTAATATAATTGCTTTTTGTGTTTAGTTTGTCGTCCTTCCTTCCGCATCTCCGATGAGCACGGTTTGGCTACGTATGGCGCGAAAGAAGTTCAACGTACATACGTACGTGGTATCCGGGTGGAGGCCACTCAAGCAGGCGTGTGCTGTATTGGGCAGTCGTCAGTGATATGACTGATGGTTTGCACGTCGCAGAAATCTCAGTTTGGCGAGACGTGAATTCATGGAGGAAATGTCCACACCTTCATGCGTGTGTTCATTCGGACACGCGGTTGAGAGCGATCTCCACTGTCATCGGGGCAGAGAGAAACCGTTGCCGCGTGATAACGTCGTCGCCCTTTCGCATCGTTGCCATCGCGTCACGTCTGGTCATTTTGTCGTCGCTGTCACGTGCACGTGACGTCACAGCGTTCCCAGCATCGAGTTCGCCAGCCTGTCGCCGTGTCACGTCGTTAGATCGTCGCGTGACATCCTCGCATCATCACATCGTTGTCGCACGCCGAGCGGCGATGTTGTACAAGGCCACCTTGTGTGCGCCACAACGGGAAACTGTGTACACCACTTCGACACTTGTTTACTGCGTAGGCTTTCACGACCAATATAATGATTCATAATCGCTTTTGGGGGGGGGGGGGGCGGGGGTTAGGTTGTGTAAATAAAATGCGTGTCATAAGCCCGAACCCTCCACTTGAGCTCTTGTTGACAACCTAAGGAAACTGGATGCTCGAATAAATGCAAGACGTTTGATGCAAGTGAGCGTTTATGAATTGGACCGTTTCGGGTGGAGGTTGTTCACGACACTCGTTTCATTTCCACGACCTGACTCTAAAGGAACGAATAATGAATCATACTTTGACACTGTTCGTCATCACATTATTTACACTTTTTTGACACTGTTTACACTATTTTGACAATATTCACTGTATAATGACACTATTGCTACTGTATTATGACACTGTGTACCATCACATTGTAAATCATTTTGTAATAATAACATATATTTTTTAATCGGGCACCCTTTACTTCGAGCCACCTTAAGAGCTTTTTACACGGGACAAGCCACTTACATCTCATCTCATCAACACATTTGAAAGGGCACCTGCCTGGCGGCTGCTGTCCATGTGCCACACAATGTGACTCAGCACGTGGCCTGCAATCGTCCATTAAGTCTTCCAGAGGGGGGGCGGGGGGAGTGGCTGTGATTGCTACTTAGTCTCGACGAGGGGGACCCCCAGTGGCAGCTGTTCCTGTGCTGTGCAAAGTGACTCGGCACAAGGGCCTGCAAGCGGGCATCGGTCTGCAAGTACGTGGCTGCGATTTCCGCTTTGTGCGAAATCGCAGCCGAGCAGACTGACGAGGCTTCCACGTGCTGCGGCATGACATCCCGCACGGCTCGTGCTACTACCGCCACCCCCCCCCCCCCCCCCATCAGCAGGTCTGAGCGCCAAGCCGGGCACGCTGGGCCATGAGGAGATGGTGAGCCTAGACGAACGCTTTGCTGCCAGCCTGGAGCTGAGCGAGCGGCGCCTGCCCGTCAAGAACTCCTTCTGCCGGCGGAACGGCATGCACACGCGGTGAGTGCCTCTCCTCGTGGGTGGTGTCGTCACGTGCCCCGGGGGCTACGGTTGCCCCCCCCCCCCCGGCCGCCCCCCCGTGAGATCGTGACACTCCTCGCCCCGCGTGGGAGCGGTTTGCGAGGGACCACGCCGTCACTGCCACCGCGCCAGCCGTTCGCCTGTCAGGAAAGTTTTTTTTCCAGGATATTCCTGGGCAATCTGTAACTGGCGAAAGTCACCGGCAGTGTCACCGTGCAGTAACCCAAGTTTCCTCGCAGTCTTGCATTGAAGGTCCGGGAGACACGAGGCCAAGGTCAGGGCTGGGAGTCTTTTTGGGTCCAGGGTCGGGTCAATGCCACGGTCAAGGCCAAAGTCAAGGTCAGGGTCAATGTCAAATTCAGGTCACGGTCAAATCCTCTCGGACGTTGATGAGCTACAGTAAACAAAGCTCACGTTGCAGTCTGAAAGCTGCCCAAAACTTGGAAACAATCAACAACTAATACATTACATCTAATCAACCTGATTAAAACTACATTTTGGGAAAACAATCTTTACGGTTTTTTTGCAATTAAAATGAGTAGCCAATTTATCTATATTTTAATGGAAATTAGATTTTGTGAGAATTTACACATGTCCACTGCAGAAGACGGCCCAGGTCTCCCTTGCAAAAGGGGTCCTCAAGAGTTCTAAACGGCTCCATATTTCGTTCTTTCATCTCCTGGTTCAATAACGAATACTGCTACCCGCTACCCCCCCCCCCCCCCCCCACCACCCTGAAGGCCAGGGCCACTCATGAGAGCTGAGAATGTCCTTGAGTCGACCTTGAGGGAGAGGCCTGGTCTCGAGGACTGCTTTCTCACTCCCGCCACAGCGCGGCATGAACACACGGGGGGCGGTCGGGCGAGCGTTGGAGCAAACCGTGCCCCCCCCCCCCCGCAGACCCCCTCTTTTGCTCTGCCACGCGAGCGCCGGGCGTGAGGATTGGGGCCGTCTGTGATTTTCCGCATCGCTTAACACCGGTGGTAATGCAATTGCAATGCCGCATGCGCGCGTCTGCGCGTGTAAATCTGGAAACCTTCTGATAAGCTGGGCTATCGCCGTATAGAAGTTTTGTAGAAGGAGGGGGTGGGGGGGGGGGAAGCGTATATACTATCTGCTGCAACCGTGCATTCAAAGAACATCGCGTGACATCAGTGGGGAGGCTGGGGATCTCGAGAGAGGAGAGCGCGGAGAAAAGGACGAGGCGGTGCAACTGCTCTCCGTTGTGCAGCGAATCGCAGCGCGTCCGCGCGTATTTGACTTGGCGTGACAATCGTCTAATTTCGCCGCTAAGTTACCCAAGTAAACGTTGTTTGTCGTTCCGTGGGCCAGCGCTTTAGTTGCAGCCGCCTGGTTGGAGCTGTCTAATGAGACAAACATTATTAGGATTTCGTGGATGAGTGCGTTCATTTCCCAAATTCACCGTTCGCTGTGGTAGCATTTTTTGGTATATTTCATCCAATTACCGTGTAGATTATGGTGGCGCAATTGCACAGTCGTTAGCGCAGCTGTGTTGTGAACCCAGCAAATTGAGCTTCATTCCTGGCCATGGATAATTCTATTGAGGGGCGCATTTGACGCTTTTTTTTGCAGAGGTTCACGGTTCGAATATAGCGGCCGCCCTGATGAATACCGCCGGTGTATTAACCGTATTCACTTTGGACGTTGAGGATCTTGTGACATCATTCCAAAGATTCGGCCTAGGCAATTGTGTGCCAATATCTTGGTCCAAATCGGAAAATAATGACCCGCAAAATTACTCAAATGACTAAATCGCAATGTACATAGTAATTATCGCCCTCTTCGTGAAAAACCTTGGCAGGGCTCTCCTGAAAAAGAGTAATGAGACTCAGTGATGCTTTCATAGGTAAACAAACGTAGTAATAATACATTGTGAGTGGCATCTGAACAGGTCCTGGGGCCTCCCATCATTCACCAACCCAGACTGACCATGAGTGACATGGCATAGGGACACCTTCATAGAGCAGTGGATTTACAAAGGTCTGTTAATTATGCATTATTATTATCTTGCAACAAAAATATACCGGTAAACACAAGAGTAACACACGTACATACGTAGGTACATACATAGATAATACAGGTTTTTTTTGGGTTAGATCGCGTAAATATATAAATGTGTCGTTACACCCGCCACCACCAGTACAGCACACCAGTGTGTTGGAGAGCAAATCCACAAAATGTACAATATGAGTACGACTTTTCGCCAGCAATTACAACTAGCATCATCAGGCGGACAGTCAAATCTGGCGGGTTTAACGAAACATTTCTATTTACGCAATCTAACCCAAATAAAACTTGTATTAACGATGATGTCGGTCACGAAAGCCTACGTGTTAAACCGTACGTACGTAGAGTACTGGTGATTCCATATCATCGTAAACTGTTGCGTATATTTGCGTACAGAAATAACATACTCGGGCGTAGATACACGCAGATAACACACGCGCACACGCATGCATAAAACAGCAGTGCAGTCATAAAATCTGTGGAGGCCGTTTGGCCACGAGGGGTCCATTCTGAACGGCCGTAATTCATTTTGGATTCCGTTCCGTCAGTCCATGATTTGCCGCATTCTTTCCATCGAGGGAATTTGAAATTGACTGAACACAGCACCGCAAAAAACGAAAGCCTCTCAAACTGAACTGACGTACACCCAGGGCTTAATTTTCGGCCGGCTCTTGGCCTAGGGGTCACCGACCCGGAGAGTAATTCCACACCCAGCACACCACATCCAGTATACCTTCTCGGCAGGGCCGGATTAATGCAGGGGCTTTAGGGTCGGCAACCTGCGGCCTTGGATTTTTAGGGGTCCTCAATATAATATACACGGCTAGAGTTGTTGAAACACAACACTGCACTGGAGCACTTGTTGGTAATTATAATTATTAAAGCAGTTGCATCGAAATGTGAATTACTGCCAGTTCTATCGCATTTAAAAAACCGGAAATGAAACATTACCCGGGGTAAATAACGCGATGGAGTGTTTGCCATCGGCCATCGGCCATGGGTGGCGGGAAAACAGTGAAGGGGAAGTAATTGAAAATAGAAAGAGGGCCCCCCACTAAAGCATAACAGCCCCGGACCCCCATCAAACTTAATCTGGGCCCCTCTCTGTCACACGATCATGGCTGTCGCTCACGAGTCACGGGGCCACCTATTCCAGTCAAGTCTACCGGTAACCCAGAAACTACTGAGTGAGAAACGTCTGAGCCCTGAGTACACCTGGAAAGCACCTCGACACTGATTTGGCTCCCCGCGGTTAATGAGCATCAGGCTTTTAAACCGAGAGATTGCAAACAAGAAAAATCCACGCAAATACGTGGCCTCCTGCCATGAGATGAATTTAACCTTGTATGGGATTGCGTGCAATTAGCCATTTACATCTGTTTGCATTCATGTGTGTGTAAACAGCGGTTGTAATGATAGTTCACATACACGAACCAGTGCCTCCCCCGCCCCCCCCTCACAAGGGGAAGAGCTGCCTAAGCTTCCTTAAGCTGTCTAATTATTTCCTGTTGGAGTTTACTACACAGAGACAAAGACCCCCCGTAGAGCCGAAACAGACTTGGGGCAAGTGCTATCAGCGAGCACTTTTTGATGGCAGGCAGGATACACAAGGAGATGGGTGGCCACTACAACCCCTAGCCGCCTTTGTCTCCCCAGTGCTGATGTTTAGACACTGCACCAGGTACTCACTTAAGGCTGATCCGACCTAGGGGAGGACCAAGACCGGTTTAAATATTCGTCACGGTTATTGGTCGTGAGCAGGAATCGAACTCGGGTGGCCCCGTTCAAAGCGTGGCGCGCTAACCACTGAAGCACCACTCTCCCACTCAACAGCACAACAACGATAACAAATCAGCCGCCATTCGCCACCAAGTGGCGGTGACGTCACCGCGGTGCTTAGTGCCAAGCCGTGTGCACCCTTAAGGCCGTGCGTGAACTGTCGAACGCTCACTGGCAGGAAGGAGGTCGTGGAACAGACCCCCCCCCCCGCCGCCCCTTCAGGTGCCGTGGGTTGACTGACGGAGGTGACCGCGCGTGCGCTCGGTCGGCGAGACAGCGGACATCCGAGGCACATTCCATCAGTTCAGTGCGATGGTCCACATGCGTCGACTAGTGGGAAGCAATGTACGTGCACCTGCGCAGGCAAAGTTAGTCAGGGCAATGCTCAACGTGGGGGCTATTTGACCGCTGATTCATCGCGCCGGTCGGTGCGGGGTGTTGAAGGTGGGGAGCAGAGCCACGGGAGCATAGAATTACGGTACAACAATGAATTTGTTTGCACTGCCCACCGCCTGGCCTAATAACCTGCCCATCCAAGGGCCATCCAAGGCTCAACGCTGCTTAGTTCCAGGCATCTGATGCGTGGAGGAAATCCACCGACACACACAGAAGGGAGTAACAATCAGGAGCCTCCACACACATATCAAATAGATGGATTCAAGCATCCGTTTCTGACCTGCCGTCCCCTGGGTCAACGTTGCATCGTCAGTGTCATTGTCCAGGCTATTAGAGCATTGTGGGACTCTGGATCAGATGGATAAGATGCAGATGTGGAGTCCCATCTGCCAGCAGTGGCATGAGCCATCAATTACACTATAACCATTCGACATAAGAAAGTCAGCAGTGTTTTTCAGGGGTGACTGGCTGCGGGGTGTCTGTTGGGGAAATTTATCCTGGGGCTAATCAACACATCAACTATACAGTCTTTTTCTTATTTGCTCATTAAGCATATAAAAATCAATTTTCGACTCATTTTCTTTGCAAAAAAAGTTCATTAAACTTGTACGCTTCATCCAAAGGAAAATAAAACTAATTAAAACTGTTTCATTAACAGAAGACACATTCTTCTCACTGTGTGTCTCGCTCGCTGTCTGTACGTAAATAAGAGATGACAAGCAAATAGGCTGAAGGAAATCAGAAAGCGAAACTCGGTGAGCAAATGACTCGGAACG